CCCGATAACGTTACTCGTATGCCCGAGCCGAAGAACAGCTAGTTTAGCACACCGCCCCGCGCCGACACCGAATTCAATTGGCAAATGTCCGATATTGAAGTTTGATTGCACGAACGCAGCAGCGAAGGCTCTAGAAACTTCCCCAGAAAGCTTGAAAGCCACACTCTAGTTGAGGGTGGTGTGAACTGGTTTCTAGACTGCTGGACTAATCATCAACGTATCACTTACACCGAACGAATCGAGTAGCATTAACCGCGGATGGTGGGGCCAATCCTGATCTAAGTCTACCTTGGACTCGTGTGGTAGCCCGCGGAGTCCAACCGCAGGCAGCTCCGAATCAGGAACTGATTGAACTCCTCATTAATTAGTTTGGGCGCTCAGCTGCGTCTCATACGCGGCAGATACGCTCAGATGACCCTATGACAAATGCACCGACGGCAGCTCGTTACCGCATTTTGAGAATCACGTGGGAAAGCAGTATCGTGTTTGACAAGTGAACATCAACTAGACGCCCGAACCATTAGACGAAAACTGCTGGAGGTAGCGTGGTTTGCCTTTACAATTATCAATGTCTTGGCTAAAGAAAAAGGGACAAAAGCGAACGATACAAACTGTGGCTTGATTGTAAGAGACTACCCTTGGGGAAGATGCAATTCAAATCCTCATTTGGCCATATGATATCAAGTCATTGCCAGAAGAGGATATTCAGAGGTAAAGACGATAGCTATGGTAATGTGTGATTTTTTTTTTTTTTCATAAGAACAAACAAAGGGGTGACTAACTAAGAGCAAGCTTTTCAAAAAAGTGAAAATTTTGGCTCTTGAACAGCTTACTTCCTAAAAATGATATTCGAAATGATACCTTTGAAGACGCCTTACTCATGACGCCCATATTTGAGGAGGCTGCAATGGACAATGCTACGAAAACAGCCTTCGAGACTTTGATTTGAATTTGAAGCAGCCAAAGTTGAAATACCATGGTATCTGAGAACGCCGTCTTAACATTGCTTTAATAGGGATTTACGGGTAATCTGCAGCCTAGACAGCAAGAATTATACGAGAAAGATACATCCTGGAGTTCCTATGAGCATGGGCAATTTGTCGATATGCCTGTGGAAGAGTGCGCAAGCCTCTTTCTGCTGAATCAAGAGTAAAACCCGGAAATAGACAAAGAGGCATGGTAATCAATCAAGTTTGGTTATTTTCACTATTCAAAGAGGACCATACTCCCGTCAAATAGATTTAGGAGAGGATGTATGGTCTCGAGGAATAATGGATATATGATGGCACCTTGAACAAAATTTTATATACACCTAGCTATTGGTTAGTAACAGATGACGATTCTGTTTATATCTGGCCTCGCTCTCTCCTGTAAAGATGGAAGCTTTCTAATTCTCCTTATATCTACGCAGTTTCATTAGGTGGCAACACAAACCTCTGTGAGAGCTGTATTCCTTTCAGAGGTGTTGCAAATTCTATGGGTAGACATCACACAAAGCAGCCAAATTCAGGTCATTAGGTAGTTAGTATCCCGAGGAACCCGGGCGCTGCTATTGGGTAGTTGTTGCTGATGAACTGAAAGGCGAACTTAAATTTCCCCTCATCATCATGTATGCTGTATTTCTTGGGGGCCAGTCTCCTTAGGAGGGCAGAATTCCCCAAAGCTGGTGTTGCCGTTGAAACTCAAATAAAGTATACCATGGATCTTCGTATTGTTGTAGGGTAGTTACGTGCGTATAGAGCCGACATCTTTGTCAGGTACGTCGTAGTTGAATACGGTATATTTCCAGCGATATGCCAAATTGTAATAGCATTCCAACTGGTCAGCGCAATACAGATTGAACACCTTGTTGGTAATGGAGCTGAAGGGAGGTGAGGCGTCTCCTCTACTCTCAGCTTACTACATAGTCTTGAGAGCCGCCTGTATTCTCTTTGCTATAGCGTCCTCGCCTTGACAAACGCGCTCCTTTTGCTGCTGCTCGAACATGTTGAATTCAGCGGTCCTCCTGCGTGCGCATCTCTTTAGCCGGGCTCATCGCCCATATACCTTGCACAGTCCGTTTAAGTGGCAATTCCCATCAGCTGCCAGCACTGCATGCTGTGAAAAGCCAAGGTAAACTCAAAACCCCCACCACTGGACAGAGTATAGAAGGGCGCATCGTGGACAAATTCAACAGGCAGCTTTTTCCCTTTGGGCGCTTAGAGCTCGCGCTTAGAATCGACACCGCTATAGTGGGGCTACAATCTGGAGATACGGCGGTGCATCGACCGTTTTTGGGTCGTTTATAGCACAAAAAGAACTTAAACTAAAGCTCGATGTTGAGCTTCAAGGCAGACCAGATCATACTGAGACAAAATGTTTTCCATGGAAAAAAAGAAAATACTCGTCATTTCTATTCGTGATACTGTACTACCTTACAAGAAGCAAGAGGCTCAAAGAACGAGAGGCGTCTAGCACAAAAATAGCCCGTTGCGGCAAACGCCACGGCTTTTTGGCCGTTGGACTTAGCGCGGATATTAGCGGACGGCATATTCCCCCTCGGCGTACTTTTTTTTATATCAGATTTAAATGCGAAATTGCCGATCAGAGCACTAAAATCTTCAACGGAGTAAATGGCCGTGGAAACGGTTGAATGGGGTTTATCGGTTATCTACGATTGGCCGAGGTGTGGCGTTGTTAGTTTACGGCAGTGGGATACTATTAGTAACACGACATGGCTTGACTACAGATGCTCACACCAAAGAAACCATGAATACTAATCCACTGTGTGTCTTGATTAACTTGACACCAGTAATGCTGTACTAACTATCGAACTGCTCCTTAAAAAATTGAGCGGTACACGTAGGAGCAGCAGCTCACAATACACAAGCATTGGCAGGCCAAGCATAGCTGGCCCAAGGATCAATCATGATGCCATAAACACCACCAGCCCATGCCTCACACGAAGTGAAAAATCCCTTTGCAGGCCTTATTCAAATCTTTCGTTCGATAACGCCGTCCATTTGTCCCAGGCGCTGTAACAATAATATCCTTTCCGGTACGCCATGGTAAACAGCTCTCAGGGAGTCTTTGAAAAATAGACACGTAATAATGGGTCGTAAACAGAGTCGTAGCAGAAACTCATTTGGCACCGGCAAGGCGCCAACAGCCCCCCTTAAACAGACAAAGAAAAAAAATCCAGTAAACTTCATCTTCACTCTCCTAATTCCATGAGCTCTCGTTCTTTTGCTGCAAGCATTTCTCGCATTCTCTCAGCCTCTTGCCTTAGTAATACCCTGCGCTCTGCCTTTATTCGTTCGTTCTCCGCGTCGGCATCTCGAGGTCTAGACATGGCATTAAGTGGCGTAAATCCGCCGGCGCCTGGTAGTCTCGGGGATATGCTTGCCGCAGGAGATCTCAGCGGCGGTAGCGCGTATTCTCCACGATCCGCACTTGTGGGACCGGCAATCGGTGACTCTTCGGCAGTTGTTGATGGATTAAGGATAGATTTAATAGACGAGATTCTTTTGGAGCTTTCGTGGCCACTATCTGTGCCGTTTACAGAGTCTGCCTCCGTCGTGGAGAAGGATCGTTTTCGTGCGGAGGAAATAAATGAGGCGGGAGATAGGGACGATTGCCTATCGTCGGCTATAGTCGAGTTCATTGAGGCAAGCGGTGCTAGTTTATTCTCGTCGTTGAGAGAAGGCGGCACACCACGTGAAGCGGTGCTATGCTGGTGATAGACTGCAAGATCAGACGCAGATGCAGACGGTAATGGCGAAGTATTTCGACTCGATCGCATGGCCGGCTCCGGTTCGATCGTCAGGGGATGGCCGGGGCGGCGCCGAAGACCTAGATTTACAGATCCATCCTCGTTCATAGTTCCTCTCTCTGGAGTTTGCTCCTGAAGTGGAGTTTCAATGTCGTCCATGCCTTCATCCATGTCCTCATCATGAGCCGCAGGTATCACGCGCTTCCGTCGTTTGATAGTAGCCTTTTTCATGGTAACTGGTCTGTGCACACCATGAAGCTTGTAATATAGACCTGGGTTTGTTCGTTTAGAAACTGTACATATGCAGCCATCAGTATCATTAGAAAAACTTACCACAAGCATTGCATATCGTATGCCCACTCTCATCTCTCCTCCAAAGGGGGGTTATCGTCGTCCCGCAATTTTGACAGGCGATAATTACAGTCGTATCTCGATCTTGCGCTTGAAGGGCGTTGACGTCAATTGGAACAGGCTCATTCTTGGTTTCAACCCGGCCGTGGCATCCGCCCTGCCGCTGCCCAACGTTGAGCTGAGCACTCTTGGACATGCGGTTGTTGTATGCAGGACAACCGTTACAGCCCTCGGCGCCGCCAGTGCCGTTGCAGCGGCCACCGCCTGGACAGGTGCCTGATTGAGTTGCATCGGCGGCCACATAGGTGGCACCAGCGACATTTGGCAGCAACTTTTGTGGAGAAAAAGAGCTTGACTTTGCAGGAGGTTGAGCCGAACCGCCAGTAGATACAAGATTCGGGGGCTTTTTCAGACTTGTTGGTCTAGAAGCATTTCGAGCCTTTAGATATAAGCCACAGGCGTTACAGATGGTAGCTCCTTGCGGTGATCTCCTCCAGAGGGGAGTGCGAGTGGTGTTGCAGTTACTATAAAAAAAAAGTGTAAGCCAAGGATTTACGACACAAGGGCGTATATAACAAACGAGACCAACCTGCAGACTTGTCCACCTTGTCCTTGGGCATTTACCCCAGAAGATAGCAATTTTTTATTTTTAGGCACGCTTGACGTGCTTCTTGGGCTCCCACCATTCGACGAAACCTCTTCGTCTTTGCCAGGGCTATCTTTTGAATTCGAAGCGTCGTTTTCCTCGACCTTTTTGGATCCGTAGCCATCGCTTTCAACTGAAGATCGAGCTGAGCTGACGGCCCCTGACGGTGTAGTCTCGCGATTTTTAACCGACATAGGCCGAGAAGGTAAAGCTGTTCTTGCGGAGCCTGCTTCCCGTTGGACGCCAACAGGCGGCGTCCCCGGCTGTGATGCTTCACTCATTTCCACAACGCCAAAAGAAGTTCCAGGCGATATCGAAGCCGTCTCAGTAGATGATATTCAATAATAGAGAGATGTCGGGCGTGGTACGAGGGCTGACAAATACTAGTGGCGCAAGCACGGGTTCGTCAACCGGCGGCCGAGTAAGACATTTGCCAGCGGGAGATGGTCGGCTTCCAGGTGGCGAATATCTCACGACGAGGTGCGCTTAGGCGCCTGCAGAGCCGTGCAAAACACCGAAAACCGATGAATAGTTTCGGCAGCCGAAGAGGGCTGATGGTGTTGATGCTTGCTGGTGGGCCGGCCGCCACGTTGTGCCGAATCCGAGCAGTCAGGAGACGAGAGGCGAAAGAAATCAAGTATCAGGGAGGGTCTCAACGGGGGCCAGAAAGAGGAATCAAGAGACCACAGGCTCGGCCGAGTGCTCGGGAGAGGCAGTGTAGGCGACTGCAGCGGCGATTTAGACGCTGGGCAATGGTAATACAACGGAATAGAATGACTCCAGAAGTCTGGAAAATCAGACAACCAGGCAGGCGTCCAGGGTTTGTATGGTTTTTGGGGGGGCGGGGCGCTTCTGGAAGCGAGACGAGATGAGGCAGGACGATGCGAAGCGCCGCGATTCGATGCGAGACGGTGGGAAGTGGCTCGGGCTGGTCGTTGCTCTCTTATTTTCTGTTTGATGACTTTTCAGGGCCAGAGTCGAGCTGCATGCCGAGAGCTAGTTTGTGCTGCATGTACTCCGTAAAGTGGCCCCCGATCTCTGTTTGAATCTCTCCAGATCAGCCAAAGCCCAACGCTGGTGGGACCCTGGCCAGGCCGAGCAACGACGAGGAGGATGCTGAAGCCTCGTGTCTCGGGGCTTAATGCCGCGAGGTCAATGGATCCGCGAGCAGCAGTGAGGCCGTCCAGATGTCGGCAATGCCAGGCGCGCAGACGGACTTTTTGATCGGAAATAAAGCATCTGAACACCACGCAAGAAGTCGTAGGTGGCATCCAAGAAGAGCCGCTGCACTGGCGTGACTGGCGCGCTGCATCAAGGCCTAGAAGCGTCACTTCAGCATGCAAAAAGCTCCCGAAGGGTCCCCCAACAGCGGCCAAATCCACTGCAACCCACCGCGAGCCCGCCGCCAGCCCACTGTCCCAGCAGATGGCCAATGACGCGGCCGCTATACTGTTGCCTGGATGCCTCTGCTTACAATTGTCGACCTCCCATTGGCTGCGGCTGTGCAAACAAGGGGCAGCCACACTCGTCGGTCATCGGCAAGGCTAGAACGTTTTTGTCATGAGCTGGCTTGACGCGATCAGACCGATAAGATAACGCGGCACGCATGCCTGCTGCAATCGATACGGAGATGCTAGTCTACTAACCTGGGGAGCTGCGATTTTGCGGCGTCGTGCGTCCCCAGCTCCGCTAGCAAGCAGACAAACAGATACACATTCCCCCGCCATTGCTGCCGATATCTCGTGGCACAGCTGCCAATTGCCATCACAGCTCAATCAGCCATCACTCTCATCTCCTCTAAAGGCCTGGGCCTCTTCCCTATTCCGCCACGGCCCATCGTCTAGGATGGCTTCAGACGTCGGGAGCCCGAAGCGGGAGCTCACCCCCACCGCGTCCCTCTCGTCCATCCCTCAGAAGCGCGCCTTTGACGAAGGCCACAGCCCTGCCGTGCCCTCACCGCTGAATCCAGATGTCAAACCCTCCTCCGAAGCTCAGCATGCCGACGATGCGTCACAGTCGGGGCGCTCCAAGCCTGTCAGGGCGAAGAAAGACACCCTCAAGAAACGCGAGGCCAAAGGCGGCGATAGCAACCCCGCCACTCCAGATCCCAAGGCTAGACACGAGCCCGAGCCGAGCGAGAACCGACCTCTTCGGTATAAGCTGGCACCGCCAAAGCTATCGGACTTTGACCCCCCTCGCGGGCCTGTGATGACGCTGCATCATCGGGCTGATGGGCCCGACGGACAAGCAATTGAGTTCATGGAAACGTCTGATCAGTAAGGCGGCACTACTCAAAGCTTTCTATATCTTCCAATCTACTAACGACTCCAAAACAAAAGTGTCTTCAACAAGAAAAACTTTCGCTATACCCCATGTATTGCCGACCCTCTATTTCCTTCCACACTATACTATCGACAGACTGAGCCAGAACCATTCGGGCCGAGGATGAGCTTCGAGGATGCCGCTACGCACGTCTTTTTCGACAAATCCGGTCGACAAGTGACTACCAATAAAGGTTTCCGAATGGCGAGGGCCAATGTAGCGGTACGCGAAGGGAGGTGGTATTGGGAGTGCAGAGTTACACAGGGCATACAACAGCCAAGGGACGGTGACGCGAAGCCAGTCGGAGGCAGACACGTACGCATGGGATGGGCCAGACGAGAGGCATCGCTCGATGCGCCCGTCGGTTTCGATGCTTACAGCTATGGTATCCGAGATGTAGCTGGCGAGAAGGTCTTCATGTCCCGGCCGAAAGAATTCTTTCCTCCCGGCGAGGGTATAAGGGAAGGCGATGTCATTGGCCTCGAGATTCAGCTACCCTCAGAGCATCTGCATAGGAAAATCATGGCTGGGCATTATAACCCTGCTGTAGATGCTACCGACGAACCACCGCCACTAACCGCAGAAGCCGCCAATATTGTGCGAGACCGAGTGCCGATCCGATTCAAGGCGCATACGTACTTTGAGAAGATCGAATACCATACCACCAAGGAACTAGAAGATCTTATGAATCCTTCACCAGCGGTATCGGCAAGCTCTTCCACAGATGCTCCGAGCCCAACACACCCATCGGCTGCCTTACGCACCCTTCCCGACTCCTATATCAGAGTCTACAAAAACGGTGTACTAATGGGGACACCGTTTGAGAATCTTTTGGGATTCCTCCCGCCAGCGTCGAAACCAATGCCCCAAGTCGGCGCCCGAGAAGGCCTCGATGACGGCATGCTAGGGTACTATCCCGCCGTCAGCGTTTTCAGGGGTGGCGCTGTGGAAGTCAACTTTGGACCAGACTTCTGGTATCCGCCAGCGGATTATGACTCTACAAATGGCGAAGTGGACATGATCCAGCCTGATGGGCTCAACACAAACTCCCTGCATGCCGTCTTCGAGCGCTACCAGGAGCAGATTGCAGAGGATGTGGTCTACGACATCATCGACGAAGTGGACTTTTGGATGGAGGACGGCGGCGGTGCCACCAACCAGGCGGATGTTGACGAGAAGAGCAAGGATGTAGTCATGGCGCCTGGCAGGGAAGAGATCAAGGAATTGGTGCAAGATGATTGATTTAGACGGAGGTTGCATCAACCAACAACAGATACATAACTTAGATGTATCATAACATAAGATACCCATTTGCATATCATGCGTAACGTAACATTGCAAGAAAAAAAACTAAAAACTAAAAACTAAAATTAAAAAAAAAATTCAGTACTAATACTAATACCAAAATCTCATGTCGTCATATCCATCTCATTAAAAGGGGGTATCGTTCAATCTCATCAACCACAAAGTAGGCTGTGTCCCTTAGGGGTTGTTCTGCTCTTCTGAAGCATCAAGCCGCGGCATCTCTGGTGTCGAAGCTCCTTTCGGTGCAGGCGATGCTCGTTCTTCCCCATCTGGTGACGTTATGATCACCGGTATGGCTTCTGCGGCCTCTGCGGCCTCCTCCGCGGCGTCTGCATTCTTCTGTCCAGATTCTTCACCGGTAGAGTCGTCAGAGAGCTCCTCAAACCGTCGACTATCGGCTTCGCTACTGGCGCCAACTTCAGCACTGGCTCCGGCTTCGGCCTCAGCCTCACGGAGAATTCGTTCTTCGCGACCGCGTTTGTAACAGTACCAGAGTACAACAAGGAGCACTGCGTCATTATTAGTTAGATTCCTTTGTATCTGGAGATGAACAAGAAAGTACTACTACTCACAGCTTAGAGCAACGCTCCAAATGACATTCATGCCAATGAACGCCGGCCACCTCGTTTTCAAGACCTCCACAATCGCCTTCAGCATACCGACAATCGCTCCAGGCCTCTTCACCAAGTCGGCCAGGTTTTGCCCCATCAGCATCCTCTTGGCCGTCCCCTTCATGCCGCCTTCAACCACCTTGATGCCCTGGCTCTCCGCAGCAGCGGCTAGAAGTTCCGGAGCCAGCGTCGTAGTCAGCTTATCGGGGAGCTGCGTGACAAGCTTCTTCAGCGAATCTGGCAGCTTGTCGAAAAGCTTATTGATGGAGCCGTCGCGGTCCTCAATCAACTTGGTGAGGTCGTCATAGGCGGTGGGCACGCCGTTGACGAGGTCTTTGAAGACTTGTGTGAATCTTTGGAGGAGGTCAGACGAGCCGTTGGACTCGGAGACGACTGTGTTGTTCTTGGCGGAGAGACTGAGCCGGTCGAGAACGCGGGTGAGGTCCTTCTTCTCGCGCTCGGCTTCCTTTGGCGTGACGTCTTCGGCATCTGGTTTGAGTGAGTCGCTGGACTTGGGGTGGTCCGCTGGCTTCTTGCTCCGTGTGAATAGAAGCGACAGTCGGTTGGGCTTCTTTTCTGCCTTTTCCTTGTCTGCTTTGTTGGTGGCTTTTGCAGAAGCGTCTTCCTTTTTTGCGGCAGCTGGTGTCTTCCCAGCCTCCTCTTTCTCATCATCAGTGGTTTTCTTTGATTCGGCGATGGATGCCTCGTCGCTTGAATGCCAATCTACGTCGTACGTGTAGATGCGCGGGGGAAGCGGTGGCGGAGGGCCATCGGTATCCTGCGCGAGGAGTTCTTCGAGGAATCGCTCGTCTTCAGGTTTCAGGACGGCCTTCTGAGCTTGAGACTCGGGGATAGATGAGCCGGAATTCTCGCCCTTCTTGCCATCCTCTTTCTCTGCGACGGGTTTATTTCCGTCTGCTTCAGTCTTTGTGTCGTCCTTCTTGACTTCCTTTGCATCCTTTTCTTCCTTGGACTTTTTGAATTTTTTATAGGAAAAATATTCCAACATCTTGGTTTGCCTCGGTCGCGTAATAAAGGTAAGTTGAATAACAGCGGTTAGGCAGTGATCGTTGAGGGAATGACTGCGCCGTAGGTGTTTGAGGCAAGAATGAGATGTTAGGTAGTCTTCGTCAATCTGGAATCAATAATACTAGTATGTCTTAATTAGCTGACACGTGCATGCATCTATGATGGCGACAAATGACCATCGTTACAGTGATGTCATTGGATGCCGCCCTGGGAGCTTCAGCCAATCAAAGCCACGATGCATCTCGAGCTTCAAGGGTGCCATAACGCGGAGCACATGGCAAAAATGGGTACCGTGTAAATCTTATAAGCACACCAAAGGCGACATTTGATAGTCAAATATTTTGTCCTGATGTGGCACTGCAAACTTAATATATATATGTATATTTCTTAGCTGAATAACAGCATTATGCTGGGGTATCCTTCGTAAATAGTCATGCTAATAATTCCCGTCCATCCTTAATATGCCCAAATGCCAGTACCTATTCCAGGTTGCAGCGCAAAAGATCTCGTCACCAATGCTATTTAGATCCGCCATAGAGCTATTCCTCTTCCTCTTCCTCCTCTCCCCCTCCCACTTCTTCGCCTTCGCTCTCTTCCTCGGCCCCTTGCTCACGTATAACATCATCTGCCAACGTGTTTCTATGGCCACCACTTCGTCTTCGGCCTCTTTGATACGCCTCAGTCATTGTGATGGCTCTCTCTCCTACATAGTGATCCCCAGTCCATTCCCGAGAGCATTTGGGGCAAGTTGTCCCTCGTCGTGACCTCCAGAATGCTTGTTGGCAGATGTCGTGCAGTCGGAGCGTGCAATCAGGGTCTGAGCATCTGAGCCCCCAGGTCACGATCTCTTTGCAGGCTTCACAAAATTTGATTCGTTGCCAGTCGTTAGGCTCAGCGTCTGCGTCATTATACATGTCGACCAGCCACGGGCGAAGCTCCATCAGTGCGCGAGGTGAGAGCGAGTAGAATCCTTCCCTACTAATCTCAAACCAACCGCCTTCTACCAGACTTTCGAGGACATTTTCCACTTCGCTGTGCTTTAGCCCTCTATCTACTGGAGCTTGTGATTGCGGTTCATCTCCTCCTTGGCTTTCTCTGCGTGGTGGTCTCGCCAGCTTGATGGCTTGCATTTCGGTGATACAAAGGGATTCCATGCGGGGCCGATTGAATTTCTCAAACATGGCATCGAGGACTCTTTTGATAAATGATAGCTCTTCTGGACTGTAAATTGTGGCCAGCTGAGTTTGGGGGTCAGAGGCGGTGTTAACGAGCGCGAAGATTCTCTCTTTGGTCGCCTGATGCTGTGTGCTCCGGATCTCATAATCAAACAAGGATACGGCGCTAGAAGCTTTGTCGATGTATTTCATGAAGATCTGTTCTGACACCTGATCAGGCCTGCATTCCTCGCTATCGGGATTCTTTGCATTATCGGCATTGATGATGGCTGCAATTATAGGCCGTGCTTCCGGATAGGTCAACGTCCCTCTGGCAAGAAGGGCCTGAAGAAAGGCCCTATTTCCATGGCCATAGTTGGTTGGAGGCTCCATCTATGTTTGGTCTCTGACTCGTATTATTTATGAGATGGAATTATCTCATCAAATCAGCTTCAGAAGGGGCTTCTGATGTTGGGAGAGCTTCGAATTCCTTATCGGCCATTAGGGCAGTGGCACAAAAACGCGTGAATCACGCGTGCCTCATTGATTGCCTGTGGCGGTGCGTGGCTTGATCTGCCCAGCAGAAGACAGAAGTTGTCGAAATTGTGCATTAATGCCAGACGTCACATACAACTTTTTAATCTCTCACATGCATATTTTTGGTTATTATGAAATGTACGCTTCAGACAGTGATATTTTGAGATGGAAAAATGATAAACGAAGGACGCTCTCTCTATCAGCGCCTACGTAGAATACGAAGCGTATATCCTCAGTTTTGCAAGTTAGCATACAGTAGTTCCACATAGACACAAGTCCACCGCCCTTCATCACTTTATAGTACTTTTCTTCTCAATACTTTTCAAACATCTTCAAATTCCTAAATCATGAATTTCATTAGGAGATTTGTACTTCATACTTTGTATAGAATTTAGTACCTATGTACATAGGTTAGTAGTTTGCCCGTTGACGACTGCGCCACAGCATTGATGACTCATCAGATCTCACTGACCAACCGCTACACGTCGGTTTTGTCGTTTGAAGCAATCAATCCATCATTGCGTCAAAACAGAGCAAATAGTCAATTTACTAATTCCATCGTGGTATCGGGTTACAAAATATGCCTTACAATTAAACATCTTCGGTTATTTCATTGAGGCACGCTGCTCTCTATGAATCTCTCAGAGCGGCTCTTTTAAGTATCTTCCAGTATTCTTCTTCACTCTAGAATCCGACCCAACAGCGCGCCCCTTGAGCTATTCGGATTAGCAAGCATCTTGTCAGACAATACCTGCACGACCATCTACATCTATTTCCTTCGGCTACTTGTATGAGATATACCACTTCTTTAAAATCCACCTCAAACCAAGGAGTCTCGTGACCCACGTGTCGGCTCAGGCTCTGTGTGGCCGTGAGAGGCAGAACATTGTCCGCGCTCGTCTGGGGCGAGTAAGACGAGCGGCACCACAATTTAGAAGTCATGGACACCAAAGATTTTGATGTGATTCGCATTGCGAGAAGCGATGGAGCAGACACCGGGCCAGGGTATTGGCCGGTGACAACACCAGCGCCGGCCGCCAACGCTGCGAAGAAGTCGGGCAAGGAAGCAGCTGTCGCAGACAAGACGCCACGAACAAAACCACAGATGACGAGATTGGCCGAAGATGACCCAAGATTTGTAGAGTGGCGGATAAAGCTGGGTATTCTATTGAAACAGGAGCTGTCTCCCAACCCAGACGGTGAGTGATTTGCCCAAGCGAGGGGAGCATGATGATGCCACAAGGACACAGCCTAATGAAATTTCGTGCAGAGGGAAACCCGTGGTATGTGAATTTCCCACGAGGGTACTGGTTATACGAGAAATCCAAGCATCTTTGGGTTTCTGGATACCCTACCAAGTCAAAGCTATTCAAAAGCCCACAAGAATTCGGCGTTCACTTGATATGGCTGCTCTCGGCATCCAAGGACTATGGCGATTGCTGCTGTGTTCATTGTAACGTACCTGCTCCTGTGAAGGCTTCATATGCGCCCGAAGAACCAGTGGCCCAAGCTATCGGCCAAAGTTTAACTCACGCCTCTATCCCCGTCCCGGCTCATTCTCCGATTCCACCTCCTATTCAAGCCCCAGCCGAACAGTCCTCAGCAAAGGCCGAGAAATCTGAGAGGCCGATCAAAGTGACACCCGTTCCGCTACCCCCAATGCCTGGTCAATCATCTTACAGACCGCCAAATATTACGCCTCATCCACAAGGAGCACAGCAGCCTCTACAGCCGGCACAGCCAAAGCCCATCCAGCAGACTCCCGTACCCCTACCCACGCCTATTCAGCCGCGCGAGCCGATCCAGCCCACTCAAACACCCCAGATCTTACAACAGACGCCATCCCAGCCACCTCCCATAGCTGCCACCAATCCTTCGACTCCAGTGCCTGTTCCTGCAGCTGCAGCGCCCACACCGCTTCAGCAGCAGACGGCCCAGCAGACGGCCCAGCAGCAGATGGTTCAGCAGCAGACGATTCAGCAACAGGCAGCTCTGCAACCAAAACCACAGGCTATCCAATGGTCATTAAAGGGCTCATTGCTTTTCCGAGCTGGAGAGCTGGTATGGTATCAGACGGGCAATACATGGCGCCTTGGGATTATTGCCACCCCCCCTAACGTCACCCCTAATGGGATGGTATTCGATTTACTTCCCTTAGGCCACGCCACGGTGCCTCAAGCTAATGTCTCAAAGGCTGAGGCCGACTTGCGACCCTTCTACTGCTATAGCGTCCCCTCTGTTGACATTGCAGAGCTCAAAGACAAGATATTTGATGAGGTGCCTTGGGAAAACATGTTTCAATCTGCCGGGAATAATTCTGTCCGTCGAGATCTTCTGAATCTAGATGCCTCCAAAATGGCCGCGTCGAAAGTCGACTTCTCTCATTCCCTCTGGACTCGTCGTGGTGACGATCCCACCGGCAAGGCCGTATCATATTTCGGATGTTTCTTCGGTGCCGAGCGCCTCGAAATCGGCGACACCGTGCGGGTGAAAATGGCAGGGGCAGAGGCCAACTCCAGCCCGACAACTGTGATGGGTTTGCTGCACATCTTCACCAGCGCCGACTATCCTGGCTCAATCTTCTTCCGCGGACCAATCTACCAGCTGGCCAAGGGGCCCGGCGTCGCTGGCACCGTCATTGACGATGAGAAGGATAAGCTCCCGCTCGCCATGCAAGACGAGATTCGATGGCGGACCCAGGTCACGCGCAGCCGGCAATGGTGCTGGGTTCTCGTCAAGGATAACGTGGTTTTTAAGGAACAGTCTATCAGAGGTCGCTTTTACCCGACGCATCGGCTGATGCCCATTTACAACCTGAATGAGTTTAGGGGCCTGGTGGCGGGGCAGCAGCCGTTGAGAGATCAGCATATATACTTGAACAACCGTATGGATGGTGCTGGAGGAAGGCATATTGGACGGAAGGCGAATCGGCTTGACACGCTGGGGCCTTGCGTGCCGCCTACAGCGAGGTTGGTGCTTGAGCCACATATCATAGAGGAGTAGGTGCACTTGATTTATTTGTTTGGTAAACCTTGTATATTGTTGAGGTTTGAAAGCGGCGACAAGGAAGATGGCGAGAAGGATTACATCATGTGAAGCAGTATTGGATGGAATACATAGCAGGATTCATATAATAGCAGTAGTGATAATTGGTATAATGCACACAACATGACATTACTTCTCTAGACAACAGCAACAAAGTCACATAATACACGCTTCTAGACATCACAGGCTTGGCGCTCAAGCAAATGAGTAAATGCATATATATACTTATAGCTACCATATCGGAAAAAAAGAAGTAAAATCCTGTTTCAAACTGGAGCTTTTGCATCATTACTTAATCCACACACGATAACTTGGAATGACAAAATGAAAGATTGATAGGAATAAGTCAACGATAATAAATAAGTTGAAAAGGAAAAGAGACGGAGAAAATAAGGAACCAGTCGTGCTCTCTCGCCTTTTTTTTTTTGGTAACGCTGAAGCTTAACAAGACGAAAAAACCAAGGTATATCAAAAACAAATAATGAAAAGAGTCGAGAGCAAGAACAAATACAAAAGCGACTCGTTTACATCAATGGTCGTTCCCGACTGAAGCCAACTTCCCTCCTTGTCTATCTGTCATATCCACCGCGCAGTTGCCTCTTCTAGTCAGGTAGTTAGAGCGATGATGGACAGATCGCTGCTCACTTTTTCTTCGGTTTCCAGCTCTCTCATTTTATTGATGACAAAGAAAAAAGAGTGTTGCTGTTTTCGCATGTTCGCTGGATCGACGTTGGGCGACAGGGGGGAAAAAAACAATCGTCGCCAGGTAAAACGAGGTTGTAAGGGGAAAAAAAAGGGGGGGCGTGAAGACGGAGTGGAAAATGCCTCAGCACGGAATCGATGCTCCAATAAAGCCGATTGACGTCGTCAAGCCGTTTCTATAAAAACCAGAGCAGACGTTAAGGTGAATGCAAAACCATAATAAGAAGAATAATTCGCTAAAAGATTGGTGCAGGCATAGGCCTATCGGCGTTGATAGAGCCAAGATGAACAGCCCTATGTGAGGTTTAGGTCGTCCAGCTTGGCTTGCAGTCTTCGTATGACTTCTGGATCGGGTATTGGTTCTACCTTGCGAGGCCGAGCGCGGGGAGAGGCATGCGATTTGGGAAATTTGCACTTCCTGCATTCCGTCCCATCTTCGACCCCGGTAGGGTAAACAGTTTTGCAATTCAAGCATTCATAGTGAGGCACACTCTTTGGTCCAAATTCATCGCCAGGATAGCCGAATGGATACTTGTCTTTCTTGGGCCTATCGCGTACTATTGTTAGCATATAAGCAACGCCACTCAGGGGCAGTGTCAACTTACGGGTCTCTGGGGCAGTCCGTGCAGCGAACATGCTTGCACTTTTCGCATGTTTTATTTCCGGCTGTGAAGAGGGTATCGCATTCGTGGCAAGTTCGTCGGACACGTTGACGAGGCTTCTTATGGATAAGATCCTGGCCTCCCGTCTTGCTTGGGCGCTTCAGAACAATGTTCTTCTCTATTGGTTCATAATCGGGCAGTATCGGGGCATTCTCGCGGTTGGCCTTGATCTTAGCAGCTCTCCTTTCACGGCTAGCGATGATCTCAGCCTCGGAGCGCTTTGGTGGATATCGCGTGCATTTGGTGCAGCGGCTATGGCTGCAGTTGGGGCATTCTTTAGTGGCGCCAAAGGTAGCGTTGCAGCGATGGCAGGTCCGTCGAATGCGCATTCGAATGGGCTTGTCCATACGAAGGACAGTATCGCTAGGGATAGCGCTCTGCCATTCCATAGGATGAATCTCCAGACCAAATCGCTCATTCAGCTTCTTTGCCCGCTCTTCAAATAGCTCCAACTTGGAGAGCCGGCTGACACCGGGCATGGCCTCGTAAAGAGCTCTCGCTTCTGCAGCTTTGGCGTCGACATGGCTGATACTATATCAAGGTTTTGTTAGCACGATATTCTGAGTAGGGCAGGACAGCAGCCACAGGCGAGCCCAGTAAAGCCCAGCGTGGAGGATGCCCATGAGCATCGCTCACAACACATAAGCAGAACAGGACAGCCCGAAAAAAAAAGCCCCCCAATAAACAACTCAGCGCCACACATACAGCTTGGGAGCATCCTCAGTCTTAGCTCCTGGGGTCGTGGTAGTCGTAGCGACAACACCGCCTGCCGACGTTCCAGCGGCAGCAGACGGTTGACGCTCGGTGCCAGTTCTTCGCAAAACGCCCTTGACCTTGGCGAATACTTTGACAATTCCCTTCCTCTCTCTATCGGCCTTTGGCAATGGCCCCGCTGGTTGGGCGGAGGAGCTCATGATGCTGTTGGTTGGAGTACCGGCGACGGCAGTGGTTGTCTCAGTAGGTGAACACCTTGGGAAAAAAGCTTGGTAAGGAATCCGACAGGCTTGCAAATGTGTATCGCAAAAGTAATCCGATGTGACCTGTCGAAACAATCGGAATCGCTGCCGGAGATTTCTTTCCTTTTTTCTTGCAGGCTCTGAATTTTTTTTTTTTTTTTTTCCTCTTTGCTTTTGTTCCGGTAATAGTAGCGGCTACTACGGTTAACGGCGATCCTTCAGGGTCGTGGGTTTTGCGTTGGTGCGGCTGAGTGTTGGACAGTGGAATTGGAATCGGCAAGCGTCGCAAAGGGCCCGTGCCTAGGAATGTAGCGACGATCTAGCAGTCACAGCGCATCATCCGGCGAGTTGCTGCGATTGAAGTGAAGCCGGACACGATGAGGCCGCAGCGAGGAGCGGTGGTGTGCGAAGATTAGAGTCGGAGGAGAGCGACAGGTTGCACAGCGTCGTGCGAGACCGAGCGGGTGGTTAGTTATTACAGGTATGGCTAGCAACTAATGCCAGGTCAGGCCAGGTCCAGCCAGCCTGCAGCTTCAGCATGCTTAGCGCGCAATAGCTGCTCGCCCAGTGTGGCTACTGTGTGGGCCCGGCGGCGATGGGTGGTGCGCCAGCGAGAGAGGCCCTGGCCAGCGCAGGTGCACAGTGTTGGGCTACGCGCACCCGCACCGGACCGGCACCAGCAACCTGGGATCGTTCTCTCCTTCACAGGCTCCCTGCCTGAGCCAGGAGCGCAGGCAGGTACGGAGGCACTACTAACCTTACCTAGCAGCAGTACTTGTACAAGGCACTACAGGGCACCGCCAGCTCCTGGTTAGTCAGACAACGTTGCTCCGTATTTCTGCAAGGGCAAAAGGCAGAGGGCCCGAATCGTCATCCTTTGCTGGGAAAAAAATCATCACGACTAATTACCAGCCCATGGATCCCTGGGCCAGCAAGGGCGGCTCATGCTGTACTATGCACATGGTGCAGGCGTGCGCGCCGCCTGTCAGTGCAGAATACCGCCACTGCCTGCGCCTCTCTCTCTCCCTCTCTGGCAGCGCACAAATTGGCACGAGGACAACGAGCAAGTGCGCTGCGCTTCGTGCTCCATGCCGTGCTGCATCTGTCGGGCGAGCAGAATCGGCGTGTCCAGCGGTCTCGTTGTGCTCATGTCGTCTCGCAAGCGCGCGACTCATGGGGAGAAGCTCCTATTCCCAAGCCCTCCCCCCCACCCCCTAGGAATTAGCAACGGGCGACGATGGGGCTTCGATGGGCCTGTCCAACGCACCGGAGCTCGCGCGGGGTCTTCCAGTCGCTGCCGCCAGCCAGGGAGACACAGCGGCGTCAATGCACGAGGGTCCACGGGGCCGTGGTCTGTGGTTGGGCGGGCGAGCGTTTCGGGCCCAGCTCTCTGGGAGGATGGTGTGCGGCAAGCGTGCAACGGGAGCTGCCAGCGGGAGCACCAGCCATAGACTCCCGCAATCCGCACCCAGCCCGTCGGGTCCCAGCAGCGGCCGGTCGGGCTTTGGGGCGCGACTGATTGCACGCCGTCGCAGAGCGTACAGGATGCAGTAGCGCGCTGCAGCTGTCCTGCGTCCGCGCAGCGCCAGGACGTGCGAATCTTTTGCCGTGGGTGAGCGTCGCCAGCCAGCTTGGATACATGGGCTATACATGTGCTGTAGGCGTGGCCAGGTCACGGGAAGGTGGCGGGACACTCCCGACGAATCCCGGCCCATCTGGCTTCTCATACACGTGGGACTGTGCTGCCGTGCTGCTAGTAGGAGGCCTAATATGGGGATTTACATCAGAAGACAGGCATTCATCGCAGAACCTCTGGACGGAGTCGCGAGAGGTGAAACGAGTTTGGGCTTTCCAGGCAGCCTTTTAGGCTCAGCACATGGCGGTGGAGATGGAACTCCCCGACTTCATCCTTGGCGGGCTAGCACCGTATTCTCGTCCTATCACAAAGCGGCGACAGCAGCCCGCACCAGCAGTGCTAGGAGCAGGTATCAGCAGTAACCACTACTGGTATTTTTTCCAGGAAGGCTCTGTAAGTTCACCGAGAGGCCCATTCTCTTCTTCGTTGTTGCCGGCCCTAGCTTCGGCAGAGGTGATCCAGGGGCCCTGTCGTTGACGACTTCGGAAGCTTTTGAAGTCATCCCAGCGCGTCGGTTACTTTGGTTATCCCAGCAAATGCTCTTTCTGCATTTGCGCTTGTGCATAGCTGTTCTCATTGAATAGGTGCTTGTTCTCGAATTTCCCACGACTTTGCAAAGATGACGGAAGGTTCAAGATTACATGCACTATGGCGCAAACTATCACTACCTTGTATGCACCAAGCCAGCATTGAGCGGTAGGCAAGGTGGCACAAGTTGACAAGCCAAAGCATTTCGCCAACTCAACCAATATTCGGCATTATGCAAGGAGCAAGCTAGTTCAATATATGCATACTCGCACTTTGTACGAAGTTCTTGGCAAGTAAAAAGTCCGTAATGACTTTCACAGCGCGTACGCAGTTGCTCATCGCCATACCCCCAAAAGGGTCTATTACAGACACGTCCATGTGAGCTGCGGGAATGGGAAATTGCCTTCCCTTGCTGCGGCCATTTTCTGCCGCTGGTCTGTGCTGGCGGCGTGGACTGCAACAACAATATGGATGGCAAATTGGGTGCTGCGAGTGCTCCATCCCGACTACCAGGTAGCAGCAGCTCGGCTTTCGCGCTGTCACTAGACAGCCACGAAGGATTAGGCGAGACTGCAGTACCAAGGGTTCGTCCTCATACATCGTACGTGCCAGCGCCATTTGCGGCACCATGTCTTGGAATTCTCAGCCCAGCACGCTTCTAGAATGGCGAATAGACTACGGCTGCTGCTGCTGCACATCGCAGAGAGCGTCCAGTATCGAAACGGGAAGCTGGCCCGACAGCACGGCGTCCAGTCGCCGCACGACACGACAGTTCAATGTTTCTAGCACTGTGGCGGCGAGCTATCTGATGTGACAACTCTGGGCACGGCGAGCTTTGGCTTGCCCGCTAATTTGAGACCCCGGCAGCTTGAACGCAGCATCATGCACCATGTACATACAGACACCACCCTGGCTCAGGCATCGTTTCCGCGGTGTGGCCTCTGCACCCAGTTGCGACTTGGGCAGTATCAACCGGAGGAGCATGCCGGCCAGCTCTACTCTCCTGGATGGACTGAAGAGAAGAAGATGCCTGTAATACTTGCAAGCAGGAGCAGAAGAAACAGGCCCACCCCAGACCTCTTCCACGCTCAAAGGGGACAAGGCCTGATGCCCTCTAAGCATCCATTGCCACGAGCCAATATGCAGCAGAATCCACAGTGCGATCGCTTACTTATCCGCTGGCGGTCACAACTCTATTTCCGTTTCCGCGGTCTTCTGTTTGCCGATGGTAGGGAAGAAGAGGAAGAAGAACAAGAATGCCTAGCAAGGACATGCTGCCAAACTGAATATGGACACTGGTGTGAGTGTGAGCCGTCGGCCTGCGCTTGGCTCACCGACAAAACAAGACCTTGAACAGAGAGTCTCGTACTCTGTACTCCGTACTCCATATAATTTCCAGTTGTTGTTGTGGACACTTGCTTTCCATCCTGGGGTAGCAGTGCCGATATCAGTCGAGTATTTTGCGGAAATAGCACGAAATGTACTCCGTAACTGGAACTCCATATGCCAGCAGGGTATCCGGAACGGCTCCCTTTGCATTTCCGACTCTAGCCAGGCGAGGGGATTTTTCTGGTGTACAGTACATGATTAGGGTGGATTCTGCAGGTCGCAAATAACATAACGGGCATACAGTACACTCAACAGGACGTGACGCAACGTCCTGCAGTCCTGAAGAATGGTGTGCCAACGAGACGGCGTTGCATGCGCATTGTGTCTCGTTCTTCTGCTAAGCTAAGCGACTTCCACCACTGGACTGGAAAGCAAGTACTATATATTATACTGTACAGCACATACTCCATCCACGGCGAATGTCGCGCAGACCTCGTGTCCCAGCCAGACGGGATGCACCCGGTCCTTGGTGTTGGAACGAAAAGAAGGACATCACTGTCGTCATCTTCTAGAAGAGTCTCTGGCTTCGTGAGTCTATAAATATGCATATCCGACATGCAGGCATCTCCCCGTTTCGGTTCCAGCTACGGATTACTATTCCTTACAGCTTGTGGGATGGGATACAAGCACTGTACTATTAGATGGATGGTGGCCCATTCTTCGGTGTAACAACTCGGAGAATGAAGCCGTGCGACCCGATGACGCAGAGATCAATACTTGATAAGGCTATTTACATGTGATAACATGGGCATCTCAGGCGAGCTTTGTGTGACGCTGGCTGCTGATGTTTGCTCCCCGACTGAACACCGGATAGCTGGGCCGAATTAACGCCAGCACCGCAAAATCGCCAGGCGTTCAAAATCTCACCTGCAGGCCATCAGCCAGATCGGCTGTAAGCCTCCATACAATGGCAGATGGGAATCTCACCAGCCAGACCCGCGACTACTGCTAGTATCCGATCGCTCTCGCACTGGGCCGGCAATCAACCCGACTTTTCGTCGCAGCTCGCTGTGGGCCGCCGGACTGAACAACTTGGGTTGGCAGCAGCGCGTCCTGCATCATACCCTGGGCCTGGCTCCAAGTGCGTGGGTGCGGCCAATGGACTGGGCGGCTGGTGATGATGGCACCACACCATCGCCACCACTCCCGGACAGAGCTATATTAGCCTAAGTTGCGACGAGATGCTATGCGAGCCGTTCTGCTTTTGGGCACAAGATCGTATGATGCACAGCGCTGGGACGGGCTTGGGCTAGCAAAGGAAATGACGTTCCAGGCGCGCACATCACTACGATATGTTCTTTCTGCTGCCACCTTCTTGTTGACAGGCCCTTCGGAACACCGCCCAGTCGTAAATGGCTCAATGCGCTAACTCAAACCTGTCTCTCCCTTGCTCCGCGCAGCAAGAAAACGTCTTCGTCACTAGGCCATGCTTGGGCTAATGAGCTTCAGCTGCCAACCTGGCCCATGCAGTTGTGGCAGCTTACACTGCGCCGAATCTGGAACAGACGACTGACAACAGAAGCGACGATGGAACGCAGTATCCCCTCCCTGGCATAGGGCCACTCGGTAGGAGGTTCTGTTCCTATTCGAGGCGCTGTTAGTCAAGCCGCTCTCTAGATAATGTGAATGAGATGCGACAAAGTTGGCAAGACGGAAGAAGCATCATTTTATTTTATGGATCTCTGTGCATTTTGAGTGAATGCTTGCCTGTATGCTCATTGATCTGATGGTGACCTCCCTGTCGCTTGTGCTTTTCTTACCCTGCACTCGGTGCCCTGATTCTAGCAATATAGCCTGCATAGACTGAAGGTGAGCTTATGTCGGGTCTCTCTTTTTAATCGGCCTTTAATGAATCAGTAGATGTATTGCCGTGTCGCGGAGAAATGCTTATAGGAATGTTTGATCTTAATCTAGAAGTGGTTGAGAATAGCACTACTACTAGAATACATTTGTATCTTCACTTGACTGCCTATATATAGCCAAGGTTCAGACAGGGTAGTAATGTAGAATGGAAAACGAGGCGAGAGTAGAGAAACCATCTAATGCACCCCCCTAAGTTGAAACTAATGAATGAGAAGAAATAGGAATGAATCGATGATGAAATGAAGTAGCCTCTTGGTTCTGCTCTTGCACATCAGTTCGTGTTGTAATCTTGGCAAAAATGGACTTTCACAATCCCTCGTGAAATGATCAACGAAATATATATGATGCTATGGTTTGGCTAGAAATAAGCTTCGTATCCTGCTATTCTTGTCGGACTATTGGCTTTGCCATGAAAGAAATAGAGGATAGATGGATGCAATATGAGAGTAGGAGACGTGAGTTGTCTCTGGCTGGCCAATGAGCTAGGGGGTTAAAAGAGGGACATGAATGGCTTGGCAAAGTTAAGCTAACATACTAATACTTGTCGGTTTGGAGGGAGTCTTCATGTTGTTTATCTTATGTATGTGCTGATTTATTGATGACGATCTGAGCATCTTTATGATGCATGTATGGCTTATAATTCAGGCTGTAACTCGCAATTGTAGCTTGCATCAATACATCACTCTAACCCAACACGCACTGAATGGTCCTTGCCTGGGTAAACCAGTATCCGTTCCATTTCCCAGAGACGCCGTCGTTCCAAGTTGTCAAGTCGGCAACGCCGGGGGTCCAGATACCGCCCGAGTTGAGGTTGCCAGAGCTGGCGAAGCAGTTTCCAGGCTCAACAAACATGGAGCAAACCCAGCCTATGAGTTGCGGTTGTTTAGAATTCAGGAGTCAACGCATATACATTTGAGAGGATAATTTGGATACTCACCAGGATCGGGACCAATTGATCCCAGAGTCTGCCACGGAATTGTCCAGCAACCGCCATCAGTCATCTGAACGTCCTGACATAGGTTTGTTGGTGACCAGTTGCTATAATTGCCCCAGAATATTTAGATCATTGTAAGAAGCCATGCCGAGTCAGAGAGAGCTTACGGGCCGGGGCAGACATAAACACCGCCAGATGCACGCTCAGTCACGTTGACGGGGTTGGCAAGTCCTAGACTTAGCAAAGAGCTCGCGATGATTGTGATGACAAACGCCTTCATTTTGATCTAAAAGTTCTTGGCCTACTTTAGAAGAGATACTTGAGAGAAGTGCCTATTCGAGTGATATTCGGGACAGATCTCTCTCCTTTTATAACGAAACACACCGCCCTTGCTATTATGCTTGGTAACCTGTTAGGTAGAACTGAGTAAGGTTGCTAAAAAAAACTTCTCCATATGCTTATAAGTCTTATAATTGATCGTAGTTTAGAAACACCAGCGCTTAGACCTTGCTTGTAACGCCCTTGGGCTAGCATCTCATGACTAGTGCAGCATTCACGGTCGAGGACGACAACAACCATCCAACATTGTGCCGATATTCCGAGTAAGCTTACAGAATACCTACTACTTTGGTGAAAAGTCAACATGATTCGGAGATAGTGGTCAATAGACTGCGCTGGGGAATGAAGTGATAAAAATGGCGATGGGTATAATTTCATGCGGTGGACAGCGGAACTATCTCTATTTCTGGAAACTTGCAGATGAACACGTAAGGTAGAAAGATTTTTTCACAGATGATGAAGATATTATAAATGATCAAACTAAACTAGAATTAGAAGCGGTTTCGGCCTATGTTTTCTCTAAGACAGCTATGGAGATCTTCGATACTATGCGAGAAAGCCGAGGCAGCTGTAAACTCTACATGGAAACAGAGTTAGTCTGTATGTGTTTTATTGTGTTGTATATGAACAATTAAGTCGTATATATTTTCGGAACGGTGATTCTAGCCAGGTCTCTTGGTCCTCATATTGCCGAAGCCTCAACTTTGGTACTCCGAATGCCGCGTGAGCTTGGGTTGTTTTCTTTCTTTTTTTTTGTTGTCCCAGCTGCAGATACCCACTTTGGCTGTTACCCAGAAGATCCGACCCCACTAGTAATGGTAACAGCTTATAATAGAATCTTAAGGTTTGAATAGCTGCACGAGCTGAATCTTTTCTTCTCTCTTTCTTCTTCTCTTTTGCCAAAAGGTCTAGATGCGAGCCCTCTTCACTGCGGTATATGGCGACGTTTCCGCTCAGTGGACATGGGAATTTCTACATTCGGTTTACGAATCGATGATAGCTTGGTGGTGTGATGGCCAAGTTTCAAGTTATCTGATAATCTGGTAAAGAAACTACAGAGCTTTTTTCTCTAAGGGGTGGACAAATTAAAGAATCACCAACAGACGAATGGACAAATAATAGACCAATACCCAGCCTCATGACCGGGTTGAAGCAGGGGCTGAAAACAATAATTGTTCAATGGTCAAACTGCATGGAAATAAACAAGCGCTAACTATTAGGCGCAATATACTCCGTATACCATATAGAGATGCGCAAGTAGTGATGATGGCGGATTCCAAGTAAGCATAGTGTTGATGCATCGCTATGTTTATTAATCCTCGTCAAAGAACGCGATGACCCGACTTAGTTTGTTATTAATCTTACCGAGAAGAACGGGGCTCCCTGCGAAGGTGGTTCCGTTAGCTTCAACGAGCCATAGAAATCGGGTTGCAATGAATCAATCCTAAAGCCATGGCTCGCTGGATCTGTTTGGTGTTTAGAAGAGAGGTTCTGCACGATGTACTTTAGGAGCCTATTTATTAGCTTCATCAGTTTTGTGCTACATGATTAGCATCCCCTCAAATTTCTGGGAGATACTGTCAAGTGATGGTTGCTATCTATCTTCCCGGGGATAGGAACTTGACAAGAGCGGCACAAGTTGTTCACTTGGTGCCCTTGACAATGACGTCCAGCAGATGAGCATTCGAGGTGATGCAGATCCTTGGACACTATTGCTTGGCATGCATATAATCAGGAGTTTCTAGTCATCTCTCCTCCTCAGTCTCTATCGTTCCCTGTAGTGCGTCGTTGTCTTACAAAACTCGCATGTTCGCCGTTTCGTTTTATTGGCAAGTTTTTTACTCTATTTTTATGCGATGACCTGCAAATAGATCAGATGTTGTCAACTACAGTCTCTTCGGCATTACCAAGGCATATCAGAAGAAGGAAGCTATCCCAAATGTATCACAACGATGACTTTGGAGAGAGAAAGGCAACAACAGTCGAAGCCGAGAAGAACAGTCAAGGCAATGGTCAATATTGCTCTTCTTTAGTAATTGAACAAACCCGTAATCACGATAAAAAAAGAAAACGGCTACATTGCTCGGCATTCTATCTATTTTACTCTCAATATTTGATAGCCGGATGGGGACTTATCAAGGTTGTGGCGGTGGTAAGTATGCTTCATGTGGATGCCAGCCGTCAACCTGAGTTTGCTAGGTACATGTAGTCCAGGTATCTAGACCACGAAATTGGCTGAGACGTATGTAGCATTAAGACTCCTGATCTGGGCTGTTTTTTCTTTCCTTTTGGCAGCATAGACAATCTTACCAAGGCTCAATGCTGGATTAGAAGAAGCAGGATGAAGAGACGGGGGCTTTAGGTGCTATTGCCAGGCTGTAGCATACCCATAGAATGTGCATGAGCTAAAAACAAGCCACTGACGCGCCAAGTCCAGCACATGCACGGTAGAAGCAGTATCGTCACTTCGGCTTATCGCCGGGAAAGCGTGCAAGTACCGAGCACTGGCGGCGCTGCGGAAAATATTCCTTCCAGTTTCATCACCTCTCACCAACTGCATCGTCTTCCGAGTCACCACGCCACACTCTCGCAACAACCAGCCGCATCCACGACTACTCCCGCCTGCAGCAAATCCGGCGAGCGCTAGACTGTGCAAAGATTCACTGCACGGTCACAACCTTCCTACCTTCTCCATCTCTTCTCTCAGCTATATGACCCAAGAGCCTATCAAGACTCCAAAGCAGCTCCTGAGCAACAGCAATCTCGATTCTCTCCACCTCTCCCAGCATGGCTCTCTTCCCCGCGATGCGAGTGGCCTCCGTCGAGACCTCTCAGGCGGCCTCAGCCACTCTCGCCTCGGCCCGGATGACCAGCGTCAACCCCTCCCAGACGAGAGTGGCGCCGGCGTGAATGCCGACCAGCTGGACAAGAAGCTGCAACGATTGACTCTTGGCGAGGCTCTACATGACCGCCCTTCTGTACCCGGACAGCGAATCTCCGAATATGAGAAAGCTCTGGCCTCCCAGACTGCGAAACAAGACGTTGGATTCCAGGTGGTAAAGCGCTCAGAGCCCCGCTCTGATGGGATACGCCTCGACAACTTCCCTAACGGTATGTTGAGCAGCGCATATCAAATAGTAATGCTGCTTTGTACTAATATGGACGGACAGAGATTCTAACGCACATATTTTCGCATTTGCCGCCCGATTGTCACTCCTCGGTGGCGCTCGTATCGAAACGATTCTGGGCACTGGTTACCACACATCATGCTTGGCGCATGGCGTTTATGCGCTACTTTCCAGGGCATACCATCCTGGACAACCATGCCAAAGCCGATGCGACAAATTCTGGGACTGCAACTGCACCATCCTCTGATATTTTGCGTTTCGAGACCCGATACTTCCCTCGGCTTACATCGCTGGCTACCTGGAGAAGCGAGTATCTTTTGAGAACTCGTCATCTAAGAAGCTTGGCTCGTGGAAAGCCAGGGACTCCCGCAGGAGGGACCTTGTCTGGCCGAGTTGGTCGCGCTGGGAAAAAGAACAGCGCGGTTTTAACATACAATTCGAAGCTGCCTTGGCAAGTGACCAACATCCACGCCGTCTTCTTAAACGGGAAGAAGCCACCGCGTGTCGTTCAAGGAGCCGGGGATCTCGGCGCAGCGTCTGTTAGCGACCCTACGACGGGCAAGATTGAAAAATGGGGCCTTGAAGATCTATTCTCGATGCCACAGTTGGACGAAGTCGCTCCAAATTTGTTGCCTTATGGTCTGGGAGACGGACCAGCAGGTGTCCCCAACACCATGGATGTGAGCTATACTTATGGCGTGGTAGCTGGAGAGGGATTCCCAGGTGGCCGGCCGTTCTTCCGAGGAATCAATGTACCGCGCGGGCGCTACATTGGTGCAGAGATTAGTGCCGTAGACGCACATCCGGACATACCCAAGATCCCCGAAATGTCCGATGCAATCTGTAGCGTATGGATTGCCAAATCGTCCGCTGTGACATCGACAACGCAGTCAATGTGTGGTATCCTCACGGGCTCCGCGCTTGGCGTGGTCACTGCTTACTCGCTTGGCTGGGATACTACAGGTCCAAGATATGCCAATGGTGATGTCACAGCACGGTGGATCATTAGTCCAGGGGTTCCCATCATCTCCCTGAAGGTTGACGACAGCTTCAACCAAAAGCGCAAGTCTACTTCTAGAGTCTGGGCGGTAGCCCTGAATGCACTGGGTGAAGTGTATTATCTCTGCGATGTCCCTGTTGGAAAACCCGTTCGTGCCAGTGGAGAAGATATGACGAGGAATGCCTGGTATACTGGTCGTACAGTATACTGGCACCTTCTGGATGCAACCCGCAGAGTTGCTCGGGAAGATGAGTTGGACAAGAATGCAACCCGTGGAGCATATTCGCCTCGGTCACCCTCAAATGGTATGCACCTCAGCAAAGAGCAGCTAGTGGCAGAGGCCCGGGAAATCGAAAAATTCATGAGATACAGGCCCTCCCACTTCCGCAAAGTTTGTGACGGCTGGGACATGCAGCGAAAGCTTGAAGTGGATTTTGCAAGCGACGATGGCAAGGGTGCCGGAGAGAATATCTTTGTGATTGACTGTGGTACGGCTGAAAACCGCCATGCTAGTATCCAACGCTATTCGCGGTCCTTGATACCCGCACAAAAACCTCCTAGCGAATCTACGACGCCTGTGGCACCAATTTCTACGTCGCTTTTCGGTAGCATTGGTGGGTTTGACCATCGGATCTCTCCAGTTTCCGAGTCTCAAACACCGTTGTCTCCGCCCCCAACTCCAAAGTCACCGCCAGTGCCCTCGACTGTTATCCACGACTGGTCAGAGCAGGCTTTGGAACTCAAGGGCTACAGCCACGATATTATAACGTCAGTCGCTTTAGACAACTCTCTTCCATCGCTTTTCACTCTCGGGGAAGATCCCTTGCATACTGCAAATGAAGCTTCATCTACGACGAGTCCTTGGGCTGATCACGGTTCAAGAGAGATTCCGGGACGCAGAACTCGTTTCATCGTTATTGGGACCAACAGCGGCGCTGTTCTTGTCTGGAATGCCCGAGATGATGACAAGACACGCGGAATCCAGCCACTAAGAATCCTCCAAACCGAGTCGCCAGAGGTGTCCGCCGTTGCGGCTTCTGGACTGTACTTGGTCCATGGCGGCAGCGATGGCCTTGTCCAAGCCTGGGATCCCTTAGCATCTATAGTGGAACCTATAAGAACAATCAACGCTAGGTCAAATAGCCGAGTTCCTCGCCAAATGCTAGTCATGAACCCAGCGCTGCGGGAGAATACATACTCTGCTGTGGGAGCGATATTCCTCGATCCTGATCCTACAACTCTTCAGGGTGTGGTCTCTTTTGGAGCTTTCTTGAGATATTGGTCATATGGATCACAAGGCCACGCTGCAGGACGCAAGCGTCGCGTTCGACATGCTGATATGGATAATCGTTTAGCTAGCCGCCGCCAAGGTGCTGCGGTGACGGACTATATCGCATCTGAGGAGGCTGAAATGCATCGAGAAGATGAGCAGCAGGCTCGCGAATATAGCCGTCGTCTCAAGAGATTTGGCGCCCTAGGCGACTTGACCGAAGAAGAAGCAATCCTTTATGCGCAAATGGTTTCTGAAGAAGCTTATCACGCTGAAGAGCAGCGGCGAGCCAGTGATTCAGCAGCTGATGCCAGTCTCGACACTGCTTCCTCCTTCAGCGAGAATACCGTAGAGACTGTAACGCCAGACCCCAGCATTGTCGAGCCGTCAGCTTCAGAAGCCAACGGCGTGGCTGAGAGCGAGTATGAGCAGCAAATCCAGCAAGCCATCCGATTATCTCTCATGGAAAGCGTCGGCAATGAAGGCGGACAGTCCCCTATAGAGACGTCGCGAGGGAACAGCTCTGGCGACTTCGATCTCCCCGTCAACGTCAAATACAAGCCTGAGAGCAGTAAGAAGGGGAAGCAATCAGAATCTGGCTCGCCATCGTCGAGCCACACGCCCGTTGGCGGACCTTTGTGGCAAACAACATCTGAAGATGAAGATTTAGCTATAGCTTTAAGTTTAAGCATGCAAGATCAAGGAGGTTACTCGCCGCCGCCATCGTCAGATCCAGACGTGGGGCTCGGTGCCCAGCATGAGGAGTTCCCATCCTTGCCTGGCGATGGATTTGGGAAAGGGAAGGGCAAAACTGTCCAGAGGTGGTGATGAAAGGAGGGGAGAGAGCAGTCTCGAGGTGGAAATTGGTTGAAGACATTTTTTACATTCTAGGACATGGACAAGTGCGGATGTGCCTGCCATGCTTCATCTTTTGAACAATATTCAAGTTAGACATTTGAAACTCTACATTATTTCTTGCGCGCGAGTTTCGACAAATACAGTTTTGTTTACCAGAATGATGATGTTTTTGGTGAGATGTGAAAACTTCAAATTCATACTTTTGCTTCATTAGCTGTCATTGTCTTTCTCGGCAATCCGGCTTTATGGCAATTGCCAAGTCATAAAGAGTGACATTTTATTGAATTATTGTACAGGTAAATTTAATATACATCCTTCGTAGTCGTTAAACCGGTGTGACTATGAGGGAGATATCAGTGACCGCTAGCACTATCCCTGAGCGAAGATAGATCTTGAACTTTGCCAAGATTTTGTGTTCTTTCACTAAGCAAAGCTATCCCTTTCTGCAGCATAGAACCATTCCTTCTATAACCCAGTAACTTTTGACCCAAAACTTTTCGTAATATCCCAGCAATCCCAATTCGCCTAGTGTTGATGACATGTTCTATGCGCTTCAGATAGTTACCCAAACGCTTATTGCTAAGCAAATAAACAAGGCACTGAGCTCTAGGCGTATTGAAACCGCGCTGCTTTCGTCGTCCCCTCCAAGATCATCTTGATTCCCCGTTTTGGCAGGGAAATTAGGCATGGAAGGCAACAAAGTGGCAGTGACGGAACTCTCCGGGTAAGTCAACGTTTGAGATGACAGAATCAAGCCATTGGGGCCTATGGTGATAGTTTGGTTGTCGATGACTGTCGTTTCCACGTTACTCAGATCACCGTCTATATTGATTGAGTAGGTTACCCCGTTGACTACAACAAGGGATGGCAGTAGCTTTCCTACTGTGATTCCTCCGACAATCTCATACTCGGTGTTGGTAGAGTTTGCTGAAGGCCCTCCTAGAATTGTACTGTGAAGAGATACACCCCTTGGGCCGATTGTGATGGTTTCGCCGTTAATAATTGTTTGCTTTGGGGCGATGTTGGCACCATAGGTGATAGTTGTAGAATGTAGAACAACGATGGAACTACCTATAGCTGTGACCATCTCTCCTCCCGTGACAATGTCATGAGTTGGTCGAGGTGATAGGTCCTGGAAGATGAGAGTCTCATGACCAACAGCTATAATTCCCGTCCCAAAAACGACCCTTTGGCCACTGATAGTTGTCGTTGCCTTTTCTGGTGAGATGCTCAGCGTAATGCCGTCAACAACAGCCTTTGTTCCTGAGATTATAACTGGAACTCCACCCAAGACTCCAGATGTGACTGCTGGGGTAGGTGTGGATACTTCTTGAGGTGCAGGTTTTGTGACTGTTGAACCCAAACCAACAACTGCAGTTGGAAAAATTGTGAATACATCAGTTCCGACTGTGATTGTAGTAGTCTGGCTCGGTCTCAGGCCAGATACTGTCTTTCCGTTGATGATAACTTGGTCTCCTCCGGCAGTGACTCGAAAAGTAGGAGCTGGAGGTTGCTTGACGCTTTGCAGAAGATTGGAGATGGGCGTACCAGTTGGCGGATTATCTATTACATCCCTAGTTCTATGAATACCATCTCCAATATCACCAGTGATCCACGTTGGACTGAAATCAGGAGTTGGTTCCGGTGCAAAAACTACGGAGGGGTTCTTGTCGGTTGTGATGAAAGTAATTATTCGCCGAGTAAACGATAGAAACGGTCTCATCGTGACAGTTATTCCACCTCCATTTCCCCCAGTAGCATCAGGGGCCGGCGTAATGATCTCCGGAAGGTCAAATGAAAACGTAATGGTTGGAAGAGGAGCAGCCAAGGCCGGTATACTGAAGTCAATTGTTGCAGAAGCCGTAGAGAAAGTTGCGGCCGTCTCCGGTGCAGTCGAGTTGGATATGTGGGTTGTGCTGTAAAACGTAATTAGAGCCTCGCCTGTAGGAGAGCAGTAATTTGGCGTTGTGATGGGCGAATAGGGAGGAGTATAGTCAGTACTATTCCCATAGAAGGTGATGGTTGTAGTATAGACAACGGAATATTCGGTAACAGCTCTATCACCAGGTAATGGAGTACACGGTACTATTGAAGTCGTGTTTATTAAAGAAGAATTGGTGGGGAAAATATTAAATTTGCCGCCCGTCGTTGGAACAACGGACGAAAATACCGAAGCATCAACATTTCTCCAAGATGTGGTGGAGAGAGTACTACTAGACGACTCTATAATATAATTCGGAATTGGCGTCGATATTTGACTGTGTTCTCCCGTCTCGTGTATGCTATCGGTCGCTGATAGTGAAGTAGGTCTCTTGAGATCATCGACTTCAGCACTTGGTACGGGCGTGGTAGATGGTGAAGAGGATGTTGATGGGGACGCTTGATATAAAAATGAACCTTCTGTGGCATTGAATTCCGCCGTTGGTGCAGAATCTGTCTTGGATATAGAAAGTTTGTTGTATTTGGTAGCAAATTCTGTCGGTTTCCAGAGTGTATCCTCGACCGCGGTATTACCTGTCGACAAGAGGCTACCTTGGACATTTTCCAAGGTACTATTGGACTGAAACAGGCGTCGCTGGTGGCGATGCTGCGGAAGTTCTGTATCGATATGTGAATAATAATATCCCTTTTGTCAGTAGAGCAAAAAGCTGCACACACCTAGTCTCGTAGCCGCTGTAGCAGCCTCTATGGCAAATGCTGTATAAAACAGCAGCGCAACATTTATTGCTTTCATCGTATTCCCGAAGATCGCGAGAATAGTTCAGGTCAATATATGCTTTAACTAAAGCTTATGGATACAGAACAGGATAAGTCAGTGGCTACGCCATCGAACTATAGTGACACAAAGATTTATAAGGGCATCATAGTGTGTGGCTAGATTTGAAGATTTCACCGAAAGCGAATAGCAAGTTGAAATGCTCTGCGCAAACAATAATCAGCTGCGGGACTGGGCTGCCTACTACGGTGGCGAAGCAGAATATTCGCGAATAGGCTCAGCTTGCTAGAAGAAAGCTCGGTCCAGGATATATGCGAAGTGCACCAATATTGCACCTGGCACTGCCGTAGTCGACTGCAGGCGAATACAAGTAGGAGATGAATACGAACAGCAGCTGGTCCTCACACTAACAGGACTCCATGCATCCTCTAGCAATGGCTAGCCTACCTTGGACCAACACACCATTTCGAGCTTGAAAAAGGGAGACGAAGAAGCGTCGAGTAACTCCGGCCGTTGTCGTGAGACATGGAATATCTGGCCAATATTCCTGACTCTAGAGTGGCTACACAGGCCTCCAGATATTGCAATTTGACTGTGCATTCTGGTAATGCTTCGTATATAGAGAGTTATGAGGTGCCGTAGGTTTGACAAGTATAAGCTGCACGAGCGGCTAGATGCAGAGACGTGGTGTTCCGTCAAACCCAGGCAGGCCAAATTTCACCAATAGATCAGACCAAGTCAACGGTCTACTATACACTCAGCCTTCCGACATTGACGGAGACACAGCGATGCAGCCAACCAGACCGTGGTGTGTCTTGGGTGTTGGAATAGGGGGCTTGGGGCCAATGGTAATTAAAAGGGAGAGCAAGGTCTTATTGTCTCATTTGAAACCCCAGTGCTCTGTACCATCATCAGAATTTCCCGCACGATACATATGGCTAGGCCAAGCCAAAGAAGGATTGTGTGTGACGCATGACAAGGTCACGGCTGCGTATACTTTGCAGGTGCTTCAAGAGATTGCTAGCCTCCGATGCAGGGCGGATGTAGGGGGGCAAATAATGCCCTCTCATTTGAAGCTTTGCGGCTCGCTTTCCGTGAAGAGCCCATGTACAACATGTGCTGAGCTCCAGTGGAGCTAAAAACCATAAATCGTTTTTTTTTCTGGGCGAAATTAATGTGCGGATCTTGGCGGCTTTCCTAATTTCAGCTGCAAGTATCGCCAACTCTAAATTCGAATGATCTTATTCTCCCTTGCTGGAAGTCTCTCTTAGCGTCCAATAACGCATCGCGTGGATGATCCGTTCAAATAGCAGATGCGTAAGAGAGATGATTGCGAGCTATTCACTAGATGAGAAAAGCCGACGTTTCTTTTTGTCCGTATTCTGAGACACCACTCACTCCCTTGGCTCAGCTTGCAGCGGTAATGCCGAATTATGATCAGACGGCCTGTAATCCGCATATTCCCTTGCATGTCTAGCGACTATCGCTAGCAACTATGCGGAGTACTGTGGAGAGCTTTGCAGCTAGAGGCATACCATGGATAGGCTATGTTCCTGGCGTTGCTACAAGGGTTGTATCATGGGCCGCCTATCGTGCCTTTCCCGCTGTTGGCAGTTCATCATTCCTTTGAGGCGGGTAGGTCGATTTCCCAGCTGCCAGCGCGGCGAAAATGACAACTATTTGTCCTCGGAAAATGAGTAATAATCAACGTCTCTCATCGCTTTACGGTGAATTGGAGTCTTCTCGTCACTAGGAGCAGTTGGATGTGATCGTAAAAAGATCTGACATGATCTACGAATATCCTCCGGAGCACATACGAATTATCATTGGAAGTATACAGGCATCGAAGGCCCTCGCCAGTTCTATGCAGCAGTCCAGGGTAGCTTTTGAGGCAGCTTGGCTTGGATGTCTCGGGCGCTTATTCGTATAATGGTGTAAACTGTATATCCAAGCAGGATTTGTTTGTGTGGTTGATTCTAGAAGGGATGGGAATTTTTGTGTTTTGGGTTGGCGACACTCCCGTCATAGCTCTTCGTTTATAGGCAATGAGGAAGGAACCTGCGTGGTAACCCTCTTGGTTTGTAGCGGGTACAGCGGCTCTCGCCAAACCGAGGCGGCAAACTTGAAGAATTCCTACGTAATTTGTACTTCAATCACTTTGGCTGGCTGTACAACGGGATGCTAAAAAGTAATTCCGTGATTGACTATCTCAGTCCCGCCCCCAACATGGCAATCTCACCATTACTCACACTACCGCTCTGGCCAAACCGGTGGTGGCAGAGGTCTGGACAATTGACCATCTCAGCTCGTCGAGATCCTCCCTGGTAAGTTCCGGGGTATGGAGTCACTTCATATTAGCAGCAGTGCTACTAAAGACTTGGAAGTGGCCGTGCTAATATACTTTGTACTATGTATGTACTACTACTACTAGTGGTGGTATCCAGCACTGTTGCGAATCCAATATGGAGCCCACCGGCTGGCAATGGCGTGTGGCAGGGAGCTTAGCTCCGGCAGACGATCCCTGGTCAGCACTTTACTTGCACACTCTGTGCTGTTGGGGCAACGCAAAGGTCTTCGACGAACCGGGAAGTTCTACGGAGTGTGCGGCGAAGTGTTGGCGCGTGCCAGATTTTCAGCCCCCGATATTCTTGGCTACCTACGAGATGCAGAATACTGGCATGAATCTAGGCGGTATTCCTGTCCATGTTCGAATGGCCAGGCCAATGCGCCGTGTGTTACGCAGCTCATACAGACAAATGCTCCTTGAGAAGAGTGTGGGATGGTGGGAACCGCTCACGGCGCCCAGTCGCTAACCCCGGCTTCAGCCATCTGATCAGTGGGCCTCCATCTCCAGATGTTGCTATGGAGTAACAAATGATGCTGATCAAACTCTCGTTATTTCATAGAGACATGCGGAGTACTCCATAATTGGCGCCGTTTTACAGCCTTTGTGAAGAGTCGAAAGCTCCATACTCAGCCAGCTGCCTTACGTATGGGAGTCGTAGCCAGCGAGGAACATCAACATTCCGACGACATAACGCGGCTGGCAATAAACTGTGCTCCGTATGTCGTACTACAACAACAAATGGTGCGCGCCGCGCCGCCACACCGAGTCCAGGGTCGCCATCAGGTCAGGTATGTGGACCATGCGTATCAAGCTTAGCGTTGATGCTGTCTTGTAAATGTCCGAAACATTAAGTAGCCAGAAAAAACACTGACAATTTGGCAATTAGACTATTTCCCCTGCCTCGCCCGAAATGTCTGACTTACACGGTAATTGGGCCGAGGAAACCCAGTACGCTCTGGTCACCAGATATATCGCCAAATATCTTTCATACTGTCGTTTCCTGTCGCTGACAGAAATGTGTATTGTATTATGGTATCATCATCGAATTGGCCGAAATGACTTCACTGCGGTATGTACATGTCAAAGGGCGTACGCCATGTAGTAGTACTCTCCTTGGTGAGCTAGACCGTTTCCTCCCTGCTTTAGCCTCTCAGACATGAGGTGTGAGCTTTGCTGACCCAAAACCATGAGTGACGAAATAGAAGCGGTCAAGCATAGACTGTCTCGACCGATGCTATCGCAAAATCTTCTACTACTGGTTTGTCGAAGAAATCCCATTGCTACGCCTCGTACGGCTAGCCAATACATAGAGCCAGACAATTGGGGACGACTTGACCGAGGAACATATGGCCGTCCCTGTATTCCAAACGCGTGAAGCGTTCCAAGTGTAACCCCAGCAAGGCATTGGCAACTGAAACCATTCCCCATCTGGTCCCATTCTGGCGCCCAGGTATTAGCAGTACTACTAACATTAGCGTTTCCGTGAGTAGCGGCGGCTTGACGGCTGGCGTAAACTGGCGTTGCTAGGCTGATCGTAGCGGGCTTCACTGTTAGACATCTGAGATGGAGCCCTGTCTGTCCCAAAGTGATATGGAATGCTTGGAGTGGCCCCTCTTGTCGGATCTGTGGCGAGTGTGCAGGTGAGTAGACGTTCATCCCTCTCGGTAAAGTTGTCAAGGGCGGCGGCGACAAGGAACCTCCAGGCCCCATTTTCTGGGAGATCGACCTGGCATCTGTGCGTGCTCGGTGCCGTTAGCAGCAGCGTCCAGTGCCTGGCACAAAGCACCCTCCCCGGCCAGCCATCCGAGGGCCCGCTAGAAGGTGGTCAAATCCTTGCATTTCTATCCCTTGCTGTCGTTCTTCTTCATACATACAGCGCGGCCGTACTCTTTGGGAATCTCATGGTAACTAAGAACAAAGCGTTCTCGCTGCGTGAACCTGCCGGATCACGGGCTATAGCACTCTTTGAACGCTGCGAATTCCGTAACACCACGCGATTATACCCCATGGATGCGGTTATACGGTAGTGATATAACGGAAGCTGAGCGGTTCTCATGATACCAAGCCTTGGGTCCCCAGCAGCACCACAATCTGGGAGTCCTCCTCTTAGCGCGCGAAGTTTCGGTATTGCAGCACTGGCGTCGACGAAATGCGTCTTGGTGCTCTGATAATTGCGGCAGCAGCTGGTATTGTCTATGCAAATGATCCGGCCCCGGTGTCATTCGATGCCGGAGAATGGTATGCTTTCACTCCCGATTTCTTTCTGGTAGCTTATGGATATTGCAATGAGTTGCGTTCATGTATCTGACCTTGGCTTGGTAGGCTTGGAATTGACGGGAACTGGTCGACTATCAAAGTTTTGCTGGGGTCAAATTCAGATCTTGTCAATGTTCTCTTGAGCACATCGCTTTCCGAATTTTGGGCGATTGGACCTGGAGGGTGTTTAAAAACTACATCGCCGTCTCAGCATGATCGAGGTCCGCCGCTTGCAAGAGGTCTCGGGGGGCCCGACCGCCAACATCTCTCTCCTTCATCTAGCCAAGGAGCTGAATTGGATATCATAGAGGAACCACATTGTGCTACTTCTCGCGGTGGCATTTATACGCCCTTTGAATCTAAACATTGGTCCTACATGGGAATTTGGCAACTCGGATTGGATTATCTGGGATACGGTGGCAACGGGCAATATGGGCTCGACACAGTCAACGCATACAGCACCATTACCGATATCGGTTTTGGAATGTCCAATGTCCTTATGTCTGCCATCAACACAACAGACTATTACATAGGTCTTTTCGGGCTAGGAATTACTCAGGGCAGCTTTGGCCATGAGATAGCTCAGTCACCTTTGACGCAAGCCGTCCGCACCTTTGGATGGATCCCCAGCTACAGCTACGGCTATACTGCCGGTGCTTCTTATCGTAAGTGAGGAGTTGATTGTGTTCAATGAATAGTGCTAATTTTAGAAACCAGGAAATATTCCAGTTTCCATTACTTTGGGTGGCTCTGACACAGCTAGATACGTCCCGCACGACATTGACTTCACATTAACTCCGCAGGATAATATGCCTCGCGCCTTAGTTCGAGGTATAGAAGCCTCTACGAATAGCGGTACCGAAAAACCAAAAAAATGGTATTCCCAAACTTCCAGCCTCTCAGGCTGGGACAATTCTTTCACTGCCTTGATTGATAGTACTACTCCGTATCTGTGGCTACCGAATGCTGTGTGTGATCAGTTTGCAGATGCTTTCAACTTGACCTACAACAGCACCTTTGATTTGTATACTCTGACGAATGAGCAATACAATGCCTACGGCTCATCCGACTCATTTACATTTACGTTTAGCCTCTCGAGCTTTGACAACCATGATAACTTTGGGTCTCCGTTGAATGTGCCCGGATTGGTCAATATCACCGTGCCAATGCAAGCGTTCGTTGGCTTACTACAATATCCATTTAAGCACCGGGCTATCAAATATGGAGACCCGGCTGTCCCATACTTTGCATTGCGGAGGTCTCAAAATGATTCTTCAATCATCATTGGCCGCTCATTCCTGCAGGAGGCATACCTGATCACCAAATACGACGAGGCCGTATTTTCAGTATACCAGGCCAAATTTCCTCAGCGGCCCGTAACAGATGCGAATTTGATACCGATTAAGCAGCCAAATAACAGTCCTTACCCAGGGCCACCGACTCAAACCAGTGCCAAGCTAAACACAGCGCAATTGGTAGGTATCGCTGTTGGAGCCATCTTGCTGTGCCTACTCTGTCTTGTGAGCGTGTGCTACATGTGCCGCCGAAGGAAGTCGGAGACGAAAGGCGACGAAACAAGCACCAAGGAAGCGAAAGACAGCGCGTCTACTATGGTTCCGGATACACCTAGGATACCTAAACCCGCCATATTTTGCAGGTTTTCAAGACGAAAAAGGTCAAGAAGTGAAAAGGCCGACATAAGCCCTACCGTTGCCACATCGAACTTCATGGAGGCGCCAGATTCAGAAATTTACGAACTCCCTGCTCCAGTGGCTCCCGTGGAACTCGATGCCAGCGATGGAGATGACGACGATATCTCAATAATCGGCATTACGACTCTAGGCGCCGAAACTACACAGAGCCTCAGCGCATATGAAGTAGCACGGAGGAAGCTTGATAGACAGCTTCAAGGACCTCTCCCAGAATATTTCCCACCATCGCTGAAAATCGTACTGCCTCAAGAGAAATCATTTTCATATATTGCTAGTCCAACTCAAACAACCTCGAGCAAAGAGATAACCCCAGTCTCTCCAATTAGATCGGGAATAGGGACCGCATCGCTCCCAGGATCGCTCCCTTCGCCCATCTCCTCTGGATCAGGATACAATAGCCACATGGGTAGCATACCCTATCCAACTACCGTATCTGCCGCAGGCCAATCTTCTGAAGAAAAATATAACGACGATATTATGCAATCAGAGACCAGTCAACCAAACACGCGATTTTCAAATAATCTAGTCGCATTGCACTCTAACGACGCTTTATCATCTATGGCCTGTCAGAAAACTCCAATTGACCCAACAAACATCATGTGCCTAGGCAATCTTCCAGAAAACCTCCAGTCGCTTAGACACAGTATCATGTTGGCGCATATTGTCAGCCAGGAAAATCGAGACAGTGACAGCGACTTTACACCTCGATTTAACGCTGACTGCCACCTTTCTAATCATAGCCTGGGAAGTAACTATACAGAGGAGGAAGATCGGATGATGCAGGAAATGACACGTCAAGCCACCTTCTCCATGGCCCGATCGCAGAGAGACCCCTGCTCAACCGAACATACTCTGGAGAGAAGTGAAGAGCAATGTTTGAGCCATGAAATAACGAGTCCTCAATTTTCGCCAGCAGAGGAACGTATAGATGGAAATGATATCGTTCATGTTCCCCAGATGGCAGAAAAACGATACAGCTGGGAAGACTAAAAGTTAATATTAGGCCAATCTTTTACACTGATTTGGCAAAATGAGCGACAAGCTCATATACCTTCACTTTCCTCTCTTTTCCTTTTTGGTACTCTTTATTCAGACCTCTCACCCCCCATTTTCCTATGTGTTGTATCGCCATGATTGGAGTTTTCGGTAGCGTGGGCAAATGTATTTTAGGGTTATGGTGTTTCTATGGGTTCACACCATTGGATGTATTTACAAAAACTATTGCGATAGGAACTTTAAAGGAGGATCTGATATGACCACTTATACTACTTCTCTCCTTTTTTTTTTCCTATTTACAATTTTTCTTTGCCTTCTATTCAGTGCTATAGAGTGCTTATATAATATACATTAAGATCCAAAGAAAAGAATAAAGATAATGATATATATTATACATGAATAATGGCTTTTGCTAATACTAGGCATATCTCTTATAACAAGAAGAGTATTTCCACTCTGTTTAAGATTTCGCATTATACATCATGATATCCAGGCAGAGTGCGTATCCAATTATTGGAGAGTGAAGCAAGAATAGCCAATATTCTTTTTTAATACACGCCGAAATATACAAGTCTATCCTTTAATTTATGACAATTCTCACACAAATTATCTACCAAATTTCCTGCCACCATGTTATCGCTTCCAACATCTCCTTCCTCGCCGCCTCATCTCCGCTTTCGACAAAAGGATCAAAGACCGCACGCTTGCATGAATCGGCCATCTTGGAAGAGCCTCCACAGACGGCAAAAATAGCCCTTTTGGGAATCAGCTTCTCCAGCCGCGGTGCTTCCCGGCGAACCAAGTCCTGCACATAAATCTTCTCGCGCTGGTCTCTCGAGAACGCCGTGAATACCAAGAGTTGGGTGTTCTTCTTTGCCGCCACCTCTGACAGCGTGCGCCATTCGTCTTCGAAAAAGTAATCGGCCGCACGGTTACGGTTGCCGAAGAAGATAATCATGGGTGCTGGGCTGGGATGTGTGAGGCGTTCGTGGATGAGACATCGGACGGGCGCGACGCCGGTGCCCGTGGCCATGGCTATAAGCGGCCGCTGGGAATTTGCGGTGCCATGGATGGGTGACAGGACTGGTTTGTAGGAGACGCGCAGGGTTGAGCCGGGGAGGAGGCTGGCGAGGTAGCGAGAGCAGAGGCCTTCTCGGGGTTTGCGCAGGATGGTACGGTATTTCACCATGGCGACCAGAAGCTCGACGTTGGTTGTGTCGTTGTTTGAAGGGTGGTTTGCTGATATGCCTCCGTTGGCGATGCTAAAGTCACGGCCGCGGATTAAGGGGAAGACATCGAGGAGTCGCTCGGCCGGGATCTTGACAGAGGTGAATTCATCGAGGACTTCGATAATGCTACGGCGGGATCGTGTGGCATAGTCAAAGTACTCGTCTATGTACTCTGTCATGGTGAACTCGAGTAGCCGCTCACGATGATATTCGTCGGTAGAGAAGTAGGACATGTTCTTTAAGAAAGAACGACGTGGGATGGCAGTGATGTCGATATTGTTGAGGAGCAGGTCGCGGAGCGTACAGCATGCTGGGGCATAGAGGTTACGCGGGAGAGACTCGCAAGCAGATAGATTAAGTGGTTGGTCGGCGATGTTGTTCCAGTCCATAAGGTCAATCAGCTTCTGGACGTCGTGGGGAAAGTTCTTTGGGTACAGCGTAAGGCAGTCTCCGGGAACACATTGAATTTTCCCACCTGATTGATGGGCGGGGACGTCAAATGATGCAAGGCGAACATCCTGCCAGTGTTCCGTTGGAGTAAGTCTCTCATTCTTGGTCAGTGTCGCTGTCCATCCGGCGGGGATGGGTAGAAGCCCGGGGGGAGGCAAGTTTGGCGCCGTGAGCGTGCCATTTGTGTCGCTTAATCTGAGAGGAGATAAATCGACAACTTGGACTTTTTCTGAAAGGTCTGCTAATGCTGGACCTAAAGACCAACGAGCTGGGAGCATGGTGTCGTCGGGTATTGGCTCTAAGCCTGAGGGTGGCGGATAATGCTCTAGGAGGTGCTTTCTTAGGTCGTCGGCCCATCTTACGAAACTACCATCAATGCTATGAAAGTAGAGTATTAGTTTCGCGCCTGTGTGTATATCACATAGGAAGTTACAAATAAATCTTACCCATCTGGAAACTGTTCGTCTGCTTCACATATATCGACGAATGTGGTAGCACCAAGCTGGTCTAGTCTGCGAACAAGCTTTCTCGCGGCCCAATTGAACCTGAGAGAAAGGTCAGAAATCAATCCATCGTGCTAACTAAGTTTAAGAGGAAAGTTCTCATACTTGAGATATGTGCTGTCGCCAAGACCAAAACAGGAATACTTTAGCCGACTCAAGCAATTTGGGGGCAACTTCTTCCGCAAGAGTTTCTTCCAGAAGAGAAGTGAGTTGTGAGGCATGTCGCCTTGGCCAGTTGTTGAGATGATAAATATCACGAGCTGGTGCTGCAGCAAGACACTCTGTGATGTGGGATTTTGTTAGTCTTCAATGAGTCAGGTGGAGGGTATATGAGAGGTGAGAGCAGAGATGGCGTACGAGTTCCACGGCATCGAGCTCCTCGACATGGCTCTTGAAATGCAGCCGCTGACACAGCCGGCCAAGCTCTTCGGCTATGTCTTGAGCATTGCCCGTCTCGGATCCGTACAGGACCAAGACGCTTCTCTCGTGGCCAGTCATTGTGACGGTGGTTGGAGTCAACTGCGGCAAAACCGCCAGACAGTTTCACAGACGTCGTTGCCCGCTATCGGTGCGTATGGCTTGAGGCTCGCATAATATTCAAGGGCTCTTGCTTTTGCTCCGTCTTGTGTCTTGCAGAGTCGCAAAGATGGGTCTCTTGTATCGCGGCTCTAAACTTGCATGGGGATATCTTGGGGCTTAGTTGCATGGATGAATGCTTGTCAATGCTTTTGCGGCGCCGGGTAAGGTAAGTTTCTACGGAGTACAGTATGCTGACATGCTAGCCCATTGTGTACTAGCCCAAACTACGGACTAGCTCTGCCGTCCAATACCTAGTAATATTCACGCGTAGACGGAAAAGTGGGGCAGCAGCCGGGTCAAGACAGATTCGCAGAACTTGGCTAGCTCCGTGTACCGGAGGCGGGATGGGGTGAGGGAGAAGAGCTGGAGGTGGCTGCAGCTCGTCATGGATCGTCTACTCCGATGTCGCCCCGCACGCCAACCCTGCTGAGCTTGTGGACAACTACAGCGGCATGCGCTCTTCTGATGGCGTCGAAACGTACGCGCGATTGGCTACCTGGCACGAGCAGAGCAGCCGCATTTTCGTCTGGGCGGCACCGGAGCGTGGCTGTGAATGTCTTGACTCTGCAGTGACTGTGTGGTGCCATTCTTTTTTTTTTTTTTTTTTTTTTTTTTTTTTTTTTTTTTAATTGAGTGAGTCTTGCCCCAGGTTTTTGTCCGGCTTCGCTCTGATCCAGAGCCAAACCTTCCTTGGCTAGCCTCTGCTACCTCCCTCGCCTCCTCGCACTGCGCTGCGCTGCACTACCTAGTAGCGTCAGCGCCAGGGCCTCTCTTCCTCGTAACAACTTCTTTTCTTTTTCATCATCCTCGATCCCGAAGCAAAGACTGGCATCTTCGGATTCTCTTTCTCTTCACTGAGCGCTTGTGCTCACTCAAGCAATTGGGATCTTTCCTTCCCCATCCCACCCCGACGTTCCTTCCCTCCGAATCCATCTGCTCCTCCGCGATGATCCGAAATCGCCCTACGAGAAAGGCTACCCGCGCCCTTGGCCAGGCGAGGGCCTGGACGACGCCGCCCACAGCCACTCTTGCGCAGTCAAAGCTGCCCGCGACGCAAAGAACAAAGGTCACTGCTACCGCTTCTGCCGCGCCGTAAGTTTCTGGCTGCTTTTCTTGGTTCTTTGCACCCTCATAACCTCGTTCGTGGTGTCACGCTTCACCACCCAACAACTATCCGTGTTCCTGACTCGAAAGACGCCGAGGAGTACCCCAACGCTCGCTCCACCAAGTCAATCGATGTTTCATTGTTGATCTCATCTCAATCATGTTGCTGACCTGCTTTACAGTCAGACTCGCCCTGTGCCCAGCCCCGCCTTCAACTTGAAACCCGAATCTCGTCGACATGTTCAGCCTCTTGTCAACCCATCGAAACCCGAGATGGATGAGTCGTAAGAATTCTCTCTCAAACCACGATGAGCCATTGCTCATGTGCTTTCAGGTTCATCGGAAAGACCGGCGGCGAAATCTTTCATGAGATGATGCTCAGACACGGTGTGAAGCATATTTGTTTGTCTCCCTTCTCCAACCGAACTTGTCTTCGCCGGCAGGGCCAAATGAGAACGCATGTGCTAACTAGTCCTAGTCGGCTACCCCGGAGGCGCCATTCTTCCTGTCTTTGACGCCATCTACAACTCGGAACACTTCGATTTCATCTTGCCTCGACACGAACAAGGCGCCGGCCACATGGCACAAGGTATGACTTGCTTGGTTGAACAAGGTTTATATTAAATGAACAAGGTTTATATTAATATATCATAGGGTACGCACGTGCCTCTGGAAAACCTGGCGTTGTACTCGTTACGTCGGGTCCGGGAGCGACCAATGTCATCACACCCATGCAAGATGCTCTCTCAGATGGCACTCCCATAGTGGTCTTCACTGGACAGGTCGTAACAAGTGCGATCGGACTTGACGCGTTTCAAGAGTGCGATACTGTGGGCATTAGCAGGAGTGCGTGCAAGTGGAATTGCATGGTTACAAGCATTGCTGAGCTCCCGCGTCGAATTAACGAGGCTTTCGAGATTGCTACCAGTGGTCGTCCTGGCCCTGTTCTCATTGACCTTCCTAAGGATATTACAGCTGGGATTCTTCGAAAGGCTATACCAACACAAACTCGCCTACCCTCTTTTCCAAGCATCGCTTCTCAGGCTGCCAAACGACTAATGGAGAAGCAGCTTAATGCCTCCCTTCATCGTGCTGCTGAGCTTATTAAAGTAGCTAAGCAGCCTATCATTTACGCTGGCCAAGGCATTATCCAGTCTGAGGGTGGAACTGAGCTTCTTCGCGAGCTAGCTGATAAGTGTTCTATTCCTGTTACAACAACTCTCCAGGGCCTTGGTGCATTTGATGAGCGTGACGAGAAGTCATTACACATGTTGGGTATGCATGGCATGGCATATGCCAATATGTCTATGCAGGAGGCAGACCTTATTATTGCTCTTGGTGCTCGCTTTGATGACCGTGTTGTCCTGAATACTTCAAAATTTGCTCCTAATGCTAAAGCTGCAGCAGCTGAGAAGCGGGGCGGCATTATTCATTTTGATATATTGCCTAAGAATATTAACAAGGTCGTTCAAGCAACTGAGGCTATTGAGGGCGATGTTGCCACTAACCTCAAGATGCTTATGCCTATGCTCACACCTACAAGCATGGAGCAACGAAGCGAATGGTTTAACAAGATATCCGAATGGAAGGCCAAGTGGCCTCTATCCAACTATGAGCGCGCTGACTCTCCTGGAGGCAACGGTCTCATTAAACCCCAGTCCCTAATTGAGGAGCTGAGCGATCTCACCTCTAAAATTGACAAGAAAACAATCATCTCGACTGGAGTGGGCCAGCATGTGAGTTCCTCATGAGCAGTCAGCACTATTACGACCACCAACTGACCTTAAGTAGCAAATGTGGGTAGCACAGCACTACACGTGGAGAGAGCCTCGATCGTTTGTCACGAGCGGTGGACTAGGTACGTGATATTTTTGCAGCACCTTGGCCGTTTCTCTCCGGCCTTTCCTAACCCCAAACCCAAATTTTGTCATGTTTCTTGGTCGTTGAAGTTTGTAACGACCCTAATTCTGACTCTGGGATACAGGCACGATGGGCTTTGGGCTGCCAAGTGCGATTGGAATTGCAGTAGCGAGACCAGACGCCCTCGTGATTGACATTGACGGCGACGCGTCCTTTAACATGACCCTAACAGAGCTCTCCACCGCTGCTCAATTTAACATTGGCGTTAAGGTTATTATTCTGAATAACGAGGAGCAAGGCATGGTTACCCAATGGCAGAACCTGTTCTACGAGGACCGCTATGCACACACCCACCAGAAGAATCCGGACTTTATCAAGTTAGCCGACGCAATGGGTGTGCAGGCGAGGAAGGTCTCCAAGCCAGAGGACGTTCGGGCTAGCCTCGAGTGGCTCATCAACACAGACGGTCCAGCTCTTCTCGAGGTTGTTACCGATAAGAAGGTGCCTGTCCTGCCTATGGTACCAGCAGGTGCTGGCCTCCACGAGTTCTTGGTTTATGACAGAGGTAAGCTATAGTTCCTGGGACTGTAACACGATGATATGGCCATTTGCTAACGGCGGTTGATTGCAGAAAAGGACAAAGCCCGGCGACAGCTAATGCGCGAGCGAACCGGCGGTCTTCACGGTTCTTAGCCAGGAGTTCTGGAGGAAGCAAAGCTGTTAGGTGAAATTGTCAGAGGTCTATAAGGCGCATAGGTATCGTGATATTGCATTGATTCTATAACTATGGATAGGTGCATTGCGCCACCTTATATACGTCTTCTTACCTGGTCTAAATAACTAAAAGTATGGTGGATAATGCTAATTTAACTATCCCTTATTGAGGGTAACTATCTGGGTGTGTATGTTAGTGATAATCTTACTAAATGTGGTGAAAGTGGCTCGATATAAAGAAACTTAGTGTCACCAGTCAATGCACGGTCGGATTGGGTGCAACGGCAGACAAGTTTCGGCGGGCGCTGTCGTGGCATTAGCCTGATTCGGCTGCGGACCTTACATTGGGCGAGCGTCGCGGAGAAGCCAGGCAATCGTGGGCACCTGACGGTCATACCGGGCCAACAAGACAGATGCTGCCTCGTTGCGCCCAGTTTCGCCTCCCCCATCTGCAGGCCTGGCCCTGTACGGCGTTGACGAATATATGCGCTCGGGTTGGCCGAATTGATGTCCCTCCCTCGCATCCATGCGACCCTCAACGATCGGGCAGCATAAGGAAGAGCACAACCGCGCCCAAGCGGCGGAAAGCAGTCGATTCGGAGGGACTTTTGCTGATGCGAATTACGCCTCATCCGGATGGTCGTATGACAAGAGATAGATAATCCAGTTCAGCTTGGCTCGCCGTAGTTTAGGCTCTCCTCATGGAGCCATGTTGGTTCAACTGCATCAGCGTCGCGTCGAGCACAGACGCAATCAACCGACTGCGGCATTTTCTGTGACAGTTTGAGCGGATCCTGAGATTCTGGGCGGCGGCAGCTGCACCAGTCGGGGCAGAAGGCTTGTTACTGCGGCCGCTGCTTTGCGCGGTCAACGAAGGTGACCAAAATAACGCTTGGTTTATTGTGACGTGACGTGGATGGGAGACGAACAACTTGGAAGATTCGTGAATCGCTCGAGGTGTGATAGGTCCGGCGGAGTTGTGTGTATCGGAGTAGTAGCTCTAGTTTTCGTAGAGAAAACGGTGGTCGAAGGAGTCAAATGAACTCCATAAACGGAGGTGTGGCAGAGACGAGGCGAAGGAGACGGCGACGGTTAATCGAGAGTTGAAACAAACGGCCGCATCATGCGTGTATGACGAGCATGGAACGAAATCACGGCTTGCGACAGGTTGCAACATGATGAGCGGATAATGTAGGGGGATAGGCGGAGGAGGAGAAGAAAGAGAGAGAAGGTCGAAGTCAAGAGTGCATGTCGAAGGCATCGGCGGAGGTTGGAATATTTATGTACTGGAGGCGCAGTGCAGGGGTCTGGGACGACGGGGCGCCTTACTCGATTGGGAGGACCGCCAAACCCGGAGGGGCAAGCAGCGCTTACTCGATTACAATCAGTGGTTGTCATTAGTGCCCTGTAATTGTAATTAGTGCCCTGTAGCTGATAAAGTTAGTAGTTGATTTTAGTAGGTGATAGTGATTGTAAATCTTTAATTATTAGGCAGATAGAAAAGAAAGCTAATTTTATAAGAGTTTTCTATAGAAAATAGCTTTTGCATATATAATAGAAATAAATATAATTTTATAATAGCATTACTATTTTAACCCCCATCTGACTCTCACAGCCGCCTATAACTATCACAGGACCTCTTACTAGAAAAGCCCCCCCGCCTCGTAGGTAGTAGTACCTAGGTAGTACTAGGTATGTATACTGTAACTCTATACCTTAGCATTCACTGTAAACTTTAATAATATATAGCCCCTTCTCTGCAACTTTTTCCTTTGTTCTTTGTTGGCCCTTTGTGTGCCACGCCCCGACCAAGGCAGCAAAAAGCCCGCCGTACACTCCATGATTGCGATATAGGTACGTGTCTCACGAGACTCTTTGTGACCAGCAACGCTTTTTACAAGTGCTTCAGCTAGTCACACGATAGAATCCGGGGAAGACATGCTCGGTTCTTGTGGCTGGGCTAGCAAACAGCTCGGGGCACTGCTAATGGCTAGGAGCTGATGAGGCGGTACCTAGAATTACGTACAAATACAACGGTGTGCGCAAGTAGCGGCCGACAGGTCATAGCGAGCAAGATGGGAAAAGAATTAATTAATCGCCGGATCACACCCAACGGCAAAATAAGGATTTAAGCGAGACAATCAAAGGCGTTCATGCTGTCCAGGGATTGCGATATTTGGTTGTGGCCCGAGCCACGTTTCCCACCTTAGCTTGGTGTGGATCGGCCATCGACCAGGGCCGCAACAAGAGTTGCTGGGATTGCTGCGACCCTTGGAAGATGGATGGATACCTGTGCTAAGTATATCCAGGTGCGGGCAAGGTGAAGGGCGAAAGGTGAAAGGGGCCGCAAGAAAGCAACAGCAGCTTTGGATCGAGATTCGGTCCATCCATGGAACCTTGTTGGAGGTGCATGTCGTGCTTGCAATAGGTACTGTGCGGAGAGGCCTAGCCGGAGCAGATGAGACAAATACGGTAAGAATTTGGTGCAACTTAGTAATATGGACTCCTGAGCTGGGCGTGCGGCGGCAAGTTCGTGACAGAACGGGCAGCAGGCTTCATCCCCTTCTCCATAGCATGCAATATTATTTATTAGGTAGTCCTATGCACTAGCTGCAACAAGGCTGCCTCCTGAAGTCGTACATATGTATGAGTAGGGATGAACAGATGGAGGTGGGAAATAGGGGGCTTCTGATGCAATGCGGCTGCCCTTGAAACAAGCTCCCTCACGATTTTAGGGACGCAGCAGGAACGGCTTTATCTGGCCCCTCAACTGCAGGTTCCCTCACAGTAACGAGCGGCAGGCACGGAGAGACTCGGCGCTTCTGTCGCCAGGCACGAACTTTAGTCGATGCTGGGTAGACGCATTACATCAGATTTGGGCTCGCATGTCGTGTATCAGTACGGGCGGAGTACAAGGCCGTTGGGTATCCAGAAGGTGTTACAGCGCAGCTACCTAAGAGGCATAACGCTGGGTAGGTATTGGTGCTTTTGGCACGGTATCGGATGATCAACCGACGGGCTCCATGCGCCATGGCAACAAAGAAAATCATCAAATCTTACTCGCAGAATAGGGGGCATCCAGCCGGCCATTTGCTGCCTCCGCGCAGCAGACAGCTTCGATGTGTTCCAGAATATCCAAGGCGCATGTCTGTACGCAATACACCTTGACCGCATCTGCTCCAGGGGCCGCGGGGTACTTGCACCGCCGGTACTCGCTGATAGCGCAACCGGGTACCCCAAAGCTGGGGGATACATGCCGCCACTCGCGCCTGCGCCGTCCGAAGTTGCCGCGTGTCGCCTGCATCTCGCCCCCTCCCCTCTCTGCTGCATGTACCTGCCCGAGTGCGCGGTACCTGCGCCCGGAGCCCAGATGCACCTGCGATGCTCGTACCTGCCCCCCTGCACGGCCCTCTGCCAGCACCGCCTTACGAAAAAATATTTCTACGTATCGCCTCGCCGTCTCCCCTTTTCCATTCTCTTCTCTCCATCACACACCTTCAGTCAACCTGTGTTTCCGCGCAACGCACCGACGTCTGTCTCCTCTCAACTTGTTTCTAGGGCACCAAGCTACCCTGACCCAACTTCCTCCCTCATTGCACCAGAGTTCAAGTTCGACTCTTTCCATCCACCACACGTCATACGCCGACCAAGCATCCCCTCTCCATCCACCGACTCGTCACCATGTCTGCTACCAACGTGGAGAAAGGCTCCGACGCCAACCCCGTTAATGACGCTGCAAACGCTCTGGGCAACCTCTCAATCAACAAGCCTGCCGATGACAAGGCCGCCGCCAACGAGGCCGCCTCGGCCAGCGCTGCTGAGGGTCGCCGCCTGTACATCGGCAACCTGGCATATGCGACAACTGAGGGACAGTTGAAGGACTTCTTCAAAAGCTATCTTGTGTAAGTGGCCCATGGTCTATACACGCTTCCGCGCACCTTTGCTTTTGCTTGCCGTCTACTCGAAATCATTTTTTGGACGCTCTTCCCCTGTATCTACCGAGGCTGCGTGGCCGATGACAAACATGGCCCGCCGTAAATGCTTTCGCAGCCTAACTTTGCGACGGTGTCCTGATTGGCGGTGAATGTCACTCCGCCTCGGTGTTGCCTAGCTTTACATCACACGATGAGCTTCATCTGCCCCGCTACCCTCCACAAAGCTGCAGCAAGAGCTTTATTGCTTCCCTGTTATCCCTGCTGCCCAGTCTCTACCCCTCCATCGTTCCCTCACTGTTCTGTCCATTGTGCCTAAAGCATCTGCTGACGACCAACCATTGCAGCGAGTCTGTCTCGATCCCCAAGAACCCTCGTACCGACCGCCCTGTCGGATACGCTTTTGTCGACCTTTCTACCCCCAACGAGGCTGATCGTGCCATTGCTGAGCTTTCCGGCAAGGAGATCCTCGAGCGAAAGGTTTCCGTTCAGCTGGCTCGCAAGCCCGAGCCTGCTGGTGAGAAGACTGAGGGTGCTAACGGAGAGGGCTCCGGCGCGGAGGGCTCTCGTCGCCGAGCCTCTGGTCGTGGTCGCGGACGTGGCCGCGGACGTGGTGGCCGTGGTGGCCGTGGCGGTCGCGCCACTGGCGTGAGTTTTCTCTCCCATTAAACGGTTGTCTTGCCACAATGCTGACGTTATATCACAGGAGAATGATGAGAAGAAGGGAGATGAAGCCGCCGAAGGTGAAGCTACCCAGGCTGAGCCTCTGAAGGACATCACCAACACAGCCTCGGAGGAGAACAAGGACGACAAGAAGAAGAACCAGAACCGCCCTCAGCGTGAGCGCCGCGAGCGTGGCCCACCCGCTGATGGCATCCCTTCCAAGACCAAGGTCATGGTGGCCAACCTGCCATATGATCTAACTGAGGAGAAGGTGAGTAGTCTATAGCCCACAATTATGAAGCTGCGTACTAAGTGATATGAGAAGCTCCTTGAGCTCTTCAAGGCCTACGAACCTTCGTCAGCCAAGATTGCTCTCCGACCCATCCCCCGTTTCATGATCAAGAAGCTCCAGGCTCGTGGCGAAGCCCGCAAGGGACGTGGCTTCGGTTTCGTGACCCTGGCTTCCGAGGAGCTCCAGCAGAAGGCCGTCGCTGAGATGAACGGAAAGGAGATTGAAGGACGTGAGATCGCTGTCAAGGTCGCCATCGATAGCCCCGACAAGACCGACGAGGAGGCCAACGCCCCGGCTGCCAACGGCGCTGATGAGGGCGCTACCGAGGCTGCTGCTGAGCCCGCTGCTGAGGCTCCTGCCGCCACTGCTTAAATCTTGAGCTGCGGCAGTTTTTTTTTCACAGGCTGAACATTGCCGCCTACGTTTGATGAGTACTCTTTTATGATATGGCACGCGATTTTGGACGATTTCAATTATGACGCCACGGCTGGCTTTATATCTTACTTTGGGGCTGGAATGGAGCTACACGCAGATATCGCTTGAAACTCTTTAATATCCCAGGTATGGTATGGACCTGCCAGTTACTACTTGACAACTTAATAATCCCTCTCCGTTGGAGCATGGGACTTGAAACAAAAACAACAACAAAAAAAAAGCCCTCTTCAAATGTTTTATTTTTCATAAATGCCTTTCCTAGTTACTACATTTTCTTCTAGCTATGCGGGAACTCAGGTCAAAGGCAGCAAGCAGAAAAAAAAGGAAAGCGAACACGAGAATGAAAAAGAGTATATTTTGGCTGTGATTTTTGACCGTGCATCTTCGTCTTACAAGTGATTCTCTTCCACATGGTGGCCGATGTTTTGTGTGCTCTTGATTTCATAGTACCTACTTGTGTGTCGTGGATATAAAGACGATCCGGGCCGGGTGCCCTTGAATGCATGTGACAGGGGAGCTGTAATGGGTGGTACGAGATACGAAGTAACGGTACAGAGCACTACCTACTTCGTGCTAGAGAAAAAAGTGATACTGATGCTGGCATTGGATGGATGCCCTGGTTGGCTGGATCGTCCCATGTAAGCAAGGAGACGTCATGGATAGTGCATGTTACGGTCCCGGCTGCTGGCAGGTACATCTGGTTACGTGGGATTTCTTCATCTTTGTTTGCAGTTATGAAGGTAGATAGTGTCTTCCGTGTCTCTGTGATAAAGCTGATACGGGTACAGAGCGTTTGGGCATGCGCCGTGTACCAATGGCCTCCAGTTCTAGGATGAGGTACCTCGTATCCATGCTGTACATTGTCTTGATAAGGAACCCTCAGACCTGGGAACACAGCTCGATGAGAATGGAGACGGTGGATGGACTAGCTACATACAGCGGAATGGGGCATCTCGGTTGCTTGGCTATTCGAGATTATTAGTGGTTGCATGCTAACAACGCGGGTACCTACTTGCACTGAGATGAGAGCAACAGAGCCTGGCTGGGGGGACACACAGCGCTTGGCTGGCCCTGATAGCGCATCTCGCAGCACCCCAACGCGCCGAAGAGGACAGCGCAGAAAGGCGGGCACATTCTAACCCCAAGCACCTGCACGCTGAAATTATGGGGTTTCAGGTTTGGAGCACCCGCGCCCCGCTCTCCTTTGCCGCGACAACCTCCCTGTTGGAACGGCGCTGGCCACGCAAAACATCACGCGCCAGTCGAAACATAGCGCATCGTTTCTCGAGTCCTTACGCACCGCCAGCGCTTTTTGACATAGATTCTACAGTCGCTGTTTTATTCCGATTCATTGGGACGCAATGGCTTCCAAGGCCATGTGGGAGGTTGACCCCGAGACTCGGTCCAAGGTACGGCGCAGCCTTTCACTGTGTTCCCCCAAATCTTGCCTTGCTTCTCCTCCCCCCTTTACTGCGGACGGCGATAGCATGATATCCAAGTCCCGGCAGGTGGCATCTAGCATCTAGCATCTAGCATCCAGCACCTGGCATTTGGCAACGATTTAGGGCCAAACAACTAACCGTTTCATATTAGTTGGCTGCTCTGCAAAAGGAGTCCAAGAACAATGTCTGCTGCGACTGCAATGCCCCGTCGCCACAGTGGGCATCGCCAAAATTCGGCATCTTCATCTGCCTTAGCTGCGCCGGTGTCCACCGCGGGCTCGGCGTCCACATTTCCTTTGTCCGAAGCATATCCATGGACGCCTTCAAGGCCAACGAGATTGAGCGCATGCGGCTAGGTGGCAACGAGGGGTGGAGAAAGTTCTTCGAGGAGCACGAGGATACGCAGATGAGGGGCCTCACCTGGGACGACGCCACGATTGCAGAGCGATACAGCGGCGAGGTTGGCGAAGAGTGGAAGGAGAGATTAACGTGCAAGGTGGAAGAGAGAGAATACATCCCCGGAGAGAAGAAGCCCGCTGCCACGCAGGCATCCCCGGCCGCTGCAAAGTCGGGTGCGCGCACGAGCACACCCCTGGGCGGAACCGCGAACCGAAGCCAGAGCCCCTCGCAGGGAGGAAAGGTCAAAGTAGACGACAAATACTTCGCCAAGCTGGGAGCCGACAATGCCTCACGGCCTGATGACCTGCCGCCGAGCCAAGGTGGAAAGTACGCTGGCTTTGGAAACATGCCGACCACGGACAAGTCGAGCCAGGGAGGGGTGCTGCCCATCTTTGATGATATGCAGAAGGACCCCATGGGTGCCATTACCAAGGGATTCGGCTGGTTTGCGTCTACTGTGACGAAGACGGCAAAGACGGTGAATGACGGATACATTCAGCCCACTGCGAAAAGCGTATGTCTTTTCCCCTTGCCTCTGCTACCTTGAGGCTGGACAATACAATTTTGATACTAATACTGTTTCCTTCTAGATCGCCGATGGTGAATTTGCCAAGCAGGCCCAGCAAACAGCTGCACAGCTCGCCAAGCAGGCGCAGCTTGCGGGTAAAAACGCTCAAGATGGCTTCAACAGATTTGTCGAGGGTCCCGACTCTACTAAAAGAAACGCACCTCTGGATGCCAGCCGCAAAGACTTTTGGGACGACTTCTCCAGCCTAGCGGACCAAAACAGGCAGAACAATGCTATCGGCACAAGTGCCATTGGTATGGGGAAGAAGTCGGGCCCTGGAGCCTCGGCCCCGAAGCCCAAGACTGGCGATGAGTGGGATGATTGGTAAACAACTGGGAATGAAGGTTCAAATGTTTGCTTTGCTGGCGTTGGAGTACTTATGGCCTGAAGAGATACACTTGACGAAAGATGAGCGCTTGGAATAAATTGACAAGACGGTAGCCTTTAAACAGAGACACGACATGGCCCCATATACCACCACTTCTGATGACTTGACCCTTGGCGGGCGAAAATCTACGGCATTGACTAACGAATGGGCTGGGATGAAGTATGCAGTTATGCATGTACGGAGCACGCCGCTGGGAAGGTCTTTATTCAACTATTGAGACTGCAACGTTAGAGTATTGCTGGGGAGGCAATAATATTAGAGGATGAATATTCATGTATATACAGAATGCATCTAAATATCAATTTCTAATTCTTTGATTATCATACCTACCTACTTACCTATGAAACGACCTGTTCTACTACCTATGTATTACAACTTATCTACATGTGCATCAACGCGGGTATAAAGTGTCACGTGAGCGAGTATCCGAGGTAGTTACGGAAGCCGGCCCTAGCCGGTATGGAGGCTCGGGTCGTTTGTCGGCCGGCTACTTTTGGGTAGTGGCAGCATGTTAATATCGGTAACGTCCCTCACTCTGGCTGCATTCACATCATCCAACATCCAGCCGCTACAATGTCTGCCCTACGGATTCTAGTACCTGTGAAGCGAGTGATTGACTATGCTGTAAGTAGAGCGTTTTCCCTCATTTGCATATCCGTAGAGGGCAGTTGAATTGGTTCAATGCTTACCTTGCCCGCCATACATAGGTCAAGCCGCGAGTCAACAAGGCCCAAACGGGCGTCGAGACGGCCGGTGTCAAGCACTCGATGAACCCCTTTGACGACCTCTCCGTCGAAGAGTCCGTCCGAATCCGTGAGAAGAAGCGCGCGCCCGGCGGTGTCGAAGACATCTGCGCCTTCTCAGCCGGCCCGTCCAAGGCGCAGGAGATTCTCCGAACGGCCCTGGCCATGGGCGCCGACCGTGCTGTCCACGTCGAGATCAAGGACGGCGAGGAGCTGGAGCCCCTAACGGTGGCCAAGCTGCTGAAGAAGTCTGTTGAGGAGCAGAAGAGCAACCTGGTGATTCTGGGCAAGCAGAGCATCGACGACGACGCCGGGCAGACGGGCCAGATGTTGGCGGGATTGTTGAACTGGCCGCAGGCGACGCAGGCGAGCAAGATTGAGTTTGGGCCGGACGACGCTGTGACGGTCACCAAGGAGATTGATGGAGGTGTGGAGACTGTGAAGGCGAAGCTGCCGATGATTATCACGACGGATTTGCGATTGAACACGCCGCGGTATGCGACGCTGCCGAATATTATGAAGGCCAAGAAGAAGAAGCTGGATAAGAAGACGTTGGAGGACTTTGGATTGACTAATGAGAAGCGATTGAAGGTGTTGAAGGTTACTGGTGAGTTCATTATTGTCCCATTGAATTTTCTTTTATTGACCAGGAGGCGATTATGATGGCTAACTACTATGTGTTTTTAATTATAGAGCCTCCTGTGAGACAGGGTGGTGGCAAGGTTGAGGACGTGGATGGTTTGATTGGAAAGCTGAAGGAGCTTGGTGCTTTGTAAATGGGAGGATAGGGATCTTGAATTGTCCAAATTTATAGTATACAAAAGAAGGATTGGGCGGATCAATTAGACTTGTTTCAATCTCGAAACTCTTAGAAATTGTCATGATTCTATGAATTGCAATTACAGTTTCCTTGATACTCGTTCTTATTACCGAGGTACGAGGGGGGGGGGGAGAACTGCGTCTGTGTTGAGATATAAGAGAGGGAAACGGCGGACCAATTAGACGCATCTTTCAAGCCAGGTCCCAAGGGTCCTAAGAGAGCCATAAATTATTACTACTTAGTAGCAATGTAGTTTTCTCACGTATCAGGGAAGTTGTGGTCTACAGTACACTATGCTATGAATCGTTTCACCAACGTTGAACCTAATCGGGCGATGATCTTGGAGCGTTAATTTGTTGCTCCGGTTGACCCCACCAGACAATGAATCACTCACTTGCCTCTGCAAGCAGATTGAGTTCCGTCATACAACTACTAGTAGTACACAGCACAATGTACGTACCACAATGTATACGGCCAATTGACAAGCGTACTCTGTTGACTCGCCATGGAGTCCACGCCCTATCAATAGAAAACAGCAGTGCGCTCTCTCTAGCCAGCAAGCGATAATACATTGGAACAAACTCCGCCGTAATGATTCACTGTCATAGAATAGGGCACAGGGGCCGCAACGATATCGGCGCCCCAAAGCTCGCCCAAACAGGACAAGCTGCCCCTCCTTTCAGCACGTCAAAAAGGCGCTAGCGACGAAAAATCTCGTTTTCAGCCAACCAACTGCCGGGAATTCGGCGTTGGTCATTATCTCTGCGCGCGAAAAAAAAAAGAGCGAGAAAAAAAAAAGATGGCACTAAACTATTATAATCTGACCCCTCCGGTGCACCCTTTTTCCTTCCTCCTCTCTTTTTCCTTTCTTCTTTTCTTCTCTCCCCATCAGTCAGAAGAGTCATCCGTCCAATCGCACCTTGTGCACCACGCATTCAATTCAACCAGCTTCATCTACTCCAGAGTGCCTTGCGCCTCGTTCTTCCATCTTCGACCTACAGTTTCTTAATCCGCCCTTATGAACGGGCGCCCGTCGGAATTCACTTCTCAGGTATGTGATGAGACTCCTGTTGCTGCTGCTGATACAACTACCCCACGTGCCCTCTGCACTCAATGCCTATGTTCCCATCTCGGGTTGGGTAGCATCTACTGCCGTTCATTTCCTTCAATGGACAATCCTTCGTTTCAACTCGTCTCTGGCAAGAATGCTAACATTTGCTGCTTCTACAGGACTATCTCTCTGGTTCGTGTCACCGTGACTCAGCCCCCTCATGATGCCGTCTAACAAGCTTCACATAGACCACCTGTGGAGGGCCTTGTCAGCTTAAAACAGCTCCCCCAACAACCGATTACTGCTACTACCACCTGTGACCAAAACAAACCAAAGCCAATTTCCGAATAACCGCTGCCATGTTCTCCAAGCTGGCGGCCAATTTTGCCCAAAAAGCGGCCACTGCTGCTGCGGGCTCCACTCGCCGAGTTGCTTTCCAGACCCGATTTGTGTCTGGTCAGACTCTTGCCAGCAGCACAAAGGGAAAGACTGTGCCTTTCCAGACTGCTCAAAACGGGGCTTCTCTGCCAGCTACCTTTACCATCCGAGTAAGCTGCGCCATATACACTGCGATGTAGACATAATGGTGGTGTAGCATAGAGACGTATGCTGACATGAATATTGGACAGGATGGTCCCATCTTTCGAGGCAAGGCCTTTGGTGCCAACACCAACATCTCTGGCGAGGCTGTCTTCACCACTTCTCTCGTCGGCTATCCCGAGTCTATGACCGACCCGTCTTACCGTGGCCAGATTCTCGTCTTCACCCAGCCTCTGATTGGCAACTACGGCGTTCCCTCCAGTGAGCGTGACGAGTACAACCTCCTCAAGTACTTTGAGTCTCCTCACATCCAGTGCGCTGGTGTTGTTGTCTCCGATGTCGCCCTTCAATACAGCCACTGGACCGCCGTCGAGAGTCTGGGTGAGTGGTGTTCCCGCGAGGGTGTTCCCGCCATCTCCGGTGTCGACACTCGAGCCATTGTCACCTTCCTCCGAGAGCAGGGTTCTTCCCTCGCTAGGATCTCCGTTGGTGACGAGTACGATGCCGATGAGGATGAAGGCTTTGTCGACCCTGGCCAGATCAACCTGGTCAAGCGTGTCAGCACCAAAGCTCCCTTCGTGGTTGAGTCTCCCAACGCTGATCTCCACATTGCCCTGATCGACTGCGGTGTCAAGGAGAACATCCTCCGTAGCTTGGTCAGCCGTGGTGCTTCGCTCACTGTCTTCCCTTACAACTACCCGATCCACAAGGTTGCCCACCACTTCGACGGTGTCTTCATCTCCAACGGCCCCGGTGACCCAATTCACTGCCAAGAGACCATCTACAACCTTGCCCGCCTGATGGAGAGCTCTCCCATCCCCATCATGGGAATCTGTCTCGGCCACCAGCTTCTGGCCATGGCCGTTGGCGCCAAGACCATCAAGATGAAGTACGGCAACCGAGCCCACAACATCCCTGCTCTGGACTTGACCACCGGCCAGTGCCACATCACCTCCCAGAACCACGGATACGCCGTCGACTCCAGCACCCTGCCCAACGACTTCAAGGAGTACTTTGTCAACCTCAACGACGGTAGCAACGAGGGAATGATGCACAGGACCCGCCCCATCTTCTCTACCCAGTTCCACCCCGAGGCCAAGGGTGGCCCAATGGACAGCTCTTACCTCTTCGAGAAGTACCTTGAGAACGTCCGCGCTGCCAAGAGCGCTCAGCAGGTCTTCAAGGACAACCGGCCCAGCCAGTACATTCTCGACATTCTGAGCAAGGAGCGTGTTGGTGTTGAGCCTACTCCTCTTGTCGGCTTTGCTTAAACAAAATTGGCATGACAAGCATTGGCTGACTTGGGAGAAAAAAGATGAATGAGCTAGGGATTTTGGGCGTTTTTCAGTATCAGGGAAATCAGATCGTATTTTTGTGGCTTATTTATGGGTTTCAATAAACATTAGTATAATTTGAAAAAAACAAATACAAATTACGAATAATTTTCAAACTACATGTTCCATTGCGCAGCCTATCATTCCCACTAGCTGAAGCTCTCTCTCTCCAGTGACATGCTTTCACAGACAGACAAAAGCCAAGACTGATATGATAATGGTATCTTGTCATACATAGTACACAATAATACAGTATCCTACAATGATACAAATGCCGTCCAGTAGTCATAATGCCCCTCCCCTCTCCCCTCTCTCTCCCCCTTCTGATAACACAAAAGCCCAAGTTCAGAAATCTCATGTCCCTTCCAGTGCCAATCCCACCCAGCCAATCCCTGAACCCTGTCCTATCCCTGTCCTATCTCATCTTATGAATAAGTAAAGCTGTTTGGCAGTCCAGTATGATTTCCGATATAGCCTCAAATATCTCTCGCTCACATCTCAAAAGTTCCGAAACACAAAATAAAAGTAGATGAAGAAACGAAAATTAAATAGCCCCTCTATAAAATAAGAGGGCATGAAAAAAAAAAAAAAAGATTAGGTAAAATCTTTTAAAGAGAAGAGAAAGAAGATGAGAAATTCGTTCGTCATTTTCAACGTTGCCCCTCCTACTAAAACGAAGGGAGTCGAAGAGTGTTGGCGAAAAAAAAAAAAATCGATAGATGGCATCCATTAAACATTCGTAACTTCGCCGCGTCCCTTAGCGGTGGCGGCGATCTCTATGCTCCCTATCCCTAGAATCATCGCGTCTCGGCAATCGGTCATCATCGCTATCCCTGCGTCGTCCACCTCCGGAGCGGTAGCTAGAGCCTGTGCCGCTACCAGCCCCAGGAAGGTATCTATCACTCCTCTGTCGGAAAGGCGGCGGTCCTCTTCGCCCTTGCGAACGAACTCCTCGTCCACCGCCGCCTGCGCCGCGGCGATCAGCCTCGCGGTGAGGAGGTCGGATGCCCTCGAAAATCTCTTTGCCACGGTCTACAAAAACGTCTCCATTTTCAAAAGAATAGCGGTTGATTTCGCGGCCAAAGTCGCGGTTTCTGTCGCGAGTGTAGTGGGATCGCATATTGTCCAAACGGCTGCGGGCGAGATCCTCAGAGACCATCTGGTATGAGATGGGAGGCCGAGAGTGGGTTTTCTCTACGACATGATCCAAAGGACTGGCAGTGAGTCGACCCCCTGCCCCTGCTGCTGACCGTCCACCTCTTGGCCCCGTGGGTGGTGGAGGCATCATGCCACGATCACGATCACGATCACGATCACGATCACGATCACGATCACGATCACGATCACGATCACGATCACGATCCCGCTCTCGCTCACGTTCACGTTCACGGTGGCTTCGAGGGCCAATGGGGATGGCATTGGTACTGTCGGCACCAATATTGGATGGTGGTGGCGGCTCAGTTGGTCTCGCTTTCGATACGGATCCCGATTCCAATACAGCTTCAAACCCATCTGGTCCAGGTCTGTATACCACCTGCCAGCGGGAAGAAGACCGTGAGCCACCAGCCTTTTCTATGTCGATCCATTCATCCACTTTTTCGGGAGGGATGTAGTCGACTGATAGTGCCTTGCGGTTGCTTTCATTTGGCCAAACGCATTTATGTAACGCGGCGCGAACTCGAGTAGCAGATGACTCGGTGTCGAAGACGGCGAATGCATGGGTGCGGATTGAGTTGAGGTAAAACTTGACGATGCGGTCTTGCCCTGAATCTGCGCTGGATGCAGATGCCAGGCTACCAAGATGTTCAAGAATATCGACATCACGCAGGGGGCGCATGAGATTGCTGATATAGAGGGCGACAGTGGGAGTGTGCACCGCTGGTTCCACGTCCCTTTCAAAATCCATCTCAGTGGGTGGAGCGTCAGCGACTGGTGAGGGCGACTCTTTACGCGAATCTGCGATAACCTTGGTATCAGTTTCGCCCTTGTCGACCGTCGGTGGCGTGGTATCAAGCGCGCCAGCACCGGTCATATCAACATCGGCTTCGTTCGTTTCGGCCGTGGCATGAATCTCGCCGCCGTTTGCAGTGTTCTCAGAGCGCGCGCGCTTTCGAGCTATGTCTTCTTCGGTGGGCAGAGGGCTATGCGAGCGTCGCTTGCGCTTCTGAGCTTCTGGTGTCGGTTCGATGGAAGCCTGCGCAGTTGACTGTTCTTCGGGTTTGGGGGAAGCCGAAGAAGTAACTTGTTCGAGGGAAGCTGGAGTTTCGCCAACTGGCGGGAGGCTGCTGGCTGCCGCCTCACCGCCCTGACCACTGCCATCACTCTTTGTAGCTTCGGAAGGAATCTCAGCGACTGGCGCAGCTGGCTCCGGCGCAGCTGTTGCTGGAGGCTCAATGTGCTCCTCCTGTTGCTGCGTAGGCTGGGCAACTTCGGCCTTCTCCTCGGGCGTCGGATCGCGCTCCTTCACGGGCGAGGGAGGCCTCACCGCGACTGGTTCTGAAGTTGCTTTGACATTCTGTGTATCGACCGTCGCCGGCTCTGCGGGTGCTTCTGGGTGCGCCTCTGGCTGAATCTCGGGCTGAACTTCTGGCTCTGCTTGAACCTCTGGCTCTGGTTCTTGTGGCTTCTCCTCTTGCTCCGGGTTTTCTCCCCCTTGCTGTGCTGCCTCCTCGTCGGCAGCGACCAATCGAGCGATCAGCTCCCCCTTTAGCCCTGCATAAGGCAGGCCACGGCTCTTCAGCTCTGCTTTGAGGTCGACGACTTTGAGCTTCGACCAGTCGGTCATTGTAAAATACGTGTAGATGCGCTGCAGCACCTACTACTGTTGCCGAAACAAAGGGGAAATCTGTCTGGCCTTGTTTTGAGTTTTGTGTTTTGTGCTGGTCGGTTGGCCGTTCGACAAGGGGGGCAGCAAACAAGACGGCCACAGCTTTTTATATGTGGAAAGCCGCAATGATGACGCCAACTAGAGTAAAATAAATCAAATAAATGAAAACTTCAGACTTATGCGACGGCAATTATGCAGTTACCGGTGCAAAATGCCTGATGGAAAGGCGACGTTTTTCTCGTTTCGTGGTGGCGGCTGTTTTGCGTTGGAGGAGCCAAAAAGAAAAAGCGTCGGCTTTGGCGCGTCGCGAAGCGTTAACGACTGGCGAAATGTCTCTGAGGCTGAACCTGGAAAGTTCCCCCTGCAGAGGCTCCAGTTCTAGCTTGTTCAGCTGCACCGTTTGGGCCATGGTGGGATGAGAGGCTTTGGATTGGGATTATGTAAGACGCGTGGTTCCGGTTTCGGATTAGGTGTTTTTGCCGTCACGGTCACTGTGTACTTTTTTGCCCTGTGCTTCTCTACAGTGCTGCATGGGCGATATTAAAGGCTTGCGTTACGGAGCGCGGCATAGGATATCGAAGCATTCATGGAATGGATGCCGTTTTAAGGCCTTTGGTGGGGTTTGAGTTGCCCCTCCTCGTGACCACCTGCCAGCGGTTGCTTGTGGTTGTACTAATGCTACAGCACTGGTCGTCTCATCTCCGCTACTGCCTACTAAGGTATTTAGCCTTTTGCAGAGCAGGCTACCTTGGTAGTACCTCTGCTGGCTGGGGTTCACAACAAAAGGCACCTACCACTAAGGTCGCTGCAGTTACCTAACAGTTATTGACTGCTCATTGGTAGCAACACTCTGGGAGACTCGGTCTTGTTGTTTCCAAATCTCATCTAGCATGTATGGTTGTCAGATATCAAGCATGCCCAGTCGCGGTGAAGTGAAGCTTTGAAGCAAGCCCAGCTTCGGCGCAGTGGATACCGGTGACGTGAGGCAAGCAGCTGTCCCTCTATGTACACAAGAATGAAGGTTGAGTAAGAGCAAGACTCAAGTAAGAGGACTCGTATGAAAGAGAACTGGACGGGAATCCACCAGGGTCCGATCTGATGAAGAGGACTGGCTCACCAGATGCAGGACTAGCAAGGTTCCCCGCTTCAACTCAATCACTCATCGCTGCATCGCTTGGCTATTCATGGAGACCGGCACACGGTGAGGAGAGTGGGGGCTGCTATACAGCAACACACCTGGAGATGCGAGCAAAGGCATGCCCCCGCTATTTCAACGTTGGTCGTGTTCTGGCATTTCAGGTAACTTTCAGGCAGCTCACAGCTTATTAGTGAAAGAGCAGTTCAGTCAGCACCTGGGCAGCGATTCTAGAGTAGGACAAGAAAAGACGAATAAGAGTTAAAAAAAAAAATAGAGTCTTAAGTTTCATTCCATTCATATCATAATACTACAGCTAGTTCTTTGATGAACATGGCGGATGCGTATGCGCATAAGATCCGCAAGATTTACTACACAGCCAAACTTCCGCTGGCGATTACATGACATGCCGTGCCATTTAGACGTCGAGGCCGTCGACGACAACACCCTTGGTCCAAGTCCACTGCATGGACCGAGCCACCTCTTCAGCGCACTGCTCATCCACCAAGGCGCTGACGAGATACAAAGCTGCATCCACGCCAGCGCCATGAGCCCCAGCGGTTATAACTCGAAGGCCACCGAGGCGCATCGCTGCACGCCTGGCAATCGACTCACGACGTGTGTTGGACTCCTTGAAGGAGATGCTTCCCTTTCTGTGATAGGATTCAATTAGTACAACGAATTCATTCAAACATGACGTTTATTCCGTTATATAGGCTTTGCTTACCGGCCGTGAGGTCGTCCAGCATCGGACGCGCGGCGTGTGTATGGGCTCTCATCTTCAGTGAGCTCAAAGCGAAGGTTGTTGACTACGTATCTGGCGTCCTCGATGACATCGGTTCGCTCAGTCAAGTATCGTGTGGCAGCGTCGCTGCAAAGGTTCTCAAATGTGGTAAGGTGGTCGGTGAGGGTGGTGGCGGAAAGGCCACAGAGGATGCCCTCTCGGGCAAGCAGGTGTGAGCCGGTGGAGACGGACAGGACCGTTCGTTCTCTGGCCGGATCCTTCTTCTGAAGGTCGGAAAAGGCAGTGATGAGACCAAGAGGTTCAGTTTCCTTCTTGACGACCTCATCGACGTTTCCGCCGAGAACGACGAGAACATCAAACTCCTCAAGGCGGTCATGAGCTTCCCTAAAGGTAATCTGGGACTGGACGATGGTGCCCTGCTTGGAAAGGACCTGTGGCTCAAGGCCCGCAAGCGTCACCTCAAATGCTCTGGTGGCTGTTTGGGATTGCGGGGAAGCAGGTTAGCATTGAGCCGGGCATCAATGGGGGCTGGCAGCCCAAGCTTGGTGCAAAATACATACAGGAATCAGCGGGATCGTGCTGCGCCTTGTAGAAAGCAGACAATGGGCCTGCAAAGTCAAGCATGTCGAAGCCAGGCTGCAAAGCAAAGAGGACATCGACAGGTTCCTGGTCAGCAATAGCTGAAGTCTTATTCGCAGCCATCTTGAAGATGCGGGGGAGTTGTGGTTTGAATGGAATGAGCAGAGAGAGACGAGAGTCAGTCAATCAGAAGCAATTGATAGCTTCAGAGTGCAGTGTAAGCGTGTTTGATGAGAATTAGATATAGAGCAAAAGACGAGCGTCCTTTGTTCAGTCAATTGAGATGTTGTCTTTGGGGTATAATGAGGATGAAGGAGAAGAAGAAGAAGAGAAGAGCTCGAGGACGAGAAGAAATAGCCAGTAGCTATAAGAGGGAGGGGAAACGAAGGAGGGGCACAAAGAGGGGATCACGCGATGACGGTTCAATTGGTCGAGGAGCTGGTGGCTCATGCCTCAGGGCATCATCAGGGCATTGACAGACCGTTATGGCTGGTCGTGAGTGGCTCGACACGCATCGACGCTCCCGGCCATTTACGTACCACCTTTGCGGAGCCAAATCAGCAGTCGATCGAGCCACTGATGCTCGGGTGCCCGGGGCTAGCAGCGCTAGGAGCTAGCAGGCTCCAGCGGGCTCCAGCGGGCTCCAGCAGACCCCCGGCAGGCCTTCGTAGGGGGCCGTCGTAGGGCCTAACAGGGACTGTAGCAGCAGTGGGGTCCTGCGGGAGGGATTCGTTGCGGGGTAATAGGGTCATAGGGAGGTCGGCGGGCCCTTTCCTTAGCATCGCCTCGCGCAGTACCGAGAACCTGTGATGCCACCAATCGCGGGGTGCATCGGAAGGTTCCTGGAACATTTTCCGCACAGGCTGTCGCTAGCCCCTTCTGGCACTAGTGCGACCTTTTCTTGCCTGGCCTTTGCAAATCAAGCTCAACCATCTTTTCCAGAGCTTGTTCTCCATCCGGCTAAACCTCAGCAAACCGCGTGCAACACCTTAAACCCCAACAGCCGAGATCCGTGATATCGTTTAGGGCTGCATATGTGCGCGCGCCTCCAAGTTCCTGTGAGAGGAGCCCGCGGCTGAGATATACCACCTGCGAACGTGGAGGCGGCGGTGGCCACGACGGCCTCACCTCCTGCCTCCTGCTAAAGTCTGCCGCGATGGCTACTACACTGTGAGTCGACGGCCTCGCACATCACTGGAGCCTCTCCTCTGCACTCCGCGCGGGGTGACTGCACATCGGATTGATTGACTGACCCACCCATGGCAGATCCCTTAAGGAGCTGTCCAAAGCCATCAAGGAGTTCATTGTCGAGCCAACCGCGCCTCTGCCCGATGAGATTGTTGGGACGATTGCTGCCTACCTGCGGAGGCATGAGAAATACGACGACGCTGCGTCCGATCGCCTGCAAGAGGAGTTGCTCCTCATCTTCGATAAGAATGTTCGGGGAAACCCTGCTGCATCCTGTGCCTGGATGGGCATCTTGCGCCGGCTCCTGAGAATGCTGCACACTCCCGAGCGAATACTTGTGTGGCTGGAAGCTTGCGAGGGAATGCTCGACAAGACAAACTTTGATAGAAATATCGTCACTGAGGCTATGGAGACTCTGAACGAGATTGTCGCCATTGCCGACGAGTACCACGATGGCGCCGGCAACGATTTTGCGTCAAATCCTCTGATCGACAGACTGTTCGAGGTGTGGATGGAAGACTTTCAGCCAGCGCACTTTGAAGGCTTCCTGCCGGCGGAGCATACCCAAAAGATGATATGCGATGCGCTAGGGCAGTTTGGGAAGAAACGACCGAAGGCACGTATATTCTATTGTAGCATCTTCCTTTTCTTTTTTTTTTTGTTTCCTGTTGAAAAATTGCTTGATAATGATACAACCCTTTTCTCCCTCTACCTTTTATTATTTTACCTTGGCTAACTTGAATGTAGGAATTCTTTTGCTCTTTGGATAGCTATTTTGTCAAAAAGAAGTACAGAAAAATTAGCTTGAATTTCTTTTGCAACTTTCTTCAGTCACAGCCACCTCACTTGTATCAAGTGGCCCATACCCCCTTGTTTACGGATCTCTTGACATGTCTGCAGCAAGACACTTCGACCGCGGTCCTTTCGGCTGCGCTGACCGCTCTTGTCATGCTGTTGCCACACATGCCTAGCTCGCTCGTGCCGCATTTGCCTACTCTTTTTAATATTTATACCAGAATGCTCTTCTGGGAAGCTTCAGAGTCCCCCTCACATGAGTCCGAACAGACAAATCGGTGGGAAGTGTTTGCACACGATCCGGAGACGGAAGACGGTCAAATATCACATCTATCCAACTATTACACGATATTATATGGTCTGTATCCTATAAACTTTATGGATTATATTCGCAAACCACAGAGATATATACGGCACGCCAACCTGCTTAATGCCGACGAGATTGAAGTACAGCCTACAGAGATTCGGCATCGGTCGGAGCAGTTCAGGAGAAGCCACTTGCTTCACCCAAATTTCTTCACCTACACGATTGAAACTGAAAAAACGGATTTGGGGCGATGGATAAAGAGTGAGGCTGCTGAGGTCGTGACCGAATGCATGGCGTTGTGCGTTACACCAACAAGCCAGATATTTTCCGACCACGAGCCATTACATCTCCCAGAGTCCTCAGCTCAGGTCCCCAACGACGAACTGAGCCAAGAGAGGTCGGATCCGGGATTGCTGAGCAGTTCAGTAACCAAAGTGAATTCATGGAGAAATTCCCACATATCCAGCACAGAGTCTGCCACAAGTGATGGCGCGCCGTCAACGTTGATGAGGCGTGGATCCCAATCGAGCCAACACTCGGGGAGGGACTCTGGCGAAGCCATGCGTTTTAAAGATTTAGCTGGCATCGATGGTCCTTCAGGAGCCCAGCTTCTCCAATCGGCTTCTCATACCCAGCTTCAAGACCTCATTAGATCAAATAAGGTTATCAAAAGTAGTCTTCACCAATCGTTGGCAAACGATAGCGTGCCGTCTCTCGCCTTGAGTCACCAAGAGTCTGCGGCAGACAGACCGCTGACGACAATGACGCTGCCTGCACAGACCCATACCCCCGTATCGGCAGGAGATGCGAGCAGCGCTCAAATTGCCCATCTCCAAGGAAAGCTTCTCTTGCTGCAAAATGACCTTAGCTTCGAAAGATATCTCAAGCTGCAACATATGGCTCACATTGGCGAGCTCAGACGACGACAGATGGCGGAAGCTGCTACGGAGGCAGAGATGCAAAATTTGATCATGATGAACCGGAATCTCAAAAGGAGCTACGAAGAAGCTAAGCAGGCTGAGATGCAAGTCCGCAGGGAATCAGAGAATCGCCGTGCCATGGCAAAGAAGTGGGAAGCAGACCTCGCAAACAAGCTGAAAAATCTTAGGGAAGAATCAAAGAAGATGCAGACGGAGTCTGAGTACATCCGAAAAGAGCTTGAAGAAAAAAGGCGAGAGTGCGAAAAGCTGCGCAAGCTTGTGTGCGACGCCGAGGTGAAGGAGCTGAATGCGAGACAAAACATGCAGTCGATTGAGATACATGGCGCCGAGATTGACAGACTCAAGGCAGAAGTTGAGCGACTTTCACTATCTGAACGGGACTATCAGGCAAAAGAGGTTGAACGACAAGCCTCCATCAACGCGGCCGAGGAGGCCCAAAATCAGATGGAAATATTGAAGCTGAAGTTGAGCGCTTCAGAAGTGGACTTTGAGCGAATGAAGAGGCTCTTTCAAAGCCAGGTGACGGAGCTTCAGGCGCAGCTCTCGGCAGCTTTGGCGGATCGGAACAAGCGGCCTGCTGCGGCGGTGAATGTTGCAATTGAGGCCACACTTGAAGCAAGCCGTGCCAAACAGGCTGAGATGCAGAAGCAATATAACTTACTGTCGCGCAAATACACGGCACTGCAGTCGTCCTTGCTGGACATGCAGTTGGAGGCATCGGTTACGACGGAGAAGTCGAGCATAGCAGAAGGTGAAGATGATGGGATGATGTCGTCTACGGGTCCAATGTCGATACGATCAAGACCAGTCCGGCTTCTGTCAACGGCGGAGAACGCTGAGGGAGCAGCGTCGTCGCTCGGCTCACACCCGGGGACGCCAACATCCTCTGTGCTGCAGCCGCTGCAGCCCACGAGCTCTGCGGGGACAGGAGAGACGGATGGCAAGGACTCATCGCTCAATCTATCGGCGAGCCCAGAAAGAAGTTACTTTGGCAGTAAGTGCTCGAGAAGTGTGCGTCATACCCTAGGAGATAGTAGCACTAACACACATATGCAGGTGGAATCCAGGGCATGATCCGCAGGGATAGTAAGGATAAGGCCAAGGATGAGTCTGGCAAGCCTAAGAAGGAAAAGAAGTCCATTGGCTTGAGAGGAATACGGGGGTTTGTTAATAGCTAATCGGGCCAGGACTGTCCTGAGTTCTGACATGTATGGTTTCTCCTCCCCCATTTTGGGAGGTGAATGGAGGGGAAGTATATGATTATTGGTAGATTAGTAGCTTTTTGGTAGAAGCGATACGGAGTATGGGGTTTTGATTTTATGGATGATTGCCTAGAAGACGGGCTACGAAAAGCAGCGGATGCTCGAGTATTATCAGCACATGACTCTACAAGTAGTATATTAAATAATATGAAGCGTATGAATTGAATATGGCGGAAGGCCTCTGGATCATGATTCAAGCATATGCAGTTGTCTTTCGAACTAATGGATGGCAGTACCGGACATTTAAAGAAGATGGTCAATAAAGGGATAGGTCTTCATTTGCTCCATTCGATTGTGTTTTGCAGTAACACTGTGCTGGTGTGTAGCAGTCACGCATCAGACCCATTCTATCCATTCTACTGCAAGATAACAATCACGTGTAATACTGGATATCTCCATGCAGGTACCAGCTTACGAAGCCTGTGGCGCCCCTTGTGGTTCTTTTAACTACCTAGTAGTAGTAACTTTTCCTGCTGCGTTAGTGGGAGCCACAGGCGGATGTTCCGAAGAGCCGAGAGGCCCATTTTTTGGGAATGAGAAAAAGGGCAGCTGAAAGAAGCATTTTCTGTATGTGTGTCTTCTCTTCGGATGTATTTGGCCTGCTCTTTTGGAGAGAAGCAGGAGAGAAAAGTCTAGTATAGATTCTCTTAGTCTTGCCTCCTCGCGGCTAATTGGAATACGAAGCTGGATAGACGGGTGCCCTTCTTTTGGGTGAACACGAGGTCACGAGCTCGCTTCGTGGAGTGCGGTGTGACACCCTGGCTGCCGTTTACGGGTGTAAGTGGCATTTTTCACTAGTACCTGTGCTGCTCTCTCTTGTTTGACAGTTGAGAATAGCTGGATATTTGATCGGATCTATGCTATACAGCATGTTTAATGTCTACTGGTACGTTCCCTGTAGGCGGTTCCAGCATGACAAGGCAGCATATCTTGGCAGAGGTACGATGCCGTCATGTACCTTGGAGTCGGATCTCGGCTCTAGAGGTGGCAGCAAATGGGAAAAGGTACTTTGCGCAAAGTATCCCGCACAGCACAATGGAGGAACCTGTCAGCGGCTTTAGCGCCCACGAGTTGAACGGGGGGGATGCCGGCCAGCCGCTTGTGGCGTTTTCTTTTTTCCATCGTCTCTGCTTCTCTCTCCTTTCAGATTCGGCGATTTTTTAGCCAGCGTTTGCATGCAGCACATGCGGTGCCGAGAGTGAGTTAGCGACGGCGACGACGACGACGATGATGATGATGATGATGTATGTGCTGCTCCATCTTCGCTCTGTGTGCACAAGAATAGCAGCATGTCGTAGCATCTGATGGAACGATCTGAGATGGTGCCATGACGTCGCACACGCTTCATGCTCCATGCTCTATAATCCATGCTCCATGCAGGGGTGTCCATCTGCGTCGTCTCTGCTCACAGCGCCTGGACACGAGCAGCAGCAGCAAGGCTCGCCAATCGAGAGGCATTTTCCCTCTTGCACAGCGCATGGCATGACACGACGGCGATACGACATGGGCCAGGTCTGGACGGCAGACCCACCGCTGGAACAAACAAAACGTGCGCCACTCGATCCATTGTGGGCTCTTGGGGGGCACCGGCTTCCAAACCCGAGCTCTCTGGGCGAAAGCGACAGAAGAAGGGCTTTCCACGGCCATCCATCTGGTGCCTGTGACGAAATGCACACCCACTCCGGAACCCCTGTGGCTTGGCCGCCAGGGAAAAAAAAAAAAAAAAAAGGACCCAAAGCAGAAGCTAGAGAGTAGAGAGCGAGAAAAAAGAACGAATAAAGACACGAAAAGTGGTGTGGAATTGTGGGTTGCGCAGGTTGCGTGGACATTTTGTGTGTTGTGCCTTGCTTTTTTGGGACCTGCTGCTGCGTCCTCGTATCCCAATTCACTCGGCCCCGACGCTTTGCTGACGTTTTGGTGTCTCTGGCTTTCCTTTTCAAGCACAGTCTCCGGCTTCTTTTTCTTCGTCTCTCCTCTTTGTCTCTTCTTCCTTCTTCATCTCCTCTAAACCACACATTCTCCCCATCAGTCGCTTATATCTCTATTTTTGGTCTGACCCGTTGTGGATTCGGACCTCTTCCTCTCGCTTGACCTGTGATAGCAATAGTATTACCTATCACCAAGTCGTGCTTTGGCAAGGGACACACTCGTTTCTTTGCTCGGCTTGACCTCGTTCGCTTTTTCTTGTTTTGGGACCGACGACACTATCCTGATATCGCCACCGCAGCCCCGGACTTACACCCTAATATCGTCCGGACCTCCCGTGTTATATATATAAAGAGAGACAAATAATATCAACGAGCAAGGCCAAAGACAAGCAAAATGCCCTCTTCGTCCTCTCTCCTCACTCTGGCCACGGTCGTTTCGGCGGTCAATGCCGCCTACCAGGGCTTCAACTACGGCTCGACCTTTACCAGCGGCCAGCCCAAGGCCCAGACTGACTTTGAGGCCGAGTTCAAGACGGCTGCTGGCCTCGACGGCACCAATGGCGCCTTCACCAGTGCCCGTCTCTATACCATGATCCAGGGCGGCACCACCAATGCACCCATCAGTGCCATTCCCGCTGCCATCAGCACCAAGACAAGCCTGCTGTTTGGCCTCTGGGCTTCTGCTGGTGACGCTGCTTTTGCCAACGAGATTGCTGCTCTGAAGAGCGCCATTAGCCAATACTGCGGTCAGATGGACGGCCTGGTTGCCGGTATCTCAGTTGGCAGCGAGGATCTGTACCGAATCACTCCTACTGGTGTTGCTTCCCATGCTGGCCCCGGAGCTCAGCCCGGAACTCTGGTCAACTACATCAACCAGGTCCGTGATACCATCAAGGGCACTTGCTTGGCCAAGGTCCCCATTGGTCACGTTGACACCTGGAACGCCTGGGTTGTGGGATCCAACAAGCCTGTGATTGACGCCGTCGACTGGCTCGGCATGGACACCTACCCCTACTACGAGAACACCAACTCCAACGGCATCGCCAACGCCAAGGCTCTATACGAAGCTGCTCTGCAGAAGATCCAGAACGCCGGCCCCGGCAAGGAGGTCTGGGTCACCGAGACCGGCTGGCCCGTCAACGGCAAGAGCTCTGGTGACGCCGTTGCTTCCGTGAGTAACGCTCAGAAGTACTGGCAGGAGGTTGGCTGCCCCAACTTTGGCAAGACCAATGTCTGGTGGTACACTCTTCAGGATGCCGAGCCTAGCGCGCCCAACCCCAGCTTTGGTCTCATTGGCAGCTCCTTGACCGAGAAGCCCCTGTTCGACCTCTCTTGCGCCAATGTCGACACCAACCCCTCGGACCCGACCTCTTCCTCTGCCCCCAGCAAGCCTGCTAGTTCCTCTGCTGCTGCTGCCTCCTCTTCTGCGGGTTCCTCCTCCTCCTCCTCCTCCTCCTCCTCCTCCTCCGGCTCCGGTTCCAGCTCAGGTTCTAGCTCTGCCTCTAGCTCCGGCTCCGGCTCTGACTCTACTAGTACCTCAGAACCTCAGTCCACTGGCTCAGAGTCTCAGACGACCGTCTCAGAGCCTCAGACTACTGGTTCCTCGGGCTCTCAGACTACTGGCTCGGAGCCTCAAACTACCGGTTCTTCAGGCTCTCAGACTACTGGTTCTGAGTCGCAGACTACTGGCGGCGCTGGTGGTGCCGGCGGTGCTCCCGCCTCCTCCACCTTTGCCTCTGTGCCCTTCCCCACGGCTAACAGCACTTCTTCCTCTGGTGGCTCTCCTACCGGCTCTGGATCCAGCAGCAGCCCTTCTGCCTCAACTACCGCTCCTGGAAGCAGTGGTAACAAGCTGAGCTCTTTTGGGGCCGCCGCCGCCGCTGTTGCTGTGGCTGCTATTGCTCTGTAAAATCCCAACAATGGCCTCTCTACAGGCTCTCTTAATGAAACAGGGAGCAAGCCTACCATTGAGAATGGATAGGAGGAGGTACATGTATTGTGGTTGAGAATGGCATTTTAACGAATTGTATGGCTTCTATGCGTACCTAACTGATGTACCAAAGGTAAAAATTGGTAGTTTGGTTCGCTTATTCCCTGACGTCCGGTTTGTGAAATATTTCCTGCAGACCGGTTAATGAAGGGTAATGACACACACATTTTGGGTTAAAGGGGGGCAGGTATTATGGATTACATTGATGAATGAACACGCTCATTTCGCTCTAGAATATACTATCAAGATGATAAAATATACATAAAGAATATTACATTTATACGGATTACATCGTGAATATTTGATATATGAGCAACTGCCTTGCTGCTATGAAGACTCTAATTTCTGTAGACAAGCTGCCCCTTTGAATGAATGAATTACAGTTTTGACATGAGACGCTGCGTCCAAGTCAGCTCGAAGTGAGACCATCAAGGTGCGTCGGCAATAGATAAGCCCGCCATCGGTTAGAGATAAGCCACACAGCGTCCCCAATTGCCCAATGAGGCAATCGTCCCATCTCCGGCAAGCTGCAGTGTGTGAGTGTGGCACGTTCCATCTCACATTCCATAGAAAGCCCTGCTCTTGCCCCTCACAGCCTCACTCCTTGAACCCATTTAGAGTCTCTAGATGGTTGTAAGCCACGTTTAGAGTGATGTTGAAAATATGACTCGACATTTTGTTCCATTTCTTCTTTAAAATACCCCGTGACTATCTTTCTATCCCTTCTCTTCCCCAGCTAACTCAACGAGAATCTCTCCGGTGGAGATGAGTTACTTGACACAAAGAGCCAGATTCAACCCCGCAGCTATGCCATGCAGCAATTAGTGCTTCAAATGCCCAGCTCGAGAGCAACGCAGTCGGGCTATCGGGGCCGTGTCAGGAGCGGCTGCCTGACCTGCCGGTCAAGAAAAGTCAAATGCGATGAGCTGCGGCCTGTCTGCCAGAACTGTAAAAGGCTGAAACGAAGCTGTGTGTATAAACCGAGGAAAAGTCGACAGTATCAGTACCAACGCTCGCCACCTCGAAACACGGGACAGGCTACATCGGATGGATCTGGAAGCGCTGCTGGATTGGGGAGACTGACACAGGTGGAATCAGCCTCTCAGCAGTATCCCAGTCCATCGTCTGAAGAGCAAGATGAGAGCCTTGCGGCTGGGGTCGCTGCTGAGGGCGGTATCAATTCCAACATTGTTGGAGACACGGCGAAGAATCCATTTCAGTCTCCAGATAGCTCCATCGTGGACATCATCGTCCGCTTACATAAGGCGCTGCGACGTCAAGATGGTACGTCTCGCACCATAGACGACGCCGAGTTCGAGGCAGCCACGCCCTCGACCTTGATATCGCGTGATATAGAACTCACAACAACAATCGACGTGTTGGCTACCCGCCAAGCACCTCTGCCGCTCTCATTTGCATTCTTTGTTGATCAGGTGGATTGCCCTGCGGTAACGCCCTTTGATGGCGTCAACTGGCGTCGAATGAAGGCTGAAGTTGTCGGGGTTGGGACGAGTAATGAGGCGGTGGCCGAAGCGATTGTGGCTCTTTCTGCTCTTTACAAGGGGCAGATGTACGGTTTGCCGCTGTCCAAGGCCATGTGTCTTTATAAATCTGCCAGATTGGCATACGAAAAGCTGCTAGGTGAGGGCGTTGAAGACTTTGAAATTGTCTTGGTGACGACGTTTCTTTTGAGTCTATTTGAAAGCATGCAATACTACGAAACAGATGCTCTCCTCAGAGAGCCGGGCGAAAAGTTCATTCACAGACTCGAGGCTTGGACGCAGAGCCAGCTGCCACGCTCTTCGCTCGCCATACGAATCATTGTTTGGTTGAGACTGCTTCACACAATAGCGATCCGAGGAGGAGGCATGGGCCTCATATCTGATCGCATCTACAATCTCTTTTCCAGCTGCAGTGATGCAGCAATACCTAGCTTGGCTGTGCCATCGGACCAGCTCCCGGAAGACAAGTCCACTCATCTATATGAGACCATCGCCAGCTCTGTATTTGACTTTTACTTTCGGCTCCAGATGATATCCGGCGAGATTGCGAAACTGACGCACTATCATCGCTCGCGCACCGCCGGAGCAGATCAAGAGGATGTGACGCAGCAGATTGCCCACATCACTTTGCGGCTGCATCGTCTCTGGGACACTCGCTCTGCTGCCCAGCGCCAAACACCGGGGGACCTGCGCGCCCATCTGGAGAGCAAGGTCGCCGATCCCATCATCGCTCTGGTTGGAATGTGCCACGCGGCATATCATGCTGAATTCATTGAGATTGGTCGCGTTCTGGGAGACCCCGTGTCTGAATTCGCAGAGTCAAGACAGGCAATGCGTCAAATGCGCGAGATTGTCGATGGGGATTGGAATGTTTATCAACAAGGAAGAGGCACATCTGGGCTAAAGACGGGCTATCTTCGCCCGCTGTTTCTCTACGCCATCGAGTGTATGGACCGGGAGGAGAGCCAATGGGCCGTGGAAAGGCTAGAGAGCATCAGGAACCCGATATGTCGGAGCGACTTCTTTGCGGTATTTGCGAGGGAGCTGTCGGAAGCGCAGCTACGGAAAGAGAGAAGAGTTACGACGAGGTTCTTTTGCATGTGGCATTTTGGGGTGCCGCCTCCTTTTTTGTAGAGGGTCACGTCACTCATGGTGTGAGTGTACATCATGTTGCTATAGCATACACATACTTGTTTTATATAAAGGGAGTATACTTTACAGCAGCTCAACGCCTCTGTTACGACTTGTTGTCTCCGAGATAGAACAGTCTTGCAAAGGCGTACATGTTTTCATACGTGCAGAATTCCACTGCTCCGAGCTCAAACTCCAGCTGCACTTTTGGTAGATGCTCCTCAAACAATGCATTGAGCATTACTCTGTCCTTTCCCTCAATGTATCTCATCAGATATGCCATGGTGATGTGGAGGCCGTACGTGTCATGGTTCGGCCGCCTAAGCCCCAGAACATCCGCAAGTCTATCTCGCAGCAGTCGTATGCGTTTTTCCTCGTCTGCGGTGGCCCCCTCAACTTCCAGCCCGATGCCGACTGCGCCTGGATGAAACCCCCGAATCTTCATCTTATACGGCGGTGCTAGGCCCTCCTGTTCCAGCCCCAGGCCCAGCAGCCTCAGTTTCTGGGAGAAGTCCTGGGTAACCTCTTCCAGTGATTGCCTCTCGAATCCGGGAGGTCTCTTTGCGGGGGTGGCTTTGTCGCCGTGGATGCCGTCCAGGACGGTCATGTGCCAGGAGTCTTTGGGTAGGAGGTGGATGAGCTTGGAGATGACGGGGTGGGCGCTTAGCGATGCGTGGACGGCGTTGAGGCCGGGCTGGAGAGGAGAGTCTATGGGTAAATGGCAGATGAGGGTGATGCCGGGGAAGCGCTGGAGAGCTCCTTCGGGGGAGAATTTGGAAGGGATGCCAACGGGGTAGAGCGGGCGCTCTTTGGCGAGGGATGTTTTGGAGGCCATTTGCTGTTGAGTGTTGTTTTTTGACGAGCAGAGGCGGAGGAGGATACTCGAGTGAATGGTTGACATTGATTTTAGAGTCTCTTTGAGGGGTTGTTGTAATACGTGACCTTGTATAAGTAACGAATATAAGAGGCATGTGGACTGTGAGAACGCCGCTTAGAGATAGAGTCGTCGCTTATAGATAAGGCGTGCATTGGGTTGCATGGCATTGGATGTGAGGTTTCTGTGCGACACTCTTTGAGCGGCCAATCAAGCAGTGCCGTGATGGCGCTAATGAGCTAATGGGATAATATGATACTTAGTACCTATTACTGAGAGTTTGGCTCTTGTAGCCCAGGATTGGATTTGGTTGAGTCGTATAAGCTGCTGCAGCGTGCTTGGCTTTCGCTTCCATACTGCATATCCTCTGCCGTGTGCCATGTTCCCTCACGCTATTCTCGCTTGTATCAATTGAGAAAATTTCATGTCTTGTAAAATGGTTTCACTGACTACCTACAATCTTTCTTCATTAATTCTTCCTATATAAGGTAGGTATATGTCAATATAGCCGTCTGCTGCTACATAGTAGTCTACATAGTGCCTCTATAAAGCTATAATTAGCATACACACGCACTACTTCCCCATGCAGCCTAGCCCGCTGATTTAAGCTCCTGCAGCTCCGAGTCTTAGCTCCCACTCCAATTGGCGCACCCGTGTCTTTCTTCCATACCATCACACGACAGCCATCGCAGCTCTGTCACTCCCTGGCCGCCTTTCTGTCTCATTTCGGTTGAACGAGGATTGTCGATATTTCCTCGAGTTTCTTGCACAATGGCTCGCAGGGGCGCTTTTAGAACCGCCATTGCGTCATGCGTCTTCGTGCTGGCGGCCTGTGCGGCGGCGGCGTCGCAGATCAAGGGAGCCCCGGCTGCCGTCGAGAGTCTTAGCTTGGAGGAGCTGGATGGCCGACTCCAGGTACCGCAGCGAGACAATCCTTATTTTCAAAGCAGTATACGTCTTACTGACCAGCAAATCCGAATGCATTAGACATGTCCCGTTGTCCAGGAGCTCAACACCGCCAAGCTGGCTCACTTCGAGGCCGCGCCCTCGTCCCTCACCACGAAGCTCTTCTCGGTGCTGTTCCCCGGCTCGCCCGCCGTGAATGCGCTGCTGGCCACGCTCTACATCTCCGGTCCGCCCAACTTCCTGCTCGCCCTCGTCCCGACCAACATCGATCCCTCCTCGCTATCCGTCATGGTGGCTTTTGCCGTTGGAGGCCTGCTCGGCGACACGCTCTTCCACCTGCTGCCCGAGATCTTTGTTGGAGAAGACGAGCCGGACCGGGCCAAGTTTGTGCTTGTCGAGCCGAACCGCAACTTGATCCTCGGCCTGGGCATCCTCGTGGGCTTCATGACCTTTGTGGCCATGGATAAGGGCTTGCGAATTGCAACGGGGGGCGAGGGCCACGATCACTCGCACGGACATTCGCATGGCGACGAGAAACGCGCCAGGACCGCAGATGTCGGCCTCTCTACCGGCGCGAGCACCGTCGAGGGCGAGGCCAAGTCGAGGAAGAAGAGCGACAATAAGGAGACTCAAGTGGACGAGCAGTCAAAGCTAAAGGAGATCAACCCCAGCGTAAAACTAGGCGGCTATCTTAACTTGATGTAAGTCTCACTTGCACACTCCATTCTTCCAAATACCTAGGTATATACCTATCTGACAACTAACAAACACACCACCCCCCCTTTCAGCGCTGACTTCACGCACAACATCACCGACGGCCTAGCCATGTCCGCCAGCTTCTACGCCTCTCCCACCATCGGCGCCACCACCACCGTTGCCGTCTTCTTCCACGAGATCCCCCACGAGGTCGGCGACTTTGCGCTGCTGATCCAGTCCGGCTTCTCCAAGCGCGCCGCCATGGCCTCCCAGTTCGTCACCGCCATCGGCGCCCTGATGGGCACGCTCATCGGTATTGCCGTCCAGGAATTCGGCTCCGGAGGTGCTGACGGCGAGGCCATGCCGCGAAATGGAGGGCTCTGGGGAACAAGCCTGGTAAAGTCCTACTTCTCTCTTTTCCCTTGTGTTTTTTTTTTCTTTCTTGGCTAACAACAGGCTTGCTTGTGCTAGACGTGGGGTGATATGTTGCTGCCATTCACGGCGGGCACATTTTTGTACGTCGGCACCGTTGCCGTCATCCCAGAGCTGCTGGAGACTGGTCCCAACAAGGGCGAGGAGCTGCGAAAGACGCTTACGCAGTTCGCGGCTGTTGCAGCTGGCGCGGGCATCATGTTGTATATTTCATGGCATGAGTAAATGGGATAAGAAAAGAAAAAGAGGCGAGATCTATTAGAGAATTGGTTTATATAGATAGCAGCTGGATATGGGACCTCGATGAGATTACACATGCAAATTTAAATATCTACATATATGATGGATTAAAAACCGTCGTGAGCATCAAAGTATATCCATTTTAGACTCCATTGTCTACCTATTTGATCTAGGGGGCAGCAGAAATCACAGTTAATATCAACTCAAAAAAAAAAAAAAAAATGTGCATCATATCCATTCATCAAAAATGTATAACAAATAAAAAAACTACTCATAATCAATGTTTAGACCTTCTTTCCATCCGCTATTTCGTTATACCATCCCAAGACAAGAACAAAAAAAGGGTCACTCCGCCACCACACCGTCTATACAATGTCGATTCACGATGCATATTTCCATGATCGAAAGAGAAGAAGAGGAAAGGAAATAGGGGAAAAGGAAATAGAGAAAGTCGGTATCTTGAAAGAGAAAAAAGAAAACATCCATCCCAAATCCTTTTCCACCCCGTGAGTCGTGTATGCTATCAAACTTCCCCACATCTTAAAGTGCACCCAGCTGCTTTTTTTTTTTCTATTCTTTCTTTGGTGGTATCATTTGGTATCACGTGGTCACTTTTCCCCCTTTAATCCTTATAACACTTTTTATTAGAAGAAATTTCTCAATCCTGGAAAAACTTGATAATTTGCTGCAAGTCTCTCAAGCCGACGCCATGCTTAGGATAACAAATGTAGACCTCTTCACCCAAAGCGCCAAACTTGGATCGGAAGCCCGCCTTCCGTCGGAGACCCAGGCTCTCGACGATGGAACGATAGGTGGTGGCAAGGAACTTAGCCCGAATGCCGTGGAGATGCTCGCCGGGCGTCAGCTTCTCTGACACGCCGACACCAAACGTCACCTGGCCGGTGACACACGAAAGAGCGTGCTCAATTAGAATTTCAATAGCGCCGTTGAGGGCGCCGGGGAAGTCAAGCGCCCACTTGACCTGCCAGCCGTGTCGGGGAGCCAGCTTGGCCAACACCACCATGGCGTGGACCTTGCCCTCCTTCTCGGCCGCAAAGTAGCGGCGGTGCTCCATGTCGACCCAGGGGCGCACCTCCGTCATATGAACCTGCTTGCCCTTGCGGTTGGCCTTCCAAGCCTCAATTTGCGGGTTTACGCGGCTGATGAAGTCGTCGTCAGCCTTGACTTCGTGAATCTTGACGCCTTCACGCTCGACTCTGCGGGCCTTGGGTCCGCCAGCAGGGCTCTGGTGTCTGGCTGTGTCGACACGCTGCTCCTCCGTGCAGGAGAGGGTTCGCCAGCCCAAATCGTGGGCCAGGATCCTCTGCACATCGTACGAGACAAGCATCCACATAGGGACCATGTGGAGCTCCGTCAGCACGTATTTGATAAATGACATGATGACATCCGTGTATTGCGACTTATCGCAGAGAGGATCACCAGTGACCATGGCAAACTTGTCTTGTCTGACAAATCCGACGGCAGCACCAGACTTGTGCCTCCAAATCTCGAACCTGTCGTCGAGCCAAGAAGTGTTGGAGGCATCGCCGTAGTTGGCAATGAGCTTCTCGACCGGAGGGGTGTGGAGTGCGGCATACTGCTTGGTGGTATCGGCCTCGGGATGGGGCAGAGTGGGCTTGCGGTCGGGGAGCGACTTGGGGTCACGGTAGAAGAGCGAGGCGTTTCGGACGTCTCCGAGCTCGAGCATCCAGGTCACAATCCGCTCGAGACCCAGACCAGCTCCAGCATGGGGCGGCGCACCAAGGTCGAAACCGGCCAGGTACTCTTCCATGCCGTCTTCCGCAATGCCGGCAGCAGACATATTGGCGCGCAGCTCGGCAGCATCGTGGATACGCTGGCCACCGGAGCAAATCTCCTGGCCGCGGATGAAGATGTCGAAAGACCGGGTCCATTTGGGGTCCTCGGGGTCCTTGTGGGTATAGAACGGACGGGCATTTGTGGGGAAGCGGTCGAGGACGTAATAATCAGTGTTATACTTCTCCCTGACAAGCTCACCCAGTCGAATCTCATCCGAAGTGGACAAGTCTTCCTCGGGAGCTTCACGACCATCGTCCCTCAGCATCTGAAGGCCATCTCTGAAATCGAGAACGAGTGTCTCGTCCAGATACTTGAATTCAGTGCTGGGCCATCGTTGCTTGAGAATCTCAACCTCGGGCATGGCGTAGACGGCCTTGAAGACATTCTTGAGGAACAAGTCAAGCACCTCGATGACCTCATGGTAATCATGCTCAATGGCCATCTCGAGATCCAAACCGGTGTACTCGGTAAGATGGCGATGAGTGTTTGAGTTCTCTGCACGGAAGACAGGACCAATCTCGTAGACGCGACCAAAGTCGGCGGCGACGGACATTTGCTTGGCGAGTTGTGGGCTTTGGGCTAGGAAAGCCTTGCGGCCGAAGTAGTTGACCTTGAAAACGGAGGCACCGCTTTCAGTGGCAGCAGGCTGGAGCTTGGGAGTGTTGATCTCTACAAAACCAAAGCCCTCGAGGGTTTCACGGAATTGGTGAGAGACCTGAGATCGAATGCGGAACAGAGCCTGGTTGGCCGGGTGCCGCAGATCAAGGATACGCGACGACATGCGGTTGCGCAAGGCCTCGGGGGGTCTATAGACACTGAACGGGGCATTCTGAGCCGGGTTCACGAGCCACAGGCCGTGGATGTCAACCTCGGCGTGGGACACGGTGGCAGATCGCACAGGCTCCGGGGGCGCCTTGAGAACGCCATTGATTTGAAGCAGAGACTCAGCAGGCAGCTTCTGTACCCATTGGACCATGTCCATGTTCTCTCTGGAAAGGACGCCCTGGATGGAGAAGGTCTGGTCACGCAGGAGAAGGAAGTCGAGGGCCTTGGAGAGCTGACGCTGGGTATGGATGCGGCCACGGAAGTTGACCTCGGTGCCAATGGGCAGCGTGTCCAGCTCGGCAATGGTGTTGAGTTCGTAGGGGTGCGTTGGCCAGTCAGAGCCGCTGCTGCGGACGCTGTCAAAGGACGTGGTTGAGTTGTCCATGCTGGATCGCGGAGAGCTTGGCGCCGACCTGCGGCCGCCGCCCTCGTTCATCGTCGCCAGAATCTTGCGGGTGGCCTCGCTGTGGACTGCCGGGGAAGTGGGCGAGGTGGGAATGGACAGCGCCGACATCGTGGGCGTCGCAGGCGTGGGAGTCTCGTTCACCATGTACTGGTGGTAGCTGCTGCGGTTGCTGTTGGTGCCGGCAGCGTTGTAGTTCTTGGGAAGGTGATCGCGAGGCACGGAACGGTCAGGACTGGCTCGCCTGCTGCTTCTCGTGCTGTTGGATCGAAGAGGGAGGCCAAAGGCCGAGAGGATGGGGGAGTTTCTCCCGCTGTCTGTAGACGGCATGGTGACGATATAGATATGCGCGATATCGATATGAGAAGATGGGAATGGGGCTCGAATCCGGCTTGCCTCGAGCAGGGATCTGAGCAGAGGATTGGCAAGAGAGCAAGAGACTGGGTAGCTGCTCAGAGAGACCGCAGGCACGGCGGTACAAGTACTCTTGGCGTTATGTCCGCGGAATTTCGGGCTGATTGGCCGACAGCGATAAGAGTCGCACAATGAACCAGAGTGTGAGACGAGCGAGCGATGTGTGGCAACGGGTTTATCCCACTCTGCCGGAGCTCGCGGGGGTGGTTGGCGGGGTCAAGAACTGGCCCGGCGCTTTTTTGGTGGCAGAGTGCCTGAAGCCCTGCCTTGCAGCGGCGCTGTAATTGGTCCTGCGCTGTGTCACCCCGGTAGGCACGATGATGTTATCGAAACCTCTGCCCTGACAGCTTTTGCGTCGTATTTTCGCCTCCGCGTGCTTGTTGCTTGTGCTTCAGCGTCAATGACGTGGAACTGAATCACCACAACTGTCTTGGCGAGCAAACTGCGGTTTCTCAAATGGGATTTATTCGCTAGCGGTTGAACCCGTCGGAAGGGGGGTTGGCTATTTTTGGCAGTTGGCAAGATGGGGGACTGGGTATGTAGGAGATGGATGCTTTATACGTATATCGAGAGGAGGGTGTGGCAAAGCAAGGCTCGGAACTTTCCTCTTTGATGAGCAAATCTTTGAGCCACAGGCGGCGAGTCAATGACAGGATGATGGAGAGAAAAGGAAGAGAGAGAGAAGCCACAACAGTAGTTCTTGGCGAGGCTTGCTCTGGTCTTATATCACTCAGGGCGTTCCTAAGCAACAGCCAATGCTTAGTCTCCTACGTAGTTTACCACTGGTTGACTGGGTACGAGGTAAGTAGGCGTAATAATCGGGTACCAAGCCCATGCGGATGGGCGAAAAAAACCCGTTGCTGTGGTGGATGCCGCCGAGGATGATGGGGGCAGCCGAACGGGGGGGTGTATCAGCAGCAAGAGACCGAATTGAGACGATATCAAAGCCAGTTCTTTTGCCAGCATAGACTCAGCCAGAACAGGCGCGAATTCCTCGTCGGATGGCCGAACCGAGCGGGAGGGGCTCGTCCTTTGACCTCTCCTCGGCACGCTCGTGGGCCCCTGGCCAGGCATCGGCTGCCGTGCAAAAATGCCACTTTACTGTCATCCATCGTCTGGCTGCCATCAGCGCAGGATCCCCACCCGCCGTCGACTTTAGACTCCGCCCGAGCCCGAACAGCCTATCCGCCTAGCACGTTTGGGTGCGGCACGGAATCAGTGCGAAGATTCTTCTCGTGCCATTGGGTCGAACGCAGCCGAGGGGGCGCCTGCAAGAGGTTTAGTAAGTGTTTAGTTAAGTGGTGGGGAGAGTCGATATCAAATCTCAGCCGACGTTAGCAAGCAAGGCCTGCACTAAGCGCCGTGCTGACTGAGCCCGAAGCACATGCAGCGTTTTCCCTCTTTCTGCCTCTTCCTTTCTCCGAAGTTCCTCTTCTCCCTCTAGCCTCCGCGCTTCTTCCGCCGGCATTGCATGTCTAGTGTCACGCGAGATACACGGATTTATGATTAGCGGGCAGGCGGATTGGCGCTAGCGTGCAGTCTGGACGCCCAGTTACTCGGACAGCCGCTTCCAGCGCCTTTTTTTTTTTTTTTTTTTTTTTTTTCTTCCTTCGTCCTCTCTTTTTCCCCTCTAGCCACCTATGCTTATGTGCTCTTTTACCTAAGCGGCGGGTTGCTTGTATGGCCCGTTTCCCGCTTCCAAATGATGAATAATATGCATATGCGGCTACACAATCGATTTATAAGTGTAGCCCTGCATGAAGTGATTCTTTCTTAGGGGGAATATCCATGATGTAATTGTGCCATTTACGGAGCTCTCCCCCTGCAACAAATCATAAGCTCTCTGAAACCGTCAACAAGACAAATGCAGGGATCTGGTTGCCCATGTTGTTAGCAGTACCCAGCAACTAAGAGTAACAATTTGCTTTTTTTTTTCTCCGGGCAGACTTGCAGTAGAGCAATGAAGCGCATGCGCCCAGCACCTTGTAAGTTAGTACCTACCTAGACTGTGGCATTAAATTACGAGCCAACCAATGCGCCTGTGGAGGAGGGCAAAAGCATCTGCCAGCATATCGCGCGCTGCCTTATTGGAGTGAAGCAGCAGCATATTTTACTTAGATCCTTTATTGAAGCTTATCCAATATTTTATCCCATCGTGGGCCGCTAGTGCCGCTGCTTCTGTGTACTTTTGCTCTGGCGCAGGCCGAGACCGGCTATCGGGGATGTACCTACCAATCAATGATACTCACAGTGGTACTTTTTGTTTCCCTTTGGCTGTGCAGGTAACCAGTCATACAAGCATGTAAGGTATGTATGCAGAGTCGAGGTTTTGCAATGACGTCAGAAGCTGAAATCGTTTGTGAACTTGAGCTTTGACCAGTCAAGCATGCTCGGTAATTGGAGCCGCCATGCCTAGGCACTCCATAAAGATGGAGCAGGAAAAAGTATGTGCATTGAAATAGAAAAAGCGGTTATAAAAAAACAGGAACCGCGCGCGGCAAGCAAGTGATGCCTGGCCCGGCATCGTCCGATCAGCTCCTCGGAAAGGAACCAGGGCGATACTCTCGATATGTACAAGAATCGCCAGGCCCCGCCTAGGTATGGAGCACCAGATAGCCGTTGAACTCGGCAGTACGTCATACCAGGTCTGTGCTCTGATTTCGCGTTCCACGATTTTCCATGCGGCCAGGGCCCTGCAAATCGAAACGGCGTGGGCTCTTCTGTCGCTGCAGTACCACCGTGGCACTGGGCTTATTATTAGTCCAGTAAGGTGCTGCTTTAGGCAATCCCTACCACTGCTGCATTTGGCAAAAGGAATCGACGACGGTTGCCCGGCGCGGGTTTCTAGAAATTCGTCAAACTTCAAAATTCCAAACAGACACCGCGTAGCTCATCCTGTGCCTCCTGTGCCTTGATACGATCTACGCAAAACCCTCCAGCCATTCCCTCATCCCGATTCTCTTAGCCCCAGCAAATAGTCTCTCTCAAAAGAAGCTTTGCGCCGATCCAGCCTGCTGGTTGCTGGGGCCCAGCTAGCGCCGTATCGAACCCGCTCCCGTTTGTCCTTACAGCTGCGTCTCCACGACATTATGCTACCCCAGTTATTCGGTTGCGTCTATGATTTGTTCTTTGTCCAGGTTCACTCCCTTTAGCGTAGTGTTGCGCTTATCTTGTGTGAGATACACGTAAACCACTGTCAACGTCCTATCAGCGAGCTTTTTGTAAAATAGATCGCTAGAAAACGTGCTGGCAACTAACACCATGGCTAAATAAGCCCTAGGCCGGAGCCACACGAGTCGGGCAAAAAAGATACTCCGTAAGCGGCCTCAGGTCCATCTACAGCTCCCCCTGAGCATCGTCACGTTATCCAGACTGTAGATCGTCACCAGCAGCAGGGCACACGACACGGTACAATACAGTACTATCGGCCGTCTCAACGCCATCATCGCAGGTATCGTCTCGTATCTTGCCTCTTTTCGTCCACCATCTCATATTTGTGCCGTACCTTATCCGTGCCTCGCGCCACCCACCCTCCTGGCCTCCTCATACAATCAAACTTTTTTCTCCTCTTCCTCTCCTTCTTCCACCATCCACGCCCCTCTTCCATCCGTCCACCCCGCTGTTTCGTCCCCCAGAGCCAGACTGCAGCCAATCCCCGCTTGCCCTGCCTTTCCGTAGAAGCCAGGCTGCACTGTAGCAGAACCAAATCATCGCTCAACAGACTCGAGGCGGATGACCACAGCGCGCCGTTCCCATGGACGTCGTCCCGGATCACCTCAGGAAACCGACAGTGCCGGAGCCAGACGACTATGTCAACCCCTTGGAGGCCAGTTCCCGCTGGACCTTGAATGCGCGTGCTCAGGCCATCCGCTATGCGTCCAGCCTCGGTTTCAGCATCGCCAACCGCACTGAGCCCGCGGCTCCTACACCGTCCGCCGAGTTTTGGGCTGATTCTACGCTCGCCGAATGCAAGGGTCCCAAGAAGATCAGGGTCGAGGTGTGGACGCCGCCTCGTCTGTCCATCGGACCTCGAGCCGCTGTCATCGCTCTGCATGGAGGAGGATGGATTCTCGGCCAGGGAACCGATAATGCACGCTGGGCATGCGCTGTCATGACCTCGCTGGATGCCGTCGTCTTCACCGTCAACTATCGCCTGGCTCCCAACTATCCGTTCCCGACCCCCATCGAGGACTGTGTCGATGCCATCCTGCAGATAGCCAAGCGCGCTGCCCAGTTTGGCATCGACCCGAATCGCATGATCCTCTCTGGCTTTTCCGCAGGTGCCACCACAGCCCTCTCAAGCTGGCTCATCATGAATGACCCGTCGCGCTGGAATTACACGCTGCCCTTTGCAGTCCCTCGCATCACTGGCCTCGTGCTCTTCTATCCCGGCCTAGATTGGACCATCAACAGGGCAGACAAGAGGCTGAGTTGCACTCGTCCCGACCTTACCCTATCCAAGGGTTTGACAGATCTCATTGATGCCTCTTACGTCTATCCCCCAATCCCTCGCCACGAACGCGCAGATCTTCGGCTCTCCCCGGGCTTGATGACGGATGACATTATGAAAAAGCTACCGCCCGTCCATCTCTGCTTGTGCGAGTATGACATGCTTCTCGCTGAGGGTACCCGCTTCGCAAAGAGACTGCAGAGCCTGAAAAAGACCGTTACTCTGCGTATTGTTGCCGGCGAGAAGCATGCATGGGACTGCCCCCCGCCAATGATTCAAAAAGAGAGCGTGGAGGTCGAATATGCAGAGGCGACTCAGGCCATAGCCAACTGGCTTGGTCAGGCGCACGACACTGACAGGGAGTCGATGCGGTCCATGAAGACAAAGCGTTTGCGGATACCCCGGCCTAGTTTTTTGCTAAGGTCAAAATCAGCTGGTCCGTTTTGACCATGCCTTTTTTTTTCCTAGATTTATTTTTCTTCCTTGACTGGCGGCTCATAGCGTTTCTCTTGTCCTTTTTTTGTTTTCCTCCTCTGTTTTTTGCTTTGTTCTTTTCCTTTTTGACATCGTCTCGATGATACCTCAGAACTGCGTTGCACTGAGTAGACAAGAGTAGACAAAGACAGACAGACAGACAGACAAGTGTGTACGGAAAGATGACTACAGCCAGACGATGAAACTACTTAGCGAATTGATTATTGCTGGCGTTGGAGGAGGGAACATGCATAGAAGCGGCGAATAGGCGAATCGGGTGTTTATCTGGCATAAACAAGACCTGTCTGAAAAGATGAATTGGACTTTTTACTTGATTTGATAGCACACGATTGAAGATTTACAGTTGAAACAGTTATATATATCAAGACTATCTCTTGGCACCTTTTACTTCCCGTAGCGCTAAACTAACTTCCCGCCTTTACTTGAAATCAAGAAGTTGGGCTCTGAAGGATTGTCAGCCATGTCTGGCTTACATGTTCCAAATTAAACCACACCATCATCGACTCCTCTCTTTTCAATCACACCCCTCCTCTAGCAAGGGGATTCATGCAAGTTCTACCATTCATGGCACTTGTTCACATGTCGTGGCGTTTTCAACATGCAGCCAAAAGTACCTTACATTTCGATCTCATGTTGAACCTTTAACACTTGACAGCTCGTAGAAATCGGATAACCGGAAGGAAAGTGGGAATTTCATGCGAGTCGAGCACGCGGGGGAGCCTTACAAGGCAAGATTAACTCTCGATAAGAGCATGTGCCGGGCCTAAAAATGGGCAAACGGATACTTATGAATCGTTTGTTTGCTTGTGATTCTGTCAGGGTCAAAGCAGGGTGTGTCGAAAACAAGGCTACTAAGCTATACTGTGGATAAGATGATATGCCGTTCGGAAGGTTCGGGTAGGCCATGGGGGAGAGCAATCATGGGGGGGTGGATGAGACCACGAGGTGGCTTGCTGGGGAAATGAAACGAGACGGTGCGAATGAATCAGGATAAAAATAAATTGTAATGGCGAATTAAATGATCTTAAATGATTGTTAGCATAAGAGTCAGGCCAGGCTGAGATGATGAGGATGCTATAGAATGCGGGTTAATTAGAGTGCTGACCGAATCCGTGGCGTGGTTGAGCTGCCGAGGTGACGGGCTCATCAGTGCCGGGAGGATGGAGGGGGGGTATCCGAGAGTTTGACGTTTTATGCCTTGTACCCCCTGGATGCCACGCGAGGGAATTTTGGCTTATATGATTATTTTTTTTTTTTTTTCCTTTTTCCATGTGAACAATGGGAGCTTGAGAGTTGATGACCTGTTGTGGTAAAAGGTGAGTTGTTAGAACGAGGAGCCGCAGTGTCGTGAGACGGGTATTTGCTACCCTAGATCCCCGGAACTTATGGCTGGTTTTGAGGCGTTCTCTCCACCTCATCTTGATCCTTTCAAAGAGGAGATTTGCTTCACCGGTCATGATACAAGTCCTGTTCGTTTAATGTGAAACTTGCAGTGCTTTTAAAGTGCTCTGGCAAGTGACCTAGGTAACATGTATACAATGCTCTAGGGTAACACATACGAAATAGGCTTTGATACCAGTAGCTAAAGGTACATAGGATAATTCTATCACGATTATAGTGGTTCTCGCGAATAATATGAAATGATTGCAAAGAGTAACAAAAAATAATTTCAGGTATTGAGAGGTTTTACGGCTCATTTTTGAGATTTTCTATAACTGAATGCATACTTGTATTGTTGGCGATTCTGAGTTACACTTATTGCCCTATGAGGCGGCGTAATTCAATGCATTCGAGCTGCAATACCTTAGTAGTTATTAGTGTTCAACGTAAACATGTACATAAAGTATCTTTATAGATTGGGGAAAAATAGAAATTTAATTTTTTGCTTCCTGGTAGAACGGACCAAATAGTGAGCTCTTTTTGCTTGCGAGTGGAGTGCATACCCTTTGTCTCTCTCTATGGCATAATATATTCATAATAGCGACTCTATGTAAACTGCTGTCTACTGGGCACTTTTGGATACTAGGTGAGCAAAGTAAACGCTTCAAAAAAATATCAAAGTGCGGATGAGATATGTCATATAGGAACTAAAATTTTGGATAATAGGAGGCACGCACATTCCACTGGAAGTTCAAATGTTTTCACTTGCTTATTAGCTGCGATTGCTCTCTTTCCAGCGACTATATCATCAAAAAATGGATATATAGCATTTTATACATCTCTAAGACGCTAATATCTTTAACCCAGCTGATGATAGGATTATTTCGTTTCTTCGTTAATTACCAATATGTACTAGATCGTGCTAATAACTTAACCAACCATCAATCAATTTACCACTTGGCCTCCTTGCTCTCCACGAAACCCTTGAGGATGCCGACAATCTTGTCGAGAGCGGCCAGGTAGACCCTCAGCTCGCTGGTGACCTGAGCCTCGTCGGCTCCGAGCTTGGAGTAGAAATCTTTACGGTATGGGCAGGCGCCCATGGCAGCACTGAAAATGGGCTTGATCAAGAAGCTGTGGTGAGGCTTCAGGGTGGAGCCGTATGCGTTTCGGAAGGAGTCAGCAAGCTCCTCGGATTCCTTGGCCACGTTGGCGCTGAGGGCGAGGCAGGTAAACTCGAGACCACTATTTTAAAAGGTTCAACGATTAGTGACAATGTTTTTCTCATGCTTTTAGGGTATAATTGGGCTGCAGAGGGCCTGGTGATGCGTACCGGACCAGCCACAGAAGACCCTCGGTGGCAGTGTGCTTCTTGGTCTTGAGCTCGTTGCGGCAGAGGTCTTGGACGTTGGTAGACTCGGCAGGGGCGGCGGCCTGGCGGTCACGGAGCTTCTATACATGGGGCGGAATGTGTTAGCTACTAGTTGTCTTGGAGGATCTGTCTAATTGATAGGATGCACGCTTCAACAAGCTATCGTACCTTGATGTTGCCCAACAGATCAGACTTGACGGGAGAGAAGGCAACAGAGCCCAGGACGTCTGCATAGCCTGATTAGACACCTCGCTCTCTTCAAGACATTGATCCATACGGCTGTAGCTTACCAAACATGGTGGTCAGGGACTCGGCAGCATCGAGGAACTGGGTGGTAGCAATGGCATTGCCATTCTCGGCATCAATGGGCACGTCCACAAAGGACTGCTTGAAGGTGTGGACAATGGTGGCGCCGACAGGGATTTCAGGGGCAGACATTTTGGATAGATTTTCTGTTATATGTATAAAGGTAGAAGAAGAAGACGAAGACAAAGACAGAAATGGAGAATTGGATTGGATTGGATTGGATTGGATTGGGAGCTGGAAAGGAGAAGAAGAAAAAGAGGCAGATGAACACGCTATCAGGTCTTTGGGTCGGCGGTGAATGCTCGACATCTGGCCTGGAGCTGGTGGGGCAGAGAGGCACAGGTGGGGTTGTTGGAGAGCCAGCTAGGAGGCTTCAACGAAAAGGGGTCAACAGAGAGGGGGTTACGAATCTGCAGCGACCTCAATGGGGCTGGAGGGATGATACGAGCACTGTGTCGTATTTGTTTGGTGTTTTGTCTGATGTATACGTAGAGTGAGAACAACAGCAACAATGCTCTAGGTTTGTGTTGAATTTTGGATAATGCTTGTAGAGCACAACACAAGTACTACTAAGGTACCCAGACCAAGACCTATACTGTCTGGTAATACCTAGTAGGTGCAGCTGGAGATGGATCCGTGTTGAGACTGTGGCCGCGATCCGTATTTTCTGGATAAAACCCACTCAGCTGCATGCAACTACTCCGCATTTACTCCGTGCAGCGAAGCGTGACATGCTTTTTACAGCCAAGACTTTGACAGATCGCAATTGAGCTCTTGGGAAAACGCACTGCAGAGCCCGCTGTGCATCCCGCTTACATAATGTCGGGCAGCGTATAACCAAGCTTCAGCATTACGCGGCAGTATTCCTTAAGCGCTCTGTCAGTCAGGTGTCAATTCCAAGACGTTTTTCTAATTCTGCCGCCGCCGACAAGGGACTGCTGCTTTCAGCTCCTGACCATCAACCGTTTAATACATATATGTATATGTACTACTAGAATTGGTGATTGATTGACAGCCTCATCATTGCCCAACTGGGCGGCTCATCATTGCTATATACTACCACGTGTAGGTACCTAGTACATACTAATTGCTCAATACCTTGGTAGGTACCAGCTTCAGGCTCAGATCTCTTCGGATGAGATGAGCGGCGCCAACCGCAACAACTAGCGCCAAGACAAGCACGCGCTCTACCGTACAGTTACCAAGCACAAGGTACCGCACGCAATAGGCATCGAATGTTTTCCGCTAATTGATGCTCGTATAATGCTACAAGTACTGCACACCATACGTCACTGCGCCCTTATGAAAATTGCTGCTCTCCATGTCTCCCTTTTCTTTAGGTAACAAACCAAACCACCCTGACCCTTGATTGCAGTGACGTCATCATCCCACCCTCTCCAACAAACAAGGCTGCCCCTCCACTTTCGAGCCAGACCTGCAGAGCTCGATGCGCTGCCACGCCAAGACACGAGACAAAAAAGAAAACCTGGATCAATTGGCCTGAGACAAAGGCAGAGCCGCTGCTAGACAGATTAGCTTTGCATAACACCGTTTTACCTCAATTAAGACTGCGGATCCGCGTCCCCAGCCCAAATCCCTGCTGCGATTCGGCGTCAGCCCTGTGGCGCCGCCAGCATCTGCCTCCTACATACAATGCCTCCCTCCCGTGGTCAATGGGCAGACAGTTCAGCTAGCTAGCTCTCTTCGGGTCGATCCTTCGTCATGGTCTCATGCTGTGAAGTCTGCTGAGCTTGAGCCCCCGCTTCCCTGATAGCCTCGATCTTGGCATCGATCTTGGCAACGCATATATGATTGTTTTATCCGGCACCTCCTCTGCGCTCTAGTGCTGTCTGCTGTCCCCCTCTATCTCAGCTCTCGTCAATTCTCCCACGTTTTAGATACCCAAACTCAAGTCTCTTCTCCGCGAGCTACTTGTGTGACTCGCGATAGCAGCTTCCCATCCGCTGCCCCATGACGGAACTCGATTCATCCCATCAGTAGTGTTATAACAATGGCCGCCTCCGGGCCTGCGCAGAGTGGAGGCCATCACGGCTTACAGGGCTTCGTGGACCACTTAAAAGACAAACTCCATGATACGAAGCTGTACGATGTCAAGGTCGCCGTATCACATAAGAAGCATCAGATTGGTAAATTTGGAAACCTGTTCAACAAAGATCATCGCCACGATGAAGAGCACGAGGTCCGCTGCGACGAAAAGAGAACCCAAATCTGCGACTCTCATCGCTTCCGTTCCTATTTTCCCGAGAGGGATGGCAATCTTGTCAAGTGGTACATAGATGGACGAGACTACTTCTGGGCCGTATCCGTTGCATTGGAGCAGGCCAAAGAGTCCATCTACATTGAAGACTGGTGGCTTTCGCCAGAGCTGTTCATGAGACGACCACCTCACCAAAAACAAGAGTACAGACTAGACCAGATTCTGAAGCGAAAAGCGGAAGAAGGGGTCAAAATCTTCGTCGTCGTTTACAAGGAGGTCGAAGCCGCTCTGACTTGCAATTCGGAACACACCAAGCATGCCCTGCAAGCTCTCTGTCCGGAGGGCACTCCAGGATACAACAACATCAAAATCATGCGGCATCCGGACCACAATGTTCTAGAAAACGCGGCAGACATGACAATGTACTGGGCCCACCACGAGAAATTTGTCGTTATTGACTATTCTATTGCTTTCATTGGCGGTCTAGATCTCTGCTTTGGCCGGTGGGACACTCGCACTCACCCACTTTCAGATGTTCACCCAGATGAAGTGACTGCAGAGATTTGGCCAGGCCAGGACTTTAACAACAACCGAATCATGGACTTCAAAAAGGTACAGGACTGGCAGAACAATGAGGTCAGCAAGGCAGATTATGGTCGCATGCCGTGGCACGACGTTTCCATGGCTGTCATCGGCCCTTGCGTCCTTGACATAGCCGAGCATTTCGTTCTACGATGGAACTTTGTCAAACGAGACAAGTATAAACGTGATGAGAGATTCGACTGGATTGTTCTCGAGGGCCGTGAAGGCGAAGATGAAGACTTGGTTGGAGTGCAGCGGCCAAAGTATCCGATGGGAGACTACGTCAAGCATCCTTTAACCCCTGTAAGCACCAAGAACCTGCTCAATCGGGGCACTGTCCATGCACAGGTAGTGAGATCTAGTGCCGATTGGTCAAGTGGAATTTTGACGGATCATTCCATTCAAAACGCATATTCAGAGATCATTGCTACCGCGGAACACTACGTCTACATTGAGAACCAATTCTTCATTACTGCTACTGGCGAGCACCAATCTCCAATCCACAACACGATTGGAAGGGCCATTGTTGATGCCGTAGTCCGTGCCGGAAAGGAGGGTCGAAAATTCAGAATCATCATCGTCATCCCTGCCATCCCAGGATTTGCGGGTGATCTTCGTGATAATGCTGCGTCTGGCACAAGAGCCATCATGGATTACCAGTACAAGTCAATATGTCGAGGGGAGCACTCCATCTTTGAACAAATCAAAGCCCAAGGAGTGGACCCCACCAAGCACATATTCTTCTTCAACTTGAGATCGTATGATCGCTTGAATAAGACTCCTGCAATCGCTGAAGCGGAGGAGAAGACGGGCATCAAATACCAGCAGGTCCAGCGTGTCCTCGCCGAAGACATTATGAGTGAAGGAATTCACGGGACAACGGATCCAATAGAAAACGAAAGGGATAACCACATGGGCCAAGAGCACGAGAAAGAAAAGGCTCATAATGAAGCCCTACAAGCAAAGGAGACATTTGAGAAAGCCAAGCCAAAGGAACAAGTCCAGACCGCAACTACTGTTGCGCATCATGCCATGGCTGGCCAACCCCCCTTGGAACACGAGGTTTGGCCTGAGTCAGATCCATCATCTGAGATAAAGAACTGGGTTCAGGAGGAGCTCTACGTACATGCCAAGATACTCATTGCCGACGACCGAGTAGTGATTTGCGGCTCAAGCAACCTGAACGATCGTAGTCAGCAAGGAAACCATGACAGTGAATTGAGTATCGTCATGGAAGACACAAATATCATTCGAACCACCATGAATGGAAGACCGTTTGAAGCAGGGTACCACGCAGCGACCTTGCGGCGGATGCTCTGGCGAGAGCACCTCGGTCTTCTCCCTCCGCAAGAATTTGATGCCAATAACGATATCAATGCAATGCCACCGAGTGTCGAGCCCAAGAACAACGTTTACGATGATGACGACAGTTGGAATTTTGTAGAAGATCCCCTGGGTGACGAACTGTGGGATATGTGGACAAGTCGGGCAGACCGAAACACCGAACTCTTCCGCCAACTATTTCACGCCGATCCGGATAATAACAGTAAGTGCTTCGTAAACATTAGATTGAGGTCATGTGCAGTTTCACAAGCTGATACAAAAAAAATAGTCAAAACCTTTGATGATTACAATCGTTTCCTTCCGCCTATGGGTGTTAAAGCTGGCCACATTTTCGACCAGTTCATGCCGCCTGAGGAGGCGAAGAAGAAACTGGCAGAGATCAAGGGCCACCTGGTGTGGATGCCGATGGACTTTCTGAAGGATGCGGAGATGGCTGAGCGGGGTCTTCAGGTCAATGCTTGGACGGAGAGTGTGTATACTTGAAGAGGCTGATTGTGTGGATTTCTCTGATTTGCCGCAGCTGTGGGTTGGGAAAAGTAAAACAAAGATACATTGGTAGTACTTAGTCTATGTTGCAATGAGTATCAGTGAGTCTATCATGCAATGATTATCAACGAATCCTTTCTCTAGCTCTCGTGCCTATACTTTATATACGCGGCTTATTCCAAGTTACAACAACATCGCTTAATGCCTGCTATTTCGTACATCCATCAGAAACTCCGTTGCAGAAGCGAGGTCGCATATTCGGTCGCATCAAGCGCGCCGCTACCAGGGGTGACAGGGATGGCTAATTGTGAACCACTCCTTTAGCGAGCAGAACTAGACTTTGGTACAGTTATCTCTCGAGTCTTCTCATCTACAATAGTGTTAAACAACTAGGAAAGGCGCGGCACAAGGTTGAAAAAAAGTAAAAACCCGGCACGCACAGTAGCGGATTGCGCTGGTGGTCTGGAAGCGCCGTGCTGGGTGGTTTTTGTGGCCAATAGAAGCGGCGAAGTGGTCACATTTGGGGACATCACTTGCATAAGCCTGGGAGGTGGAAGATTGTTAAAGCCTGTGATGAGTGTTGAAAAGAGCTGCTAGTGGGTGGTTCTCATAAAGGTAGGTGGTTTGCCCCTCCTTTTCTCTTTTCCTGCTGCTACTATTGATTTTTATCTAACGAGGGAAAAAGGGAAGAAGAAGAAAACGGCGTGATCCGGGAAAGAGTGGAGTTGAAGCGTAGTGTATGAGGTTGAGATGTCGCTGATGTTGGTTGGTGAACGGGTCCAAACACAAGTGTAACGCTTGTTAGATACCGCCTAAGACAAAGGAGTACAGAAAGAACAAAGGAAAGACTGCTAAACGAAACTATTTCATGCTGCTACTGAATAGTCACCGCTGAACATTCTGATCTCCCGAGTCACTCACTCTATTCTACAGACCCTGGCTCGGCTTCGTTTTCGCTCGTGTTCATTGGTGCCCAAGCACCGCGACAGGCTCAGCACTCAAAACAGATCGGCGGCAACGCGCGGCAAAGGCAGAAACTCTTGCCTCAAGGTTATCTACATATATATATGTAAAACTCAACAGTACTGTAAAACGTCTGTTCTAATATAAGCTTCTTTGTTTCAGCCCATTGCTGCCTGTGCCCATGTCCGGCACTCACGCACACGCCAGCCCCGGTGATGCGTCCAACAAACAACGGATCATGCAAGAAATCCAGTCTCGTCGTTTCTCATTCATGCCGGTTCAGGGGTCTTGCAAGTTGACGTCCCCGCTAACTAGACCAGCCCACCACTTTTTTGCAGCGGCGTTATCGACTGTTAGCCCCCCCTGGAGTGGGCAGTGGCGCACATTACAGCAGCCATCATGCCTAACAGGCGCCGGACCCCCGCTGCCGCCAGCACTTGTCGCCCAACCCCCCATCAGCGGCTATTCTGGAGAGATGGCATCACCACCTTAATACCTTTATGGGTCTGGATTCTGCCGCAGGCCCGCCTACATCATTGGCAAATCACCAGCCACCAGCCCAGCTTACCTGGCGCTTCCTACGTCGCGGCTTTGTCTGACGGGAAACGACAGCAGTTTCTTTCTTTCAGACTGTCTCTTCATCATTTTGTTACCGCTCATCCTTTCAGCATCAACCTCGACTGTCCCTTGTCCGGCATTGCTGAGGGACCCCGCCTCAGAATCCATAACCTTAGGCTCTCGGCGACGAGATACTTGTGCAGACGAAACGGTGTCACCAAGCAAGCTAGCTATCTTACGTTACCTCCGCACAAAACAGCTCGAGCATACGCAAGACCCCTACGCAAGCTCGCCTCGTCGTCTTCCTTCGAGCTGAGTAGCCCGTCCGTTGCTGTCGACAATCTCTCCATCGCCCGAATCTTGCTTACGAGACGTACAACCGCTTATAGCTCGCATCCCGCCCGCTTCATTGCTCTCCGCCACGCCTCCTCTCGTTAGCAACAAACGGTCTACCGACATACCATAACGACTTCTCTCGTGCAGCTTGTCATCGCACCGCGCTGCTGTATCCCCGCTGGACGTCTTGTCCTCCGCGCTGGCCGACGCGCATGCGACTTGCTGGACGTCTCAGCCCGTGGCCCATTGAGTCTACCGCCAGTCGCACAAGATGACGCAGTCCCCCATGATAGCCGCGCCGCCCAAGGCAACCAATGAAATTGACTGGGTTTCGCCGTTAAAGTCCTACATTCGCGATACTTACGGCGATGACCCCGAACGATATGCCGAGGAGTGTGTCACGCTCAACCGCCTGAGGCAGGATATGCGAGGCGCGGGAAAGGAGAGTACTACTGGGAGGGATATGCTCTATCGTTACTATGGACAGCTGGAACTGCTAGACCTGCGGTTCCCGGTGGACGAGCAGCATATTAAGATTTCATTTACCTGGTACGAGCATATATATTTAAAGCCTGAAGCGGCCTGCCATATCCAACTGCCCGAGCAGATGCGTGCTAACATGAATCTTCTTAATCTAGGTTCGATGCATTCACCCACAAGCCTACAACACAGTACTCGCTCGCATTCGAAAAAGCCTCCGTCATCTTCAACATTTCGGCTGTTCTTTCTGGTCACGCTGCCATACAGAATCGAGAAGACGATTCGGCGCTGAAAGTAGCCTATCACTCGTTCCAAGCATCAGCCGGCATGTTCACCTACATTAATGAGAATTTCCTGCACGCCCCTTCTTTCGACCTAAGCCGAGAGACTGTCAAAACGTTGATTCATATTATGCTTGCTCAGGCACAGGAGATCTTCTTGGAGAAACAGATCAAGGACCAGAAGAAATCGGGCTTGCTGGCTAAGCTGGCATCCCAGTCTGGGTATCTCTATGGCCAGGCTATTGAGGGCGTGCAGGAGAATGTCACAAAGGCCATATTTGAGAAAGTCTGGTTGACAATGGTTCAGGTATGCCGGAAACTTTTTGCTCGTCTAGCTATGGATGATGCGAAAGCATTGATTTTCTATACACAATGGGGCTAACGTGAGACTGAAAACAATGTAGATCAAAGCCAATCTCCTCAACTCCATGGCCCAGTACTATCAGGCAATGAATGATGATGAGGCTGGACAACATGGTGTGGCGCTGTCACGACTTCAGGTCGCAGACAACCTTGCCAAGGAAGCCGACAGATTAGCGAGAAATTTCCCCAGCACCGTGCCATCCAATGCCAATCTTGGCGCTGACTGCAGCACGCATCTCCAAGAACTAACGAAGCGACAGTGCTCCACCGTTCAGGAGCGACTACGAGAAGCCATCAAGGACAACGACTACATCTACCACCAGACAATCCCCGCAGAAGCTAGTCTACCCCAGATCGCCAAGCTACCAGCTGCAAAGCCCATCCCCGTAAGCGAGCTCTACGCCGGCCAGGATATCCAGCGCATCACCGGACCCGATCTGTTCTCCAAGATTGTGCCCATGGCAGTTACAGAGTCTGCCAGCTTGTACGACGAAGAGAAGGCTAAGCTAGTGAGAGCCGAGACGGAAAAGGTAGACACTGCAAACGGAGAAATGGCAGCGAGCTTGGATTATCTGCGACTTCCTGGGGCATTGCAAGTGTTAAAGGGCGGGTTTGATCAGGATATTCTCCCCGACGAAGACTTCCGGCAGTGGTGTGAAGATGTTGCCAATCACGAGAATCCAGTAAGCATCTTTGACTTTCTGCGGAGTGAGAAGGAATCCATTGTGTCTACTTTGGATAAGAGCTCCAAACAGCTGGACATGGAGGAAAGTGTGTGCGAAAAGATGCGATCCAAATACGAGAACGAGTGGAGCCAACAACCTAGCGCTCGCCTTACAACGACCCTACGGGGCGATATTCGCAACTACCGAGAGGCTCTAGAGGAAGCTAGCAGGAGTGACGGCCAGCTGGCGACGAAGCTGCGCCAGAACGAAGCGTGGTTTGATGAGATGCGAAACGCTGTCGCCAACGGGCAGGTCGACCAGCTCTTCTCCAAAGCGGTCTCACAAGCTAAGGCTAGAGGGAGCAACGCTGTCAGCCCATCTGGAAACGAACCAAACCTACTCGATGCGGACTTTGATGAAACTGGGCCGACGGTCGTGGAGCAAATAGCAAGGGTTGAGGAAATTCTTAAGAAGCTCAATTTGATTAAGAGAGAGAGGAACCAAGTTCTCAAGGACTTGAAGGACAAGGTGAGAGCTTCATCTATAGTTTTATGGGAATGGTATAGCTATGAAGAAACGCACTAACAAAAGGAAATACTAGATCCACAACGACGACATCTCACAAGTCCTCATCCTTAACAAAAAGACAATAGCGAACTATGAGCAGCAACTTTTCCAGCAGGAACTGGAAAAGTTCCGGCCTCACCAGAATCGCTTACTACAGGCAAATCACAAACAGTCTGCCCTGATGAAGGAACTCACTGCTACCTTTAACACTTTGTTGCAAGACAAGCGCGTGCGAGCCGAACAGAGCAAGTACGAGTCTATCCAGCGTCAACGGTTATCAGCCATTGGCAAATATAAGCGCGCCTATCAGGAGTTCTTGGATCTGGAAGCGGGCTTGCAGAGCGCCAAAAACTGGTACTCAGAGATGAGGCAGACGGTGGAAAGCCTTGAGAAGAATGTGGATACATTTGTGAACAACAGGAGGTCAGAGGGCGCACAGTTACTCAACCAAATCGAACAGGAGCGATCATCCAGCAAAAGTCAGCAAGCAGAGCTAGAACGCGAGCGCCTACGCGGACTCATGGAGCGTATGTCAGTTGAACCTGCGCAGACGTCGCAGGCGGTGCCGGCAGTACCAGCGAGGCCGCCTTCACAAAGACCAACGCCTGCGCCCCTGATGCAGCAGCAAGGCCAGGCTACTCAATACGCCCAGCGAAGCAATAGCAACAGTTATCAGGGGCAGTTCCAGCTACCAACATCTCCACCACCTAATCAGCAAAGCTTTCCGGGCTACACCAGCCCCCCTCCTCCTCAAAGTACGTTTTCGCAGCCCGTATACAATCCAAGCACATACGGCAGAAACCCTGGGCCGACTTCACCTCCTCCCAACCAAACATCTTTCAATTTGAATGTCATGAGAGGCCCTCAATCACCTCCCCCAACACAGACATCCTTTGGACAGCACCAGACCTATGGGACGTATGGCGCGTTACCTACACAGCCTCAACAGCAGCAATCGCAACCGCAACAGCAGCAACAGCTCCCCCAGGTGGGATATGTCCCTCCTGGTTTTGTTCCGCCACCGCCACCTCCAGGCCCACCTCCATTGGGCCCTCAACAAACCATTCACTTCGGACAGCAAGACTATGATCATGTATCTGGACATCCTCAGAGCGCACAGCCCCGGTCAGCTCAACAGCAACAGGTACATGATCCATGGGCTGGATTGAATGCATGGAAATAATAGGGCGACTGTGATGCTGCTGTGATTAGTGGCAGGAGAAGTTGGCAAGTATGAGAGGGTACGGAGACAAAGCAGCCAGTTGGGTGAAAATAATACCAGTTTCGAACAATCAGAGAAGAGGAAATGACTGTGTAGGTGATAATGTAGTTGATATGCTTCAAGAATATTCAGGATGGAAGTTTAAAGTTCCTAGAGGGAACTGTCAAGCTGCAGGTAATGGTCGTGAAAATGAGCTGAGAATCGTGGGGACATGACAAGAAGAGGTGGACATGGAGATAGACAATGCTTACATTGAAGGCGTTAGCAATATCTATTTCTCTCCCCCTTACTTGTGTTTTCCTTTTCCAAATGTAGAGAATGTTGCGAGAAGTTCTGAGCGGCGAAGTGTTCTACTATCGCCTCTGTTACCTATCGATTCCTGGTGGTATGAGTGGTGTACAATACAGAATGATGTTTTTCATGGGCTGAATAATTAAGACACGGTTAGCCGCCATATGCCGAGCAAAAGGGGAAATAAACAGCACAGCCGTCGTGCTTGAATCGTAAAAAAGCACCGAATAGCACCAACAACATGGAATCTGCGGAGCACCCGAGTTCGGGTCTTGTGCGTACCCCGCAGAGGCTTCTGGGCGGGCCGGCAAGATGGAGAAATTGGAGGTCCCTAATTCGGCCGCTAGAAGAGGGTGCTGAGTCGTATTTTAGCGATCATCGGGGCGCCTGGAGGCAGGGGCGTAGTCCTTCTTTTTGGGGGTTTTTTGGAGAAGGCAAGTTAGGTGGACGGTGGCCTTGAGTAGCGCTGCTGCTTTGGATCTTTGATAAAGATGCTGATATACCAATCTGGTGAGCCTCTGGATATTTGAATTATCTACATGTATTTAAATTCTTACGGGCAGGGCATTGATTCGTATATATCCGTCGGGTGGATGGACACCGAGAGCAGGATATGGCGGTACCTGCTGGGAACGAAACAGTGGATTTTCCAGCACAGAAGCCGCTATTCGCTAGTCGAGCCGCCTGGGTTAAATATTAGCCGACGGCCAATGATGTTGCCCCCAAATCCGGCGTAATGGCGACCGATTTGCACTGGCAGGCACGGCGGTATATAGTCCAGTGACGACAAGCGACAGGCGACGCGCGACGACTTCTCTTCTTCCGCTCCCATCTTTGGTCGTTGATACAGACAGCAGATTATTCATTTTCTGTGACAGGTACCCTTTTTTTTTTTTTTTTTTTGGTTAAACATAGCGCAGCTTGGCAATTGTTGCAATCGACGCATCCGCCTGTGCTTATTGCTTGGGCATCCGCCGATAAGACCGCCGGCTATTGAAACGTCATCAACACTCGTCAGACGGAGAGTCTTGGGAAAGCGGATACAAGGGAGAAGATGGTGCTCACAGGCAGCGATGTCGCAAAGCACGCGGACGAAAAGTCATGCTGGGTGATTATTCATGTGAGCATCGCGTGTCATCTCTTCTCATTGAACTGGGCTTGACTGACTGACTCTCACTAGGGCAAAGCATATGATGTGACGGAATTCTTGCCAGGTATGATCGTGATGGGAATAGGCGCGGTTTAGCCATTCAACGGACAATGCTGATTGTGACTTGGTGAAATAGAGCACCCTGGTGGTGAAGAAATCATTCTCAAATATGCCGTATGCGCGAGCCCCCTCTCATCCCATCTCGCCTCATTCAATAATAGATAACCTTGCTAACATGTTAATCACCCTAACTCCAGGGCAAGGATGCTACAGAAGAATTCGACCCGATTCATCCTCGGGACACGCTGGACAAGTATCTCGAAAAGTCCAAGCATCTCGGCCCCGTGGACATGTCCACCGTTGCCCAGGAGGTCAAGAAGGAGGATCCCGAAGAGGCTGAGCGGCAGCAGAGGATAGCGGAGATGCCGTCACTGGCACAATGCTTCAACTTACACGACTTTGAGGCCATTGCGCGGAGAACCATGAAGAAGGCTGCGTGGGGATATTATTCCAGCGCGGCTGACGATGAGATTGTGAGTTTGCTGTACAATCCTAACGTGGGATATTTCTCTGACGGATTCTTCTCTTAATCAGACCATGCGTGAGAACCATAGTGCCTACCATAGAATCTGGTTCCGTCCGCAAATCCTCGTCGATGTCTCAACCATCGACCTCTCCACCACCATGCTCGGCACCAAAGTCGACGCCCCCTTCTACATCACCGCCACTGCTCTCGGCAAGCTCGGCCATCCGGAAGGCGAAGTTGTTCTCACCCGCGCAGCACACAAACACAACGTCGTCCAAATGATCCCTACACTGGCTTCATGTTCTTTCGATGAGCTGGTTGATGCGAGGCAGGGCAACCAGGTTCAGTGGCTGCAGCTGTACGTCAACAAGGACCGCTCAATCACCAAGAAGATCGTCCAGGAGGCCGAGAGGCGCGGCTGCAAGGGCCTCTTCATCACAGTCGACGCACCGCAACTCGGCCGTCGTGAGAAGGATATGCGTTTAAAATTCACCGACACCGGAAGCAACGTGCAAAAGGGCCAAAAGACGGACACCAGCCAAGGAGCAGCCCGCGCCATTTCCACTTTCATCGACCCGTCGCTCAGCTGGGCCGACATCCCCTGGTTCCAGAGCATCACCAAGATGCCCATCATCCTCAAGGGCGTACAGCGCGTAGAGGACGTCCTACGCGCCGCCGAAGCCGGCGTCCAGGGCGTGGTGCTGTCCAACCACGGCGGCCGCCAGCTCGACTTTGCGCGCTCCGGCATCGAGATCCTTGCCGAGACGATGCCCGTCCTGCGCCAGCATGGCCTGGACAAGAAGATTGACGTCTTCGTCGACGGCGGCGTGCGCCGCGGCACGGACATCCTGAAGGCGCTGTGCCTCGGCGCAAAGGGCGTGGGCATCGGCCGGCCGTTCCTCTACGCCATGAGCACGTACGGCCAGGCGGGCGTGGAGCGCGTCATGCAGCTGCTCAAAGACGAGATGGAGATGAACATGCGGCTGATTGGCGCAGCGAAGATTGAGGATCTGCACCCTGGGCTGCTGGATACGCGGAGTTTGTTTGTGCATTCGAATTCGACGCCGGTGGATTCGCTGTCGTTGACGACGTATGATCCATTGATTGTCCCGGCACAGAGACTTAAAGCGAAGCTATGATAAATGTTAATGTAAGAAGAAAGAGAGATGGATGGATAGATGTATGTATGATATATAATGAGCAATATATATGTATGTATGTATATACATGTATGTATGTATGTATTTCATAATGTGAATTTTTACTTCATTGACTCCACCAAATATCTACAATGGTGCTTTTCATGTGTGCTTCATTATTAAAACATCCAGTATTTCTACAAATCCATTCCCCATCACATCTCACTCCCAGAGCCCCCTAAAATACGCCTTTCCACCCAGGAAAGCTTCACTCACAGCCCATTCAAAAACTCCCGCAGCATCATCGGTTTCCTCACTGCATTATTCAACCCTTCATGGAACGTCACCCATACCTTCTCTTGGGTCGCTGCCTTCTTCTCTCTCGCACTGCCCGTCACCTCCGCCAGCGGCTGCGCCTGAATGATGCGCCCGAAGAAGTCCTTCTTCACCACCAAACCGTCTTCTACAACCGCCATGTCGTCGTCCTTGTGGCTCTGCGACGGCTGAGTAAGCGGCTGATGCTGGTCACTCTCGCCGACGGCACGTCCGGCTCGGAAGCGTGCCTGGCGAGCGACTGTCTCGCGGATGGCCAGTGTGCGATGGAGCTCTTGATCGAGGACCTGGCGAACAGCGAAGCGCGTTGGGGGCTGCGACGTAAGAAGAGATGCTGTTTCAAATGTCGAGAGGGCATCGATATCACTATACGGTGTTGAATCGTTTTAGTTAGCCGTTTCTGTTTTCTGTGACTTTCATATAGGGAAAATAATGACAACTTACGGGTCCATACGGTACACAAACTGTGGCCCCCGGTTAGATACCGCATCAGCCTCAATCTTACCCTTTTGCAGGGCAATGCCAACTTCCGCGAGCACCTCTGATGCGCGCTTCACCATGGCTCGCTCGCTTTCCTTGCGTACACTAGCCGTGGTGCCCTGGCTGCCGCCCACGACGACAGGCTTCACGTCGGGTGCCAGCATGCGGGCAAGGTAAGGCAAGAACTCCGTAGCCACGTCCTCTGCGCTGCGGAACAGACGCATCAAGGTTGGGCTGAGCTGGCTTTGAAGAGACTGCAGCTGGGCACGAGTTTGCTTCTCGGCTTCAAAGGCCTGGTAGTCGGCGCGCGGACCAGAGAAGGGTATTGAAGGGCCAGCTTCTTCTTCTCCTAGAACCCCGGATCGTTGGCCGTTGGCCGACCCCATGTTATTGGCGTAATGCCTCTTGGGGGATGCAAATAAGTGGTGGCAAGCTAGGATGGGTTGAGCCAAGTAAGGAGAAAGCTCCCACTCCTGGCTGGCGAACAGCCTAGACTGACAGGCGTCGTGAAAGTACAGCCAGTCGTACGCTTGGTTGGGTTTCGTGAGATAGGAATCGTCGTTGAATTCGCGGTTTGGATACTCTGAGAATACTTCTGTCACCACATGGCTGATTTCGCCACTGGCATCAATCATTTGTCGGAGACACTCCATTGCGTATTTCTTTTGGTGCTCTCCAAAACCAAGTTCTGTCTTTGGCTGTTCGTGCTCCGTCTTGGATCTGGATAAGTTGAGAGCCTGCTTGGGAAACCCGCCTCCCTCCTGGAAAAGGCGAGTGATGATGTCTTTCACACTGCCTCGTCCAAGGCCTCGAGCCCCAGCCGCACCGTTGGCGAGCTCTTGGAGGATATTTCGCTCGATCCACTCTCTGGTGAGGCGCTGGGTGGCATTTGAACTGGATACCTTGAACTGAGAAGCTACCCATTCGCCAATAACCATGATCCCTCGAAGATCACCCTGCACGGTGCTTTCTTGTCCTCGCTTAGCATCGATACCGTTAGCCATGCCCCATGCTGTCTCACACAGCTTGCGAGCTGCGTCTTTGTCGCAGGGAATGCCTTCTTTCTCAAATACCGTCTTCAAACGACCCACCACCGTGTCCAGTGTCGGCCGGCCGACGTGGATAATCTCAGCTAGGTTTGACTGTCTCAACGGCCTCAGAGAGGGGTGATACACATCATTGCATATAAGAATCAAGGGTCGCATTAGGCGGAAATCATCGCCTTTTTTCTTTTTGCCTTCGTAAGACTTTGAAACTCCTGAAGCATTCTTTTGGTCGATCAGCACCAGGTCAATCAGCGCCTTAATAAAGCCGCCTTCTCCTGAAGCTCCAGATCCTGTCACCACACCATCGACCTCATCCACCACCACACACGCAGGCTTGGCAACCTTCTGCGGTCCGTTTAGAGATTTCTGGTTGCCAACGTTTTTGACGCTCTCCGTCCCGAGACTGGTTCTGATTCGATTCTTCACAACATCACGACTACGGTCATCACTGGCGTTGACCTCAATCACCTCATAGCCCGCTTGCTTGGCGCAGACGTGGGCCAGCGTCGTTTTGCCCAACCCAGGCGGTCCTGTCAACATCAAAATCTTTCGATGAGGTTTCTCTTCTTCTAGCTGCGAATTGGGTCCATTGCGTCTTTGAATTTTCGGTTTCGCTTTGGTCGCGCCTGGAAAGACCAATGGATCCCACTTCTTGAGCCAACGCAAGACAAGTCTGTTTGTGGAATCGTCTCCGCACAGATCCATAAAGTTTCTCGCTCGGTATTTTTCAGTCCATAGCATAGTCTTCTTGGGCTTTCTTTCTGATATTGATGCAGCCTCCATACGTCGAACAGCTTGGTTGGTATCTGGAGATGGTGGGTTGTTCCGCCTCTCAGCCATTTCATTTGTGGCAGCGTTGATGAGGTTGTGTATATCTACGCCATAGTAGTCTCGTTTCGCCCGTCCTTCTTTGGTCTTCGATCTGGCCGCTACCATAGACTCGTAGGATTGCGCGGCCACTTCTTTTCGCTGTTTAATCGTAATTTCGCGCCCCCCGCACGTCTTTAACTTGTAAGTGGTCTTTGAGCGGGCTCCAAAGATAGGTGTTGTGAGTAGTGAATCTGACTGGGTCCAGAAGGGCGCCGTTGGTAGTAGAGTAGCTTGAGAATCGTCTGTTGGTGTTAACTCAGCTACCGGGCGGTCGGTCACTGAGTTTCCATCGCGGGAAATGCTGTCACTGGCATCTTGATTCGTATCTCGAACAGTAAATATAGGACTCTGTGGTCTATTGTCGGGTTGTTCTTGAATTTTGCGTCTCTTGGAAGGAGATCTTGAGCCAGCTCGAGGCGCAATTTCTACATCTGATTCGGAATCAGAGTCAACAAACGGTCCAGCAACTCGGGGCTTTTGTGTCGGATATTGAATATCATGGGGTTTGGCGCGCTTAGGTGGAGGAGTAGGAGGGTCGCTTGGAAAGGTAATTGGGGAGGATGCAGAGAGCATTTTGGTTGATCTGCGTGTCCGATGGCACAAACAGCACTTGATTTACACAAAAAGAGACGAGACAAATATAAAAAATGTCACTGGCCGAGCTCAAGGCTGATGGCTTTGGCCAGCTCAGAAAACTCACGACGCGTCTCAATAAGGGAAGTGGGCTGAGACGCGTTGAGTGGCCCCACTATCGGTGGGCGCTCGGTGAGTCGGTCGGGAAGCGCCACACCGCGCGGCAGAATGTCGGCTGGATGGCACCACCAGAAAAAATGACACTCACATATTGAGCTCTAAACAACGGCCCTCAGTGATCTCGTCAAGCTGCAATTGTCGCCGGTCGGCTCGCCAAGATGAGAAAGCCGTACCGTTTCTACAGTTTAAGTCGCCCTGTAAGTTCAACCCTATTTTGGCACTTGCGATGGCATTTCCGCAGCAACCCGCGGCGCAAGAATTGCACTGGTCATGATGGCGGGGATCCTGGTTACTGATCTTTGGCAACTCTATAGAAATTGCGACAATCATGGAACAAGTATAACTTGTATAACCTGTATCGCCAGACTGGACGAGAACCCCAAATCAAAGGCACGCCCACCTTCTTCCAGCAAAAATGGGCGGCGAAGGCGAAAACTCGATCATATCACGGAGAGCATATCCCCGAAAAGAAATGGGTTCGGCTCTTCTCCCGCCGACTTCTCTCTGCCGTGGACATGCCGCCGGAGTATCTGGCAGCACACGATGGCTCTGAACAGGCTGCCGGCCGTGGTTCCGGTTTGACTACGACCACGGTCTCGGCCGAAACCTTTTCCAAAGTCCCAAAGCTCAGCACTCAAGAGCGTTCAAGGAAGAGGGCCGTCTTTGGAGATGTGAACAAGCTTTTGTCGGATCAATTCAACAACATGACTCCCTATATGCAGATGACGTTTGCGCCTTTGGAGAGGAGATTGGATACCGCAGTATTCCGAGCTCTGTTCGCTAGCAGTGTCCGACAGGCACGCCAATTCGTCATTCACGGAGCCGTGACGGTCAATGGGAAAAAGGTTTGTTCCAGCTTTATTTTACAGCCTATATACTTGACGAGCGTGTACGCCTTACTAACAATTCCGCAGATGGTCCATCCTTCTTACCAATTGAATCCCGGCGACTTGTTTCAAGTAGATCCAGAGAAAGTTATGTACGGAACAGGCGTTCAAAAAGCACAGCAAGGAAACTCGCGTCTTCGCGAGAATCTCGAGGCTAGACAAAAGAAGGCGGAGCAAGCATACCAGAACGCTGTGAAGAAGACAAGCGGCGCCACTGCTGCCGCCGAAGGAGAGGCGGAAGGCGAGAAGGGTGAATCTGAGGCTGCCGCCGCCGAGGGCGAAGCTGCTGAGGGCGAAGCCGCTGCGAGCGAAGAAGTTGGATCGCTGACTCCGGAAGCCCAATGGCAGCTGAACAACAGAGCATTGAAATTTCTGCTAAAGGATGTCAAGAAGATCTTGAAAAATAACCCCAAAGACCTTACTGCCAAGGAGAAGAAGCAGCTTCGCCTATTCCGAGCTGATGCCAAGCGCTTCCTCTCACAGCCTGAGAAGAGCGAGGGCAATATTACCGAGCTCATTGAGGAACTGCAGCAGCAGATGAAGAGCCATGAGCTGATGCGCGAGAGCTTCGAGAAGCTCTCTCTGAAAGAGAATCAGAGCCAAGGACAGCCCGAGGCCGAGGCCGAGGCTGGATCTGAGAGCGCCAACGCCGTCGCAAAAGAGGGCGAAGAGCAATCAGAGCTCAGCAGAGAACGACAGGTTGAGAAGGGCCTGGAGGGCCTATCAGATGAGCAGAAGGCCAAGGCCAAGCGAATAATGGGCGACGCTCAGCTATCTCGAGAGGAAATGAGGAAGCTGGCCCGTCTGCTTCAATACGATGAAGAAAACCCCATTGATGATTCCAAGCCCTATGCTACCCCATGGCGGCCCCGCCCTTTCATGTCAGCGTTTGCTTTCATCCCTCGATACCTCGAAGTCAACCCCAACATCTGTGCTGCCGTCTACCTGCGACACCCAGTTGCACGAAAGGGTATGGCTGAAGTGCCAACGCCTTTCAGCTACTTGACAAGTCAACTGACTCACAACTGGTACCTTGAGCGTGGCTAAGACAGAGGGGGGAGCATTTAGAGAGAAGCAGCTGGTGAGGTTGGTGTATATATCATGATGTACAACTTCTACGAAGAAGGAAAAGGGAAACGGCGTCAAAAAAAAATTAGAAGAAAACAAGAGAAAAGGAGAAAGTCTATGTAGGCTATGTATGATGATGAAGCCGGGGCTGGAACTTGCTCCAGGCCTCGGTATGTAATAGTATATATAAAATAACTACTATATGCTTGAATCGATGTAGAGTATAACTGTGATATTTCTGGTAGTTGTGCTATTTCTTGGGGGGAAAGAGGGCTACAGGATGACATCTTTTACCGCAGCATCACGCAAGTTGCCAAATGGCTCTCAACAGATTGGAAGAGTTGCCAATGGCAGCGCACTAATGGGCTATGTCGGTTTAGACAAACAGCGGAGACAGCTTGCCAAGCAAAGACTCTTGGCTTGGTTATAACCCTCCACGCAGAGCTGGATGTACTGGATAACGCAGAACTGGATATACCGGATAACGCAGAACTGGATATACCGGATATATAGGGCTACCTACTATCCGATCTAGAGGCACGTATGATGCGGAGTGTATGAACAAATTGGGCAACGTAGTGGAAATAAGCTTCCTTACAAATTCAAGACACTCACTTTACTCTAACTTTGTTTTTTTCCTCCAACATGTTTCGGTCTTTGAGAGATGGATTTGTAATGTCTTTGGTTAGTAAGCCCTCCAGCGTAGAACTAGCAGTATCTAGTGGAATGGAGCAGCAATAGTCTTTCAGAGCCTGTAAGTACTGCCTAGGTATAGGATTAGCATAGACAGCTGATGGGATCCATAAGGCGCCTCATCCATTTGGCCGCTGTAATTCGCGAATGCACAAGCCTAGTTACGTAGTCTTCTAGAATATGGCTCATCACATGCACTGGTCTCTTGGCGTTGCAAGGCGTCTCGACCTCGACCCAGCAATTGACTAGCTTTAACCGTGCTTTTGTGAGCGAGAGACGAAAGATCAGGCCGTCTTGGCTAATCCCAATAGGGCACCAAACCAGAGCTCAATGCAGTCAGGCGCTCAGACATGCTCGCCTGGGTCGCTCGCTTCGGCTACTCGTCCTTAGCCTGGAGCGGTCGACGGCTGTTAATTCTCCGCGGCAAATATGGGGGAAGGCAACGTGCAGGATGGGATGCTTGGTCGTGATCGTGGCCTGTTTGTGTTTTCGATGCGTCTTGTGTCGGCGTTCTATTTTTGTTGTTTGGCGGGGGCAACGTGCAGACTAGAATACACGGACAGATGGATGGATTGTCGACACTAACAAGCGATATTACTCATGCAGCCACTTTGTCTCGTCGTCGTACAAGCAAGTACTATAGCTACAGCAGCAACGACAAACCCACAACCAACAGACACACAGACAGATGGTAGCTACTTCCTACCTAGTAGTAGTAGTAGTAGTAGTAGTAGTAGTTGAATTCGTACGTACCAGAAATAAAGGTTGTAGGCAGACAAAATGCTCGCAGTGCATGCAATTCCAGCCCCTTCAATGGCCGTCGTCGCCTCTGCCGCTGGTTCGGTCTTTGAGCCGTGCATTCAGCCGCCGTCTGGTTGGTGATCAGCCGCATATGAGTGGCGCCGCCGTTCTGGGTCAGACGCCGTTGCACGAAAACCCCAAGGCCAGGGATTCTTTTCTCATTGCGGCAACTCCCAGCGGCCGCAGTTCCGGGTCCAACGGCACTCGCCGTTCGTGCGCCGTCGTCCGGGGGCTGAGAAAAAAACATGCAGTCTAGACGGGTGATTGACCCGGCCAAGCACCCAATCGCAGCGGTCGGATTTGCCCTGCGAAGGCTCAAACAGCGCAAGGCGTAGGGCTCTCCAGGGCATGTGGCCACCAAAGACCCCTCTGGGCTGGGGCCGCCGTGCTTGATTCGATTCGTTGCCGGTACCTACATGCTTTAAGGCGGCAATCCCTGCAACTCTTATTTATCCTCCCTCACTTCGCACCTCTCGCCTGCCGCCGCCGTTTTGTTTCTTTTATGTTATTTTTACATGCACATGCCGAGATCCTTGCCTGGCCGCGCGATTTTTGCCATTGGACCCCTTTAGTCCTCGAGGACGACGCCAATTCTCTGCTCGGCAGCCTCGCCGTTGCCAGACTTTATACCGTATACTGCAGGCTCTTGGCCGGGTGGCTGGAGCCATCCCCGCATTCGCATTTTGCTGCTTGCAGCTTTCTTCCACCTCTGGTCTCCGAGTGCGCCGAGCTCAGCAGACTTGCTCCAGCATCGATCACAGCCTGCCGGGCGCAGAATGACAAATCACTAGAGGCCATTGGCTGGTCCCCTTGCCAGGAGCTGAGACGTCAGGCGCCGCGATACCTTCAGCAGAGAGCTCCGTCCAGGAACTCGCCTCCGAAACGGCCTGCCGTAACCCTGCAAACCGACCTCAGAGCTCGATGTGACATCGCGTGCCGACACATCAGATGCTAGTGCTCGATTTGGCCATTCTGTCCTGCATAATTCGCACATCTCACCCCGTATCTCGCTGCGCTGCAGCTCTCCTGCTCTAAGCACTCTATCTATCTATCTGTCTACCCGTCTATATCTATCTACCTAGCTATCTACCCGTCTATCTGCTGCATCCATCAGGCCACCATGGACGGGAGCGATCCGCCTGTCGCCTCATCTTCAGCCCGCTCAACGCCTGCGTCCCAGCCAAAGAAAAAGGCCCGTCGAGGCACCGATTCGGCCAGCCAGAAGCGAAGATGCATCAGCACGGCCTGCGTTGCTTGTCGCCGGCGCAAGTCCAAGTGCGACGGCGCGCTGCCAAGCTGTGCGGCCTGTGCCAGCGTCTACGGCACTGAGTGCATCTACAACCCGAATTCCGACCATCGCCGCAAGGGAGTGTATCGAGAAAAGATTGACAGCATGAAGGCCCAGAACTCGACGCTGCAAATCATTGTCGAGGCAATCTTGAACGCCAGCGACGACGAGGTGCCCGAAGTTGTGAACAAGATCCGGACCTGCGACAACCTCGACACCGTGGCCCAGGAGCTCTTGGCGATGAGTGCTGAAGTCAAAGAAGAAGGGTTCGACGGTCAGCCTGACCAAGGCGCCATGTCATTCTTGCCCGTGCAAGGGGAAAGGGAACTCGCAGAGAAAATGGGCGAGCTGCGCCTGGAAAATGGCTCAGTGCGCTTCATTGGCGGCACATCTCATCTCATCTATCTGGGCGACCCTCACCACGACGACCTCACATACGACTCGCCCTCAGATCCGGGCATATTCAACGAGAACCCCATCACATCCTGGACCCGCGTCACCACCGACCCACGCCTCATCATGCACCTTATGAACATGTACTTCAGCTATCATTATCCCTACTTCACCACGCTCTCGCGGAAGCTCTTTTGGCGCGATTTCATGAGAGGAAAAGCAGGGCTTCAGCCAGTCACGGCATATTGTTCCTCGCTGCTAGTCAACGCAATGCTGGCCCTTGGCTGCCACTTCACCGATATCACAGGCGCTTTTGGCATACCCGGGGATAGCAGAACAAAAGGTGACCATTTCTTCGCCGAGGCTAAGCGACTAATCATTGAGAATGACGAGTACGAGAAGCCCCGGCTCGTGACCGTACAAGCTCTGGCTCTCATGTCCGTGAGAGAGGCGGGATGCGCAAGAGAGGCAAAGGGCTGGGTATATAGCGGCATGAGCTTTAGGATGGCTCTCGACATTGGTCTCAACCTTGAGGTGGAGGGTTTGGATAGAGAGCACATGACGGAGGAGGAGATAGACGCCCGGCGCATCACCTTTTGGGGCTGTTTCGTGTTCGACAAAACTTGGTCCAACTATCTGGGCCGCCTGCCGCAACTCCCGAGAAACTCCTTCACTGTTTCCAAAATCGACGTCTTCCCCGACGAAGACGCTGCTCTATGGTCCCCATTCTCCGACAAGGGATTCGACGAATCTCTCGCTCAGCCATCCAGAACGCGAGCCGTCGCGCTCCATTTATCAAAGCTGTGTGAAATCAGCAACGACATACTCGTCTTCTTCTACCATCCAAGCCATATCAAGAGGGCTAGCAGCAAGTCTCTCGAACTCAAGAAGCTTGGCGAGCTCCATCAGCGACTCGAAGAATGGCGGAAGAATCTGCCCAAAGAATTCGAGCCAAAGGAAGGCTTGCTGCCAAACGTAATATTGATGCTGTAAGTGTGCCATGTTGATCCCAACACCATACTGGGAAAAAAAAAAAAAAAAACATAGATATACTAACACTGTTATCTCTTTTTTTTAAATAGCGCATTCTTCCACCTCCAATATATCCATCTATTTAGGCCATTCCTGAAATATTCGCCATCTGCATCTCCTCTACCATCCCACATATCTCCAAGGCGGATCTGCACTGCAAATGCGGGTGCTATTTCCAAATTAATGAGATTATACAAGAAATCATGGAATCTCCGACAAATTTGCAATATTGCAGTCTACATGATTCACAGCGCGTGTACGATCCACCTGCTCAACCTCCCGGAAAAGACTGCCAAGAGAGATCTCACTCATGGTCTTCGACACCTGGAAGAAATTGCGGAAGACTGGCTCTGTGCCAGGCGGACGCTGAGCATTCTCAGTGTCCTGGCTAGGAAATGGAAGTGCGAGTTGCCAGAGGACGCAGAGATGATCCTCAAACGGACGGATGAACGATTTGAATATTACAGCACATCCGAAGTTCCATCTCCTGGGTCGAGCAACGTAGCACCTATATCATCGCCAAGTGCCTCTGAAGAAGGGACAGCTGCTGCCGCCAGGATCGAGTATGGACAGGTTAGGCACCAAAACTCAGAGCCTATGGCGCAACCTGCACTACAGACGTCTATTGAGGAGCGCATGTCGATGGACTCACCACTAGCTATGACTAATGGCAACCCTCTCTCCGGCCAGCAAGTCATGGCCATGGATCCTGCGCAAATAGACTTCCAAGACATATTAAGCTCATGGCCGCAACAACTAAATATGCCCATGAACTCACAGTCCCCGGACCTATCATCCACCTCCCAGAGCCACCTATCATCGAATATGAGCCACAACCCAAGCCAAAACCTAAATATTGATAGTCGCGAGTGGCTACTGAACGATTCGGCACGGCTGCACCAAAGCTTTGGGAGCTGGAACATTAGACCGCAGCAGCGGCAGCGGCAGTCCCGAGGGCCTCCAACGACGAACGCCATGTTTATGTTTGGCACCGGTCAGGGAGATGGCGCTGCGGTTGACACACCCGATTTAAGCGCTTTTGATTCACTTACTGAGTCTTTGACGACGATTAATACCTGGCTGCCGCCGGGACTGGAGTAATGAGAGGATATCTTTTTTTTTTTTTTTTTTGTTCATTTGCTATTTTTTCTACCTGTGAAAAAAAAACATGGCTACGTATATATATCTATCTGTATGTTAATTGCCTTTTATTTTTTTCCTCTCTTTGAGCGAAGGAGTGAGGAAAAAGCAAGGAAGTAAGGAGTCAAATGTGTGTACGATTTATGGGCAGCACGGCATGGATCGGATATTATCATGAATGAGGGAGGGTTTTTGCCTTGTTTCGATTTGTTTCGATTTGTTTCGAGGAACAGGGTAGCGATGTTTAAAAAAAAAAAAAAAAAAAAAAAAAAGAATAATTATTACTCGTCATCGTAAGTCACAGGATACCCTATTTTCGTTTTTGTTGTAGCGGCCAACCATTGGCGAGCCAAGCTTATGTATGTAACGTTTTATGTGTGTAGCCGCCGAGAAAGTAATACTATAATTTAATAGTCTCTCACTCCTTTCCTGTATGTTTGCCTCTTCTTCCTACTATTTTAGGAATGTAGTTCATGAGTACATATAGTTATTTGATGTGGTCTCTAAAAATGGGGCGCAGAGATGTTTATTGCAGAAGTGGGCTGGTAACAATCAGTCCCCTTGAGCACGTTATGTCCCTGGCAAGTAGCGACCAGCGTCAGTCAAAGTCGGATATACTACTAGCATGGAATGGCAGACCGAATGCCCGATATATGGGGTTCCTACGAGGAGTGGCTACACGCTATCTACGCAATCTGATGATTTACCTTTGATGACCCGATTTGTCTTCCCCCTTCTGTCGATTACACGTCGATTACACGTCCCCAGAAGAAACAGGGGTCATACATACCTCGCGAGAGAAAGAGGGAAGAAGAGAGGAAAATCGATCTTGGGGTGCCCACTCCTTTTCCTCTGTGGACTAGGCGCCCTCCTCTTTTCCCATCTTCGTTTTCACAAGGCCCTATGACTTCCCAAAGGGCGCCAAGCGAAAAGAGAGAGGGATGAGGACATGTGTTTCTCGACGGGTGTCCGGATCTTCTCCCACCGTCGACGGCCTTACTCTCCCCATCCCCTCTTTTATGCTCTAATTTTTTTTCGATCTAGACGCCGATGGGAGGGTCGATTGGGGTAGATTTTTTTCGGCGCTTCACCCCGTCGTACTGCTAGTGGAAAGGAGGAGGTGCTGGGGGAGACTGGACGAGAGCGGGCCATTCCGAAAGCCATCTTGCACACGTGAACAGGCAGGGTAGAAAGAATGGCTGGGCTCCATACCGCATGTGCAGTAGATACAAGTATGTATGTATGTACATGGCATGGGAGCAACAGGCTGGTAGATCGTCATCATTCCCCCCCAAACCGAAGGAAGCCTTGTTTCCTACAGAGCATGTAGGAGAAGTCATCGCGACAGAGCATTAGGAGAGGCACTAATAATATCAGGATGCTGGGGAAAGCCCTTGGTAACAAAAAAAAAAAAAAAGACACGCGGGATACGTGCCGGGATAAAGGGGTTAAAATGAAGAGGACTGAGAGTGACGTACCACATAAACAACAGCAAGGGAAAAAAAGCGGCAGGCTAGTACTAAAAGCTGCTGGCCGTGTCTTCCATCATATAAATTAGAGGAAATGAGAATCACACACTCCAACAAGGGCGGTCGCTGAGGCCTCGAAACAAACGAAGCAAAAGATCCAGGCATAGGCAGAGCTAGTATTAGTATTGCCATGCCTTGCGAGAAAGCGGAGCTTCGAGGCCCTGGGCGCGGCACTAGTCTTGGGGCCAAGCAAAGTCCCGTGCGGATGATGAAGGTAAGAAGGAGAAACGGATGCTCCCATGACATCTCATATTCTGGGCAGCCGAAGTGCGGGATGAGGGTCCACCAGAAGAAGCAGAAAGCAATCTTGGAGCTAAAGAGTGAAATAGTATACCGCACGCTTGAGCTGCAGCAGACATTGGTCTTTGATGAGACTCGCCAGCGTGAGATTATGGGTCCCCCTTGCTGGATATGGTAACGATAAGACGCTGCTCGCTAGACAGGGGAACCACCACGCGCCCCAGTCGGCCGCAGGACATCTTGTCGATGAATGGCATCGGCCCCTCAGAAGCGCAAGTCATGAGCACTTGACCTGCCTTTGCCTGCCCCAGCATGCACGCACAAGCGAAAAGTACGGGGTAGACGGGAACGGGAGATTGAGATTCAGGTCTATCGCCTCACTCTCTTTTTTCTCGCCAATCCCTCAAGTCAATCCCTCAATTGCTAGTGTAAAACTTGTAGGATGTCCGTCTGCGTTCGCGCCACGCGGGCCGTCCACCCCTTTGCTGGAGGCAGGACGGCAGGCAGGAAAGGTTGAACAAACTATTGGAGAGAGTACATGATCAGCATTCTTTCATCTATTTCGTGGCAAGATTTCCTGTGTCATGCGGATAGTACCGGCATTGGCGGCGACGGACGAGGGGATGGGGGCAGTGCGAGAAGGAGATTTCCCTTTTTCCTTTTGATGAACAGACAGACCATCATACACGTACCCTCGATATCCAATTGAACAGCCCAGCAGCCGGAGAAGGAGGTGAAAGAACCAATGGACCTGCTCACGATATTGCGTAGCCAAGTTCCAAGTACTTTGTAGATTCAGCTCCGAAGGGAATTGGAGGTTTGTCTCTGGCAGAAGGTGCACAAGCTCTACGGAGTACTATGTCGGAAAACAAGTTTAATAATGTCATCTCCTGATTTTTCAAGTCGAGGAGAATGAGGGTTGCCTTTCCCCCTCGTTTGTAAACCGGAGTTTTCTGATTCCTGTGAATTTAACCTTTTGCCATTGCCGAGCAAGTCTAGAACACGTCAACCTTGAAGAATCGGTCCGCCGTCGACCGATCTCCTCTCTTACGAGCGAACGGGCATTCCTTTGAGTTGCAATTCATGTCCATGTCAACAGTCAGACCATGCCCGCTCGAGCTGTCTTGGGGAACCCGGACGGTCGATCCAGCTTTTTCCCCCGCGGTGGCGTCGCAGACCAAGAAGCGGCTCCTGTCAATGGGCTGAACGGCAAATTGTCATGATAGATCGTGGTCGTCACAGTCGTACATCGGCGTTTTTATTTCACGCGTCATCAGCTTTTCCAACATCGGACGATGTTCTCCCGCTCACATTCAGCTGCAACGACGAGGCTTGGGAGGACATGAACCGGGTTTTGAGTATTTGGCGGGGAAACGGGGAAATGGGGAAATGGGGGAAAACCTGGAGAAGCGATATACTCCGGAGTGACAGCTTGACAGATGGTGGAATCCCCCAGATCTTGCCCTTGACAAGGTTGCTGAGCAGCGTTACATTGTGCGCAAGTAATGGGATGCTAATATGTAGTAGTATAGGGTGCTCAGCCGTTGTAGCAAGGTTCACAATTGGAGCCGCTCGACTCCAGGCTCAATTCATTAGGCAACGGATCAATAGCTGGTCTATGGGTTGCAGTGACGCCTCTCGTGAGCGTTGGCGCCTCTGTCAGTGGCTGCAAAACTCCGGGGTTCGGCCCGAGTACCGTTGGGGCCACATGCAGGGTGCGACGCTCTTGGAGCTTGAAAACAGGACCCTTGCCAGGGCCGCTGCCTTTCTATGCACTTGGGCTTCGGCGCTATTGTTGTAGGAGGAGGTGCAGCCGATGGCCGGCCCGTTTCGTGCCAAGCAGAAGAATTGCCATGCCTTTCGGTACAATGTACAAGAAGCCCGGCCTCAAAGTCTAAGTGTAATCACACATGGAGTACGGCTCGGAGCGAGGGCGGTAAGCGTACTAGCATGCGCATATCGGGCTTGGTCCACCAATAGGGCCCGCGTCGACATCACCCTCCGCCAATCTTAACTCCCCGTGCTCATTTGCGTAGTGCCTGTCATTGATGTGGTAGCGGTAATCGACCGGTATTCGCGCGGGTTCAAGGGGGAAACCTGATCGCGCTTATGTTAGTACGACGAGGTGCCGAGAGGCTTCTTTATAGTCTAGAATAATCATCATTGATAGACGTAAATGTCAACGCCTTAACTTTAGTTCTTTATACCTGCCGGATGGTACAAGGTACTTCGTACCCGGGCAGATATAGTATATCAATCGTGCCAGGCCTGTGTCCAAGTGTTTGCCTTTGTCCTGCAGCCAATTCCGAATTCTCTCAAGCCGGAGTGATCGGTATGCCTCATCGGACTATTAGGCATAGGAGATTGAAGCCATCAATGCTAAACTAGTTGAATAGCCTGGTTAGCGCTTTTGAATGTTGCACCTCCTACTGCGTTTGGGAGTTCGCGTGTTCAAGCGCAAATACCTACTCAGGCCTACCTACTTCATGCGTACAAGTCTCCGTCTACTAGCATCACCCAAGCTTTTTCTCGCCGGAGTTGCAATGCAGGTGTATTGCCGTGTCTCATCTGCCCATGTCTGTGGGATGCTTGAGCCAGATCCCGAGGTATGGTGGTGTACAGCCGCCGTGGAGTTGGAGAGTGGAGTGTTTGTAGGAGTTATTGCGAGCTCCGGTTCGAGCTTAGCCCATCTGCCGCTTTCATGTGCCTTTTGTCATTATGCCGTTTCGATCTAGCTCTTTGTGGCAAAAAGCCATCTATTAGTGAGTGGGCGGGTGGATGATGCTAATATGGTTTTTTTTTTGGTGTGAATTGGATGCGAGCAGCGACAAGAGAGGGTCCGTTATAAACGGAATCATTTCCTTGATTCTCGAACTCCGTCATACATAGGTAGGCATCTGGATTACATAATGTGCAGCACTGCTGCGTGTCAACCCGGCGCAATACAGTACGAAGTGAACAAGAGATGCTTTTCGTTCTTGAGGGACTGAAGTCTGTCGAAATATCATTGCAGTGCACGTGACCACACTGTGATACTCCAAGCACCGAGCCTCGTAACCATCTACCCAGGAATCGCCCAACTGGGCAGCCACCTGCCCGCACACACATTAGCAGATCTACAGCCTTATATCGAGCACGAGGAGAATGTCTCCTCTCTGCTTGCATCACCACTTTGCTCGCGTGTGGTTCATCGCCACATTAATTCCAATGCTCAGAAACACCTCAATCAGTGATCAAGTTCACATCACGTCATTGCTACCGGGTTGCAAGTGAAGGTGGTTCGACTCCCAAAAAATCTCCAGTCCATCAAACGCACACACTGCGGTTCACTCCGAGAGGCCTTGCCCACATGAGTCCAGGCTATATGGAGCCTTAGCTCTCGCTGCTCATTATACCCACAGTGAAACATACTCAATTTCACCATCTACCAATGCTAATGCGTTGAGCTTAAAGCAGTCAGAGAGCTGAAACCCCCTTATCGCTATGCACTAAAAGCCTCGGTCGCAGCCAGCGAATGAACCAGCAAAGCAGCAAGACTTTTGACATCTGCTCGAAACCTTGGGGACACTTTGTCGACCAAAGCGCCGTCGATCCGCAGATCTCCTTAGATGCCGCCCTTTAACCTTCTGAAATGGGAGCTTCTTCCGGGCGCTAGGTGAAGGAACTTTGTCCACCAAAAAGTCTGTGCGTAGCATAACACGGCCAAAGTCATCTTGGCTGAAGGCATAGGAACAACAGAAGGCAGTTATTCGTCATCATCAAGTTGAGGTGAATCATTTCATCAACTTCCCAGGAGTCTTTATCATGTGAATCAACAGCACCTGCCCCGGAAGAAATTCCGATCTTCAGCCAATAGTCGATACACCTACCACTTTCGTCACAAGCGCCATCCAAAGATAGCCCAGGGGCTTTTGTTATCTATCCGTTGATCTTTTGAGTTTTTGAAGTTAAATACCTATATAGGGCTGACCATCATTACTGTTTGTCTGGGACAGTCTGCTCATTAAACAGAAGAGGTTTTAAATAGACGGAAAGGGAGAGAGCAATCGGGAAACAAGGGGAGAACCAAGCACCGCGCAAACTGCAGCTATTCCTCAAGTCTCACGCTTCAAGATGTACTCATACAACGCCGTTTCTGCCTTGGCTGCATTCGTCTCTGTTGCCGCCGCAGCTTCCAAGACGTGTCCTAGCGATTCTCCACTCTCTTGCCACAACACTACCGCCGTTGAAGATACATGCTGCTTCATTCCATCTGGTCAGCTGCTCCAGACTCAATTCTGGGATACCAATCCCCCAACGGGCCCATCCGGTAAGCGAATTCCTGTAGCCTAGCAGGATGCGACTCATTATGACTTTCCAAATGGGGGATGATGACTTAACGATGCCTCTAGATTCTTGGACCGTCCACGGACTGTGGCCAGACAACTGTGATGGGTCGTTTCCTCAGACATGCGATGATAGTCGAGCATACACCAATATTACCGATATTTTGACTTCCATGAATGCCAGTAGCACTCTTGACTTTATGCAGACCTACTGGAAAGACTATAAAGGCAATGATGAATCTTTCTGGGAGCACGAATGGGGCAAGCATGGCACTTGTATTACTACCCTGGATCCCAGCTGCTATGAAGATTATGTCCCCACCCAGGAAGCCGTTGATTTCTTCTCCAGGACGGTTTCGCTGTTTAAGACGCTGCCGACCTACCAATGGCTTGCTGATGCCGGCATTACTCCTGATGGTTCCAAGTCCTATTCACTGGACGACATCCAGTCCGCCCTCTCTCAACAACACGGCGCCGATGTGACCCTGGGCTGCGAGGGCAAGAGTCTCAACCAAGTCTGGTATCACTTCAACGTCAAGGGTTCTCTGCAAGACGGTCAGTTTATTGCAGCAGCACCTGACGGTGCCAAAAGCACTTGTCCTGATTCTGTCTACTACGACCCCAAGGACGGAGGCGACAGCAACAACCGTATTAATTAATCCCCGCTGAGATGGTTACACGGACTATATGAGGCCTGGACTAATACAGGGAATACAAGCATTAGGCCAAGGCGGACGGGGAAACACAGAGCAGTAAAATATACCTGGAGTAGCATGCGAAGCACTATAAAGGAGGTAGAGTGTGGGGATTGGCGGGCGGCTCGGAGGGTTAGGGGAAGGGAGAAGGGGGGGGGGTTTGTTTTGTCCATGCATGTAGGTATATTTGCGATTCGTCATGTATACTACATCACCATCTTGTGACTTGCCGGTAGTGGCGATGGCATCTTTCGGCGATTTGAAGTCTAGAAATAATCCGTTCTGGCATCCCCAGCTTTTCTGCTTGTTAAATTGCGACTTGGGTGCCGGTGCCGAATCGGCGCACAAGCTATGTATTGCTCTAGCAGCTGGAGCTAGCAGGCTGCAAACACGCTGAATCGAGTGCTACCTACTAGTACAGGTAGTAGTATATCCTGTTGTTACGCTATGTTGGCGCACTCCGGTACACTCCGGTACATCGAGCAACAGCAACAATCAAAAGGCGCCACAGAAGGGCAAGTGGGCCAGCAATAAACATGAAAGCGCGATGCCTTGGTGCTTCCTCACTTGCCAAGCCAAAAGAATTTTTCCTGTCCAAAGCGGCGGCGGTCAGGCACTAAAGCGAGCCCAATCACGGGCTAGCAAGGCGAATTAGAGCAGCTGTCTGCCGTGAGATATGCCATCTGGTCTAACCGCAGAGCAGAGAACAGCGGCAGGTGCGACCACGCTGGCACTTCCCGTGTGCGTTCCTGTTCCAAGATGCTTGCTCTTTCTCCGCGCATCGCACGCGCCTGCACGGCTTCAGGGTTGAGTCTGACCTGCGTGCCGACTTGCTTGCTTCGTACCTCGTATTCGTCCTGTTGACTGGCCCAAGCATGTGCCAATTTGGTTTTTTTTTCTCCATCTCTTTTACCAATCCAGCTCCCTCGCATCTCTCTCTCCCTCTCTCTGCTTTCCTTTTATATACAGTAGATGCCTCCCCAGTCCTCTGGCGCATCGCCACTACACTGCAGCAGTGCGATCAGACATGCAGTCAGATGAGGGGATGCCGAATTTTTTTTTTTTTTGCTCGCTTAGCCCAACGGAGACCATTTCCGAGCACCGACTCCCGCTCTCTTTCTCCCCTGGTCCGATTGTCATTTCCTGGCACGCCCTGTTCTTCGTTCATCTGGTTGGGGCAGCCCAAACCGTGGCGCCACTTGGATTGACCCCATACTCGCCGCATGGCCCCCCTGCACCATTTCCAGAAGTGTCTAGAGTGGCTTGACTCATTGGGAAAGGCCTCCGACTTGCCCATCTTGCTGAGCTCAGGTCCGAGGGCGCGGCTCATGGATGGTTGGAGCAGCAGCCACTGCCCACAAAGAGGCTGGCCTTGGTCTGGCACCAGCGTCAGGTCCAGGCCGCCTAGCAGTAAATGGCCGCCAGGATGCCGCCAAAGGTCTGCCGGACGCTCGAACTTGTACACGGCCGGCGACTAGCCAACCCCGCATAATCGTTCGCTGCTGAAACCGGCCCTTACCACCGGCAATAAGTTGTCGATACGCGTGGCGGCGTGTGGAAGAGCCAGCTAATGCATGTACCTGGGAGGACTCTGACAGGCACCCTGCGAGTTGCCCGACGAATTAGCATCGGAAAATACGACGGAGGGACGCGGCTCTCTCTCCACGAAACGGTATGTGTCGATTCGCCGACTGCAGAAACTGGGGACAAAATGTTCCGTTCTTCATCTCGATGTTGGTCGCGCTGCGAAACAAACGTGGATTGGTAGCTTTCTCTGCATGGATCGATTGCCGCTCCATGGCCTTTCCCTGTCGCCCTCTCCCCAATCGGTTCTGCTGTCGCCACAGCCGCGTCTTTGCAAAAACGGCCACCTCGTCGTGATAACGCTCTCTGCTGCTGCTGCTGCTGCCGCCGCTATCACCGCTGTCACCGCTGCCTCAACCCCCCCTACTCGATCGTTGATGTGGCGTGTCCGGGAACCATGGAGGAGAGGAGCTCGAACTGCTGAGGCGGAAACACCTTCTGGCAGCAATGTGATGATGCTACTAGTATCTCCGAAATTCCCTTAGCTATACAATAGCAAATCGCCCTAAGGACGCGCGCCAATTGGAAATGCATCACGCACCCCAGCGTCTCCACTTACAAGTCCACCTCCACAAGCTGCTCCATCGCCATCCCATTCTCCATCCATCCATTGACCATCACTTGGCCACCCTCTCTCCGCCTCCACACCATCGACGGCTTGCCATGCCTGCCCACCCTGGCGAGGTCTCCTCCGGGGCCCTCACAAGGCTTGTCTTATGGAGGCCCTCCGGTGCATGGAGCGAGCAGCATTAAAAATTGAGAAGTGTCCCCATATATTAGTTTGATGATGGAGCTCTCTTGTCGTATTTTTCAACTAACACCCCCCCAGTCTCTGTCACAACTATCACTTCTTACGCTGCATCGTTTTTGTTTGTGTGATTGCTGGTGGTGATTTTTCTTGCCATTACCAGGCGGCAGGCGTGCAGCTTGTGAATGTGCTCACGATAGGCATTTTTTCCTACTGCCTTTTCCCCCCTTCCCCTCTTTATACCTCACAATCACCAAGCGAGAGCTGGCTGCTCCTTTTTTCTTTCTTTTTCTTTTGGCGAGTCATAGTTTCGTCAAGAGGCTGATTGCTGCCGGAATATCTCACTTGTGAAGGATGACGACCTAGGAAGCAGCATTCACCTCATTCTAACTCTCTCCTTTTGCAGAGCCTGGTGCAAATCTTGCTTTGCAGTCATCTGCTCTATTTGACCGCTGCAAACTCCTTCCACGCGTACTTTTCTCAAGAATAAAGCTGCAACAGCAACCACCGCTCACGTTCCAAGCAGCTATCATCTCAGAAACATCTTGGTCCTGCTTTTGACGGTGCCTTGCTGCGTACAACTCGGCCAACCCCCTCTTCCTGCTTGCTGCCTGTTTCTGGGCGCTTCGTCTCCCTGACTCGCTCCAACAATAGCTTGATAAGCCTTAAATTACGTTCACCACATCAAATAAGAAGACGCCATCATGTTGTCGAATCCGCTCCGTCGTTATTCTGCCTATCCCGACATCTCCTCGGCATCCTTTGACGCAAACTATCATGCGTCTCAAGCTCACCTCCATACGATAAACGTAAACACGTTTAACAACAGCCACCCCTATCCTATCCAACATCTCTCGCAACATGCTGAGCTTTCAAATTCGCGTATGCTGAGGTCCAATCCCCCTCAGCCAAAGCAGCAACGGCAGGGCTCACTCGTTGCAGGGAGAAAGAATTCGACGGGGACTGCGGGTCCAATTAGAAGGAGAATCAGTCGAGCTTGTGATCAATGCAACCAGTTGCGTACCAAATGCGACGGCTTGCACCCCTGTGCTCACTGCATCGGTACGGGCTTCTCTTCCATACCCCAAGGCAAGGCCTCTCTATTTGGAGATACGTGCTGACCGTCTGCCAGAATTTGGCCTTAGCTGCGAGTATATCCGAGAGCGGAAGAAGCGAGGCAAGGCATCACGCAAGGACATTGCTGCTCAGCAGGCTGCGGCTGCGGCTGCGTCAGGATCACAGCACCCCGGCCAGGCTCAGGATAACCAAGAGGAGCAGCATCATCGCAAGCTGTCCCGTCAGCAGAGTGAGTCTTCGCGTGGCAGCACTGAACTACCACAAGCTGCCCACGACCCGCCTCATGGCCACATCGAAGGCTCTGTCAGCTCCTTCAGCGACAACGGACTGTCGCAGCACCCTGCAATGGGAGCAATGGAAGGCCTTGAAGAGCATCACGGCCACGTTGGAGTTGACCCTGCCTTGGGTAGGACTCAACTAGAAACGCCATCAGCAATGGGGCTAGGTGCGTATGGCGAAGTACACCCCAACTATGATAGCCCTGGCATCAATGGCCATGTAATGGTCGCCCAACCGTATGGCGCTCCGCCGACTACCATGCCCGGCTACTCTGGCATCAATTATGCTACACAAGCCCAGAGTCCAGCAACCTATAGCAGCGATGGAAACTTCCGTCTCGGCGCCGGCCACATTTCTGAATATCCCCTTGCCAATGGGGGCTCGCCTTCATGGGGCGTTTCTCTGGCTTCTCCTTCTGGCCAGTTTCAGCTTCAGCTTTCGCAGCCTATGTTCAAGCAAAGTGATCTGCGATACCCTGTCCTTGAGCCTTTACTACCTCACCTAGGGAATATCCTCCCTCTTTCATTGGCGTGCGATTTGATTGACATGTACTTCTCCTCTTCATCATCAGCGCAAATGCACCCAATGTCTCCCTACGTTCTGGGATTCGTGTTCCGAAAGCGCGCTTTCCTACATCCTACAAACCCAAGGAGGTGCCAACCCGCGCTGCTTGCGAGCATGCTGTGGGTAGCAGCGCAGACCAGCGAAGCGTCTTTCTTGACAAGCCTGCCCTCTGCGAGAAGCAAGGTCTGCAAGAAACTGCTGGAGCTGACTGTTGGACTTCTCCAGCCTTTGATCCACACCGGCACAAACAGCCCGTCTCCCAAGACCAGCCCTGTGGTTGGCCCGGCAGCCCTAGGTGGCCTTGGTGTTGCCATGCCGGGTTCGATGAACCTGGATTCTTTAGCCGGCGAAACGGGCGCCTTTGGAGCCATTGGAAGCCTCGACGATGTCATCACTTATGTGCATCTCGCAACAGTTATTTCGGCCAGCGAGTACAAGGGAGCCAGTCTCCGGTGGTGGGGTGCAGCATGGTCTCTTGCCAGAGAGCTTAAGCTTGGTCGTGAACTGCCAGTCGGCAACCCACCTGCCAGCCAAGAGGACAGCGAAGCCACCAACGAGGATATGGATGAGCACGACTTGAACAGAAATAACACTCGCTTCGTCACAGAAGAGGAGCGTGAGGAGCGGCGACGAGCGTGGTGGCTGGTTTATATTGTTGACAGGCACTTGGCGCTCTGCTACAATCGCCCCCTGTTTCTCCTTGACAGCGAGTGCAGCGAGCTCTTCCACCCAATGGACGACATCAAGTGGCAAGCGGGTCAGTTCCGAAGCCATGATGGCGGCAACATTGATAGCTCTATGACAGACGAGTTTGGCGATAGCCCTCGTGCTGCTCGCGGAGCCCACTACGAGTGCCGTGGCCGTAGCATCTATGGCTACTTCTTGTCCTTGATGACGATCCTGGGCGAGATTGTCGATGTTCATCATGCCAAGAGCCACCCACGCTTTGGAGTGGGGTTTCGCTCTGCGCGTGATTGGGACGAGCAAGTCGCTGAGATTTCTCGCCACCTAGACATGTACGAAGAAAGTCTAAAGAGGTTCGAGGGTAAGCATCTGCCAATGTCATCAAAGGATAAAGAGCAGCACGAGATTCATGACAGCGGGGCTGCAACAGACATGCAGTCTCCGCTCTCGGTGCGAACAAATGCATCCAGCCGCATGACGGAGAGCGAGATTCAGGCAAGCATCGTGGTGGCCTACAGCACCCACGTCATGCATGTCCTGCACATCCTCCTCGCGGATAAATGGGACCCAATCAACCTTCTTGATGACGATGATCTATGGATTTCATCAGAAGGATTCGTGACAGCAACAAGCCACGCAGTGTCAGCGGCAGAAGCCATCAACCAAATTCTCGAGTTCGACCCCGGCTTGGAATTTATGCCATTCTTCTATGGAGTCTATCTATTGCAAGGATCATTCCTTCTCCTCTTGATCGCCGACAAGTTGCAGGCTGAAGCCTCTCCAAGCGTCATCAAGGCATGTGAGACGATTGTACGAGCACACGAAGCTTGTGTTGTAACCCTCAGCACGGAGTATCAGGTAAGTTGACAACGTTTTGACACATCCATTTGGTTTTTCTGTGAATCGAAGACTAACAGATGAATTAGCGAAACTTTAGCAAAGTTATGCGAAGCGCACTTGCTCTGATTCGAGGTCGAGTACCAGAAGACCTAGCCGAGCAGCAGCAACGACGGCGCGAGCTCCTTGGGTTATACCGATGGACAGGTAATGGAACTGGGCTGGCCCTTTAAGGGGTGGCTAAACCGTATTCCGAGAGTACCGAAAAGGGGGAACAAAGCAAAAGAAAGAGGGAGGTGGCCAAAGATGGCCACCCGTTGCAATATTGCAGCATCACAACAACGACTGAGATCGTTTCTAGTCTATTTTAGTTTCCTGTTTAGGTCTATTGGTTTTCTATGGTATTGGACGAGGCTTGAACTCCTTGGATATTTTCACGGCATGGGTAGGGTGGACATTCTAAGTGAACTAAGGCGTCGGATTTGGTTGGAAAGATTTACGAGCGGCATTATGGTTATGATGGAAAAGATATCCCTGTGATTATGTATAAGGCTGGCAATTTGTCTAGGATGACGCGTGATTTGTATAATGGAATGGATTTGAAAGGTTTCTTCGTTGTAGCATTGAGCTATTTTATCTGAGTATACGAATGCAAATTGTTGTATATCTAGGCAAACGAAGAGCAGCACAACTTTAAAAAGAAGTGACTATAGTACTAGGCGTGAGAGAAAGTTTGTTGACTCTGGTGGAAAATGGCAATGGTAGCAATCAGCGGTCACCGTTTGTCGGTGGCTCACCGTCCTGCTCTTCATCCCATCTCTGCTTGCATGTTTGCTCACTTCGTTTGAGCAATAGAGAGCAGCATCTTACGCAAGCATACACGGCCTAGATTCTTGTAGTCAAATACAATGACCTATCCGATCTTTTAATGCTTGCCGCCACGCGGACGGGGCGGTCAAGAAGAGGGGCGTTGATTCACAGCATAAAGGAAGTAGAGAATATGTCTGCTGGCTGTCTCTTCTATCGAATAAGGAGAATAATGAAAAAGGCGTGTAGGAAACGGAAAAGAGAGCAGAGCATCTGTGATTTCGGTAGGACGGGCTATCTATGAGCTGAGGGGAGGGAGAAAAAAAAAGGGGGTGAGAGAAGGTTTTTTGGTGGAAGTCGCTGGAGAGAGAGAGAAAAGCTGCATTGATTCACAAATTTTGGAAGACTACCAGATTGGCCTCCCTTTTCCCTGAGTTGGGATTTTTTTTTTTTTTTTTTTTTTTTTTTTATTTTTTTTTTTTTATTTTCATTTTCATTTTCATGTTTTGTTTGCGGTTTGCTGGTTTTTAATACATTTTTTGTGTCGATAGACGACTCCATTTTGTTAAACAACAATTCATACGGGAAGGAGTGAGAAAAGGTAAAAGAGCCGAGACTTACACCAGAAGGAAATCGGACACATGTGAAGAGAAAGTGAAGCGTGAAGCGGAAGCCAACAAAAAAAAAAGTGAACAAGAGGTTTGTTGCTTGCCATCTCTTTCTCTCTTGCTCGCCCCCCCCCTTTTCTCCTTTCCTCCTGAAAACGCAAAAATATTGGTGCTGCTTGAGCAATCTTCATCCTTCTTTTTTTTTTTTGCCTGCACTTTATATTATGGGGGCACACTTTGTGTCGTTGTGACCCCTTTATATGCTTGGTCATTTGCTTTACTTTTTTGCGCACTTTGTGCTTAGGCCATTTGTATACATTCAGAAACGCAATAATCCTCCTCTCTTCCTACAGAATTCAAACAAAGCCCGATCTTTTTTTTTTTCTTTCTTCTTTTCCCTCCTCTTGGTGTACTATTTGTTCTCCCTCTTCGCCTTGGTAGGCAGAGAAAACATAAGCAGAGCAAAGAACACACAAGAGCCAATTTGGACAAGAATCTTTACTGTCAAGCTTAAATCTCCCCTTTCCCTTTCCTTTCCCCCATCCCTTCCAACACCATTTTTGTGACTTAACCTTTATTTATCATTCGTTCATTTTGTTTATTCGACTTTGGCGTTTATGGACTTTGCTAACGTGCTTGTCGTTTGACGTCCTCTTTATAGGAGCTCTTTGCCACGAGACTCGTAATAGACACGTCTGCGGGCGCGCGCTTTCTCTTCTTTTTATTCGATAGTCCTTTCAATTGCTTCTTGTCTCGCTCTGAATCTTCAGCACGCACCTCCATTGCAGAAGAGTAGGGGAGGGGACAAGCTTCAGATGTCGTCGATTGGTAAACGCTCGCTGCGTCTGCCTACTTCGCCGGCAGAAGGGCAGGCTAAACGACGTCGAACGGCCGCTTCTGGTGGCTCCAACACTGCCGATTTGACTTCTGCTAACGTTGAGACTCCTTCTCCCTTTTCTCAGGCAGGACCATCTGTGCCGACATCAACCGGGTTTGCCCCCAAGATGCCATATCCCCATCTGCCGCAAATGCCTGCTCAGCAGCCGGTGGCCGTATCGCAGCATTCTCAGGGATTGGGTCGACCACATCCAAGCCGATCTCGGACATCCAGCCCGGCACTCCGCATGGGAAGCTGCTCTCTTGACGAGATGTTGCTGACACTCCCTCACGGCCTTGCCTCTGGCGAGCACATCCGCCGCAAAGACGGGCTACGATACGAAATAGACTTCCAAGAGCGCAATCCGCCGGTCTTGCCGCCGTCTAAAGTCAAGGATCTGCCTCCGAAACCGTTTATCCCGGACTTTCTCAAGTTCCCCGAAGGAATCAGCGACCATGAGCGTCTTGAAATCGAGTCACGCAACAACAAGATTGCGGCAGAGCATCAGAAGGTCGACCGCCAGCGGAACAACCAGGCAGCCAAGAAATCGCGCCAGGCACGCCTCGAAGCGCTGAATAACACGCGGATACTGCTCAATGAGAAGACGGCCGAATGTGCCTGGTTTAGGATGAAGGTGCTTGCGCTGGGCGGGAACACGGCAGACTGGAACAACGTGCCGGCAGGAGTAAAAACACGGCTCGTCAAGGAGATTGATGGCCGGGTCAAGACCATCGAGGTGGAGGTTGCGGATGCGAAGAAGAGAGAGGAGGCGAAGAAGAGGGCCGATCGAAACAAGAGGCGGGCTGAAGTGAAGAATGATGAGGAATCTCAATCTCAGCCGCCGCAATCTTCTCAGCGGCAGGAGTTGAAGAAGACGAGAGACGATGATAATGACGAATATGAATACAGGGAGTGAAGAAGGGGATTTCGATGGGGAATGAGAAGATACCGGAAGGAGGCGTTTGAAAAATCGAATCGACATCGACACTTATATGTTTTGAGGCGGGCTTTTTTTTTTTTTTTCTATTTTCTTTTTTTGGGGGGATTATTAAGGAGAAAACGGTAAAATTTGTTGATTTGATCGTTACTAGACGTTTGGCTCCATGATTCCGAAAGAGAGGAGAGCAAAAGATCTATACTGTGGGCTGACTTTTCTTTTATTTTCTTCTTTTTCATAAGCAAGCATAAAAAACATGTATTGGGGAGAAAAGGGGGCAAGGTGTTTTGACCATTGGACAAGTTGATAGTAACTCTTCCTTTCTTTCTTTCTTTCTTTCTTTCTTTCTTGTTTCTCACCTTTGACACAGCTCACTCAACTCAACTCAGCTCAGCTCAGAGAGATAGTGTTATGAAATGGAATATAGCTTTGTTTCTAGTGAAATGCCTCTCCCCCTTCTACATTCTATATATCTATCCGTTTTGCTCATCCTAGTCATTACCGTTTCCATCGTGGTAGACAGTTGTTCTACTCTATATCTCCAGGCCCGCTCCGGTTCCTCACTTTCGTTTATGGACTAACCTGCCCTTGACCCAAACCCTCTTCGTGTTTCGGTCGTCTCCGTTGTACAGCCATTTGGCCAGTCTATCCCCCCAGCTCTCCCACCCAAACACATCCACAAGTCCATGGCCATGGTCATGCTCTTCCATGCCGCCATCGTCACTCACTTGACTTAAAGATACCAACTGCGCGTCCCATTCCATGCCTACTTCGAACCCCCCAATCTTGTCTTCCAGCCCTACACACCGTGCTCCTCCCCGCGTAGCCAGGTACAGCGCCTCTTCAACCGTCAGCTTGACCCTCTCCCTTTCCTTCTCCTGCTCAACGGCAGCAGCGCCGCCACCTTCGGGGACGTGAATGCCCATGGCCACATGTCTGCTCACCAGCGCGGCCTGTCTCGCGGCATCTAGGATCGAAGGGCTGTACCCGCCGCTCATGTCTGTGCCCAAGCCGACGTCGATGCCCCTGTCCCACATCCAGCGCACTCGTGCCGGCCCGCTGGTCAAGGACGTGTTGCTGCATGGGCAGTGGGACACTTTTGATCCCCTATGGGCGATGAGCTCCGCCTCTTCCTCGGAGATGTGCACCGCGTGTGCCAGGACTGTCTTTGGGGTGAGAAGGCCGTATTTGTCGTAGACGCCTGCGTATGAATCGGCCTCTGGGAACATGCTCTTCACGAGCTGGATTTCGCCGAGGTTCTCTGAGATGTGAGTCTGGATGGGGAGGTTTGTCTCGCGATGAAGCTGTGCCAGTCCGGCCATGGCCTCGCGGGAACACGAAGGGGCGAAGCGGGGCGTCAGGATGGGCGAGACGATGTCGAATCCCGGGTCGATGCTGCGCATGTGGTCAATGGTCTGCTGCGTCGCCCTCAATGTCTCGGCGGCAGAGGCGTCCCGGTAGTAGTCCGGGTTCACGTCCGGGTTGTCCATGCACGCCCTGCCCACAAACGCCCGCTGGCCCATGGACAGGCAGAGGTCGGCGAGGAGGTTGGTTGCCGCGACGTCAATGGTGGCGTAGTAGGTCGCCGTGGTGGTGCCGTGGGAGAGCGTGCGGCGGACGCATCTGGTGTAGACGCGGCGGGCCTTTGAGAGGTCCGCGAGGCTGGACTCGAGGGGGAACGTGTACGTCTCGAGCCAGTCCAGGAGACTTGATTTGCCAAAGATGCCTGCGTTTGCATACTGCGGCGCGTGGATGTGCGTGTCTGTGGCATGTTGTGTTAGTTAGTCCTAAGGATGCCTTGCTTTCCCACCTCAATCTCAATGCCATCGGCTGGAAAATAAAACTAAACTCACCCACAAAGCCGGGAAAGAAAAACTGCCCCTCGGCAGCCACCGTCACATCCACCTCTGCTTCGTCCCAGCCAAGTTGCGTGAGAAGCCGTGCCTGGGCCTCGCTCGCCTCTGCCACGTCCCGTTCAATGGCGGCAATCTTGCCCTGCTCATCCACCGCCACTGCTGCATTGTGCAGGAATTCGAGATGCTGCTGCGTCTTGGAGTGCACAAACGTGCCCAGCAGCAGCAGTTTTCTCTGCGGCGACATGATGCTCTTCCGGTGCGGCAGCCCCTATCCGGCCCTGTTCCCCCTTTTCAAGCGTCTGATTCTCTGCTTTTTCACTTGATATATGCTCTTATATATATGGGTATATATATATATAGCATATATCAGATTAGCAACCTATTCCACAACGTCAGCAAGCCCCAAAAACCTCACGCAACAGACTCGCATGCCTTGAAACGCGCACAATACTGACATTTATTCAAGCAAACAAAGAAATCCAGTCTCGCCGTTGCTTTTCAATCAATCGCTCAAAACCCAGCAGCAAAACAAGCAAAGTTTCTCGCGAGAAGCTGCTCCCTGCCGGGCCATTAAATATTAAATAGAGCTGACACGCCAGCCCCGAGGCCCCAGTATTTCTTGGGTAACCCCCATGCTCGCGAGTTTGGGGTAACAGCAACAGATAACAAAGTAATGCAAGGGACGGGTTGTCAAAAAGCGGCTAAGCTCGGCGGTCGCCGCTGACCGATGAGGCAACGGTTTGCACCGCTTTTTCGTTTCGCGGCTTTTAGTCAGCGCGTGGCGGCGGGCTTTACGGTAAGTTGTGATACACACATACACACATTCATACATAGCACAGAGTACATGTCTTCGGCCCGTTAGTTAATACATAGTTGTCGATACTGGTATTGGTAGAACTAACGATACATTTCGTGGTACTGAGCATCTTGCTATTCGATTTTATGCGAAGAAGTAGACATGGAAAAAAAGGGGGAGGGGGGGAAGAAGGCACAGACATTAAAGGGGAGCAAAAATCCTGCAAGTATTTGCACCCGTAGATAATCACAATGGTTACAGAGATTACACATAAAGGCAAGCTGTATAAAATCGATATTATTGCATTACACATCTATTTTCATGATAAATTCATCAGCAATTAAATGGTTCACAGGCTTCTATTAGCCTTCATCCTGTCCCGTGTCGTCCACCAAGTTAACATTGTTCCCATAATGCGCCTCGTTCATTGGCTCTCATCTCGCCTATCAAAATGTTTGTGTATCACCTTCATTCAGTCACACCCGTTTACGTCTTCATTTCCTCCTTTACGCAGCCAGGCCAGCACCCTCGTGATCGGCGCTGGCACCACTCTCGCTGCTAGTTGTCTCCTCATCCTGAACATACTTCTCCCAGTTGGCCAAGATGGCTCCAATCTTGGGAGAGTTTGTCAGCTTGTACACATCCTCAAAGTACTCCTTGGTGAGCGCAAAGGGCTTGGCAGTCACGTTCGGGATGTACTTGCCCACCAGCTTCGACGGGTCAATAGTGGTCTTGTGGATCTTCTTGAGCAAGAAGGATCGGAAAGGCTTGACACCAGATCGCAAGAAGGTGGAGTGGAAGGGCACATCAATGCCTCGGAGGGGGATAGTGGCAAAGCCACGCTCCAGCTCCAGTGGCAGAGGCTTCTTGAGCGTTGCCTCGGCGCATCCGCGGATAATCTTCTGCAGAGCGCCCTTGGCCTCCTCAATGTTGTTGCGCATCTCCTCAATGTCAATCTTCTGCATCTTGAGGAAGTTGGTTACTCCTCCGAGGGTGTCCAGAGCGCGCAAGTCACCAGCGCAGACGTACTGCATGTTGGCAATGTTGTAGTTGACAATCTCCAGCAGCCAGCCAGTCTCTTCCGCAATCTTGTCAACGACAAACTGAAGGGCCTCTTCGTTGAATGTCTTTGAGATGCGGCTGGGGTTAACGGCGCACATGGAGTAGTTGGATCGACCGCTGGCGTCACGCTCGACGGCTACCTGCATCGTCAGACCACGGTAGAAGACGACAGACACCAGACTCTCAATAGGCATGACCTCTGCCAGGGCTGCCAGGGCAGAGTATTCTCCCAGAGAGTGACCAGCAAAGGTGCTGTCTCGGGGGACGAGTCCCTTCGACTTCATATCCTCGAAGCTGGCCTTTTCCATCAGGGTCAAGGCGGGCTGAGTAAATTGCGTCGCTGACAGCAGACCAGTGGGTGATCTGTAGGTGTAGGAAGTCGTCTTCTCGTCAATGTCCTTGAAGATTCTCTCCGACTTGACCGTGCCATCGGCAGCCACCGTCTCGAAAGTCATGGCCATGTAGTTTTGGCGGATGGCCTTACCCCTGGGGCCACCAAAGTGTACAGTGAGCTCCTTTGGGTTGTTCTTGACAATGTTGGTGATAGAGAAGCCTGTGATTAATCCATTAGCAAACATGTTCTTTCTCAAGTAGATTTCTACATCTAAACTTACCATAGTTGTCGAGCAGGTACTTGTCAGCACGGTCCCAAACCTCCTTGGCCACAGGGCTGCTGCCATAGAGATCCATACCCATGCCTTGCTCCTGTGAACCTTGTCCAGTAAAGACGTAGGCGGTCACAGGCTGCTCAACTTCAGCCTCACCCAGAAGAACCTTCTCCTCCGTCTCGGCATTGCTGGCCTCAAGCTTGATGATCTTGCGACCAGTCACCATACCCACATGCTGCAGCTTGACTTGGATGGAGTCGTTGGGAAGAACCATGCCAACCAGCGAAGCGTGGAAGCTACGGACTCGGCCGATGTTGTTCTCAGCAGCCCATGTCTCGATCAAGCTTCGGACCGCAGCGCTGCTGTACATGCCGTGAGTGATGGTGCCGGGAAGGTTGGCATACTCCGAGAAGACGCGTGACACGTGGATAGGATTGTAATCGCCAGACACGCGGGCATAGGTCTCGTTGGAAGCAGGTGCTCGAAGCTGCAGAGGAGTCCTGCCGCTCAGGGGGATAGCGTTCTCAAAGTTGACCGGCTGGTCTAGCGGGGTGCCGTTACGCTCAAGGTAGTCAATGACGGGGTTACCGTGTGACTCGCCAGCCTCGTAGTCGACACTGGCGACCTGGATGACCTCCTTGGTTGGCAGTTCCAGCAGGACCTGACCACGGGTCTCTACGCTGCTGAAGACGCTGTTGTTCTTGAATCGCACAAGGCTTTGCAGGCGGAATGTCAGCGTCTGGCCAAGCAGATCAATCTCGTTAGGCATCTCGTCGAGAGTGAACCACTCCTTGGATCGCAGCACAGCCACGTCCTTGGTGGTAGCCAGGTGCACCTGAACTGGTGTCTCATCCTTGCGCTGGAAGGTGTTCTCGAAATCCGTGTAGGTACCGCGGTACAGGAATTGAGAGGTAACTTCCATCACGGGCTTGCCATCTCGGCTAATAGTACCGCAAACCTCAACCATCTTGCCGGAGTCCTGGTTGATGACGGCATTGATCTGTGCCGTGGTCGAGACCTCATCGCCCTTCTTGAGGGGCTCAGCGCCAGGAATCATGCGGAAGCCGTTGGAAAGGTGCACCAGCTTCAGCAAGTCACCATCAATGGTGCGAGGGAAGATGGGCTTGGTGATGGCTTTCCATCCAAGCACAATCGCAAAGTCCATCGGCGCATACATGATCTTGCCGGGTCGGTCAACGAAAGCTTCGCCAGTGTTGCCGACGGCATGGACGAAGTCGTTGATGGCTTCAGCAGTGATAGTGGTGCTACCTCCGTCGAACTTGCTCGTGACCATGGCATCGAGGTCCAAGGGATCCTCGCCGAACCATGCCTTCCAGTAAAACTCCTTGATGCGGTCATTGCGACCCTCCATGACTTCGTGGATGGGAGCATATCCAGCATCGGGGCGGTAGAGGAATTTCAAAGGCATGGCAACTGGAGTTCCCAGGGCAGTTGTTTCCTTAATCATGTTGACGAGGATCTCCTTCTCGCCATTCAGCTTGACCTCAATCACATCCACATACTGGTTGTGTCTCGGCTGCTCCTTGACGACAATCGTAGTCTTGGAAGGGTCGTTAGGGTACTGGATCTCGACGTATAGACCATGGACAGGAGCAAAGATGCGGCGGATGGGGTTTGTCTGGAACTTCTGGCCCTGTACAATCACATCTGACATGAGAAGAGCGTGTCTCCAGTTGCGGTTAGGTCCCGCAAGCAGCGACAGCCAGGAGTCGAGAGAAGGCATGACGCTGGCGGGAGATGAAGAGAGACGGTAAGTGTTCTTGTGAGTGTCATAGCTGACGGTGAGGCCTTCGACGTCGAGAGGGATCTCTGCATCGACAAGCTTACCACCGAAGTATTCGGTACCGGGGATTGAAGCTTCATCGTCGTTGTAGAGATCTTTGGTCAAGGATGCAATGTGAGCATTGTGGATGTTGTCCAGAATGTCCTGGATGGGTTCATCAATAACGGTAGAGAACTTGGCGGCGGTAGGGCCCTGAAGAATACAGGTTCGGCCGACATCTTGGCCAATGACAGCGTCAAGGTCTTCCGACTGCCACAGAGAGTCCTTCTTGAAGTAGAACTCAAAGTTCTCGTCAAGAGCAGGAATGAAAGTGACAGGCTTCTGGCCGGGGCGCAAGCACAGGATCAAGAAGTATTGAACATCTTGTGCGTTGATGATCTGGTGCTCAGCTTCGGGATAGCTGGCGAGGATTCGGTCCACAGTGCTGAAAGGCTCGTCGAGGTCGGCATAGCTCTGGAGGAGAGAAGGCTGGCCAGCCTTGGTGGTGAATCGCTCCTCGACTCGATGGATGAAATCACCAGTGAGTCTAGCAAAGGACGCGTCGATCCATCGAGACTGGTGCTTCACATAGAGCAGTTCAACCAGACGTCGGACAACCTCTGCGTAGGTCATGTCCTCAAGGTCTACGGCCTTGCCATCCTTGTTGCAACCGAACCAGACCTTCTGGAAGTCATCATTCAGCTTCTTGATGATGTAGTCTCGGTTCTTCTTGAGCTCGGCAACTCTCTTCTCCTTGGGGATGTTGAAAATCTTCTGGTCCATCTCAGCCCAGAATTTGACACCACGAGTAGCCAGCTTGTGGATTGGCTCGCCCATTTCGGAGCGCACAGTGATGACACCACCGGCAGGGCCCTTGTAGGTCATTTCCCACTGTCCATCATCCAGACCAGGGGCGTCGATAATGGCCTGCTTGGCGTTTTTGCTGGTGTGGGCCTCCTTGGCGACCATCATACGGCTACCAAACAAGCAGCCGTCAAAGGGCATGGGGGGGTATCCGTACTTCTTAGCCCAGTCACCAGTGATGTATGGGTAAGTGTCATCAGCACCACCGAAGCCACTGCCTGCAACCAGGATGATGTTCTCCTGTCTGCGGATGCGACCGTACATCTGAAGAACAGGTTGGTGGAAATCTTCGAAAGAGTGGTGACCACCACCACGGCCACCAGTCCACTGCAGAATGACAGGGAATGTGGGGTTGGCCTTGGCAATGTTGATGACTGCTTGAATGGCCTCAACAGAGCCGGGCTTGAAGGCAATGTGCTTCAATCCCAGAGTCTCAATATACTCTTGGGCGACCTCAATCGAGGGCACACCAGCACCAATGGTCAAACCTTCGATCGGCACACCATCAGCACGGAGTCGGCCAAGCAGGGGGATTTGCCAGCCCATGGCGCGAGGATTGACGTAGATGAGGTTGACAGTGATACCGCGGCCAGCAGGAATGGCCTTTTCGATCTTCTCGAGTGCCGCAGTCATGTTCTTGGCATTGAAGTAGCCACCACCAGCAAGCTCGATGTGGTAACCAGCGTTCATGGTAGCCGCAACAAAATCCCATGGGACCGTCGCAGGGGTCATACCAGCGACCATGATCGGAGGCAAGCCAAGAAGACGGCTCATCTTGGTGTCCACATACTTTCTGCCGCTCGCTGTCTTGATCAAGCGCGGGCCATGTTCCTTGACCCAATCAACGGCAAACTTGACGGCGTTTTCCTCATCTCTATCAAAGAGCTCAGGCTTGTATCCGAGTTCGCCCATGGTACCCTCAACGGCACCAGCAAGAATGACGCGGATACCGGTTCCCTCCTTGTTTCGGCTCGTCAGGGCTCCAAGGCCGGAAATACCGCCTGGGCCAAAGTCAAGAATGTGGGTAGCCTGGGGGAAGACAGTCGCCTTCTCCCAGTTAACAGGATCCCGGGTGATGAGTCGGACCAAAGCCGGCACGATGTTGCCATTGGCTTCATCACGAAGATCCTTGCCAGTGTTGGTGTCGTAAACTGGAATTCCCAGGGCACTGGAGTCAATGCTAATGTCCTTGAGATCCTCATCAATGAGGACTGTGGCGTCTTCCAGGTACTTGCTGTGGAAAGGAGCAGTAATGGGAAGGAATCTGTTAGAAAATCGGACCTTTCGCTCAGTGTGAGGGACTCGGGTCTGATCCAGACCGGTCGGAGCCTTCACCTTGCGGAGCTGAGAGTTCAAACCGTACAGCGAGGTGGGAGGACCAGTGACAACGAGGTTGCGAGGGCTGTTGATGAGAGAAACGCCGATGTGACGGTGAGGAGGGAGGTATTGGTTTGTGACGTCAATGTGTTTCTGAACTTCCTCCTGGGACAGATCACGGATGCTCAACATTGGCGTGGGAAGACCTTCGCCGTGCTCCTGAGACTCTCGAAGCATGGTCGGAGTCATGGATGTAGTGGGGAAGGCCTGCTGGCTTCGCGTACCAATCCAGAACAGGACGGTCAGGATAGAGCCGGTGATTTCGCGCCACGACTCCCAAGAGTCAGCCGCGGCAGTGGCAGCTGCCATGACAATACCTTGGGAGTGACCAGTGGTTCCACTGATTCGCTCTCTGAGCAGACCAGGGTGAATACCCAAGACCTTGCAAGTAACCTCATAGTGTGCCATCTGAACCAGTCCAATCAAAGGGAAACTGACGGGTGCGGTAATCAGATAGTCGACATCTGGAGTGGCCTCTGGCCTGTGAAGCCACGACAAGATGTCCAGCCCCTTGGGGAACATCTTCTCAGCGCTGGGGTGGCTGGAGAGGGTCTGCAGAAGCTCGGCAGCATTTGCAATGAGCTCTCCGACAAAGCTTGAGTAGGTCTTGGAGATCTGGCGAAGCTCATCAAAGTATTCCTCGATGTTACCCTGACCGCCAAAGATGGTGTAAATCTTGGCTGAGTTGTCATCAGCAGCTCTCAGGAGAGCGGACTCGTGAGGCTTGATGGTGCGGTTTGAGACGGCTCGAGCATTGTAGTAGCATCGAATCACCTCGAGTTTCTTCGACTCGATTCCGGGCAAGGTTGCTGCCAGGGCGTGGACCTCATTGCCTTGCAGGAAAGCCCGCTCGAACTCGTTAAGAATGAGCTTGAGGACCTCCTCATAGGAACCCTGCGAATCATCCTCTCCTTCTTCTACGTCGGTGGCAATAAAGCCCAGATATCTGGCAACCAGCTCGGGTATGGATGAGGGCTCGTCATCTTGAGCGAGCTCGTCGGTTGCTGGAGGTAGGTTGGCAACAAACCGATCTTTCAATTCAGAAGCGTGGAAGTGGAGGTTGGTCGGGACGAGAAAGGAGGTTTCGAGAGAGCCGTGAGACAGGGTCAGAGGTCGCAGTGAAGCGCTAGATCGAGGGGTAGAGATGCCCGTTTGAGGGCCAGTCGCAGTACCGTACATGATGGCGGTGTGAGGAGGGTATAATGAAGATTGAGTCTGCGGGGTACTTTGGTCAGTGGGATTCTTTTTTTCTTTTTTTCTCACACTCGGCTTCCCCTCTATGGTGGGTTCGGTGAACGGCATACCTAATGCAATTAAGAAGTACTAAGTCAAAGACAGGATGTCACTCCTATGCCTTTGTCTGTTCTGCTGAAATTGGAGACCAATTCGAAGCGTTTTTTATCTTGAAAGGCGCGCAAAGCCCAGCCCAAACGAAAGCAGAAAATGGATGCCTGAAGAAGCGAAGTCTTACAGATGGTTGGCAAAAAAGAACAGGGCGGGCAAGCTTGGAGACGTGAGAGCAGCAAGGCACAATCACACCAACAAAGCAGGATGAAGATCAAGGAAGAAGAAAAGAAGAAGAGCAGGGCGGCTACTATGAGGAAAAGAGGGAGCCGGACGAGGGGAGGGGGAGGTGAAGCCGAGATTTAGGGTCCAGATGCCGCTCAACGTCCAAGTCGCGGTGGCGCTAATGAAAAATCACAATCGGCTGCCATAGCTAGGATAGCGATGTACAGCGCATGTACATCGGGCCCTACACTGCGATCTCATGGAGGGAGCTTTACTTTTTGCAACACACTCGCCAAAATTTTTAGTTCTGTTGGGGATAAGTCCAGAATTTCCCCTTGCCCCAGAGCTGGACTAGACCCCACCATGGGCAGCGACATGTACCAGTACAAGCGACCCCAATTTTTAGAAGGGATATCGGCGCCTGGAGCGTTGAGCATGCTATCATGCAGAGAGGATCTATCTCGATGCAACGCAACCTCTTGTTTCATGCATGAGTGGCTGGCTGATGACGCGCAAATAACGGGAGGCAGAAGAAGAAGAGAGTAAGAGCCCGGGCTACAGTGAGAGAAATACATGCGAGCGACATGATAAACTATCTTCGTAGTGGAGAGACTGAATGACACGGTTGCTAGACGCCATTCCAGGCGATGCTTTTACCACTGGAGCTGAGGTGGAATTTCTATTCATGGCTATTCAGCTTCAACCGAGAATAAGATATATCGGGCTGCAGTGACCTGCGATGCAAGTCTCCAGTCCTACCATACAGGCAATGACGGTGGCTTCAACTGCCGTTGTCGACAGCCAAGGCCGGTGGGAGATCAGTAAACCAAAAAGATCAGTAAACGGAAAGTAAACAAACCAAGTAAACAAACCAATTTATCGCGGCATCGATCCAAGTATTCTAAGCTCGGGGACATTTCATCACACTTTTGGGGCTTCAACATTTTACAGCTTCCGTTAGTAATCCCAGCCTTCATCCGTCTCCGTTCGGAAATACTGCGTCTTACACGTATCTACGAGCTTTCATGGAATTATTGGCAGCAACGCCTACCCAAGGCAATTATCGGAGGTGGATAGAGTCCGTCGGCCCGCAGGCGGCCATTAGCAATCGTCATATCATGGATGGCAGACGAAACAAGCATAGAACGCAAAATGCAACGGTCAGAAAGCTGGTAAGTACCATCCCGAGTCCACGAGATATGCTTCGCGGTGCCCCTCCAGTTGGGGACGCCTTGCGAGTCTAAAACAGGCAACCAGGCACAGGCCGACACTCAATTGGTCAGCCCTGCCCCTTAAACTTTACCAAAGATACACATTTTGACATGTAGAGTAAAAGATTCCACGTCTGTCATGATGCGCCGAAGACAGGCCAGCGATAGGCGCTGGTTGCTCTGGAGGCTGCCGGTGTGTTCACTATAGCCTACCGGGTACCTCCCTTGTAGCGGTACCAGTACATCGGCGGATTGCCCCCCTTCCCATCCAAACACCACCAACTGCGAGTGGCGGGGTGCAACAAACTTTTTTGGGCCTTATCTTAGCAGCCAAGCCATTCAAGGGACAGCCGGGTCATATCGATAGGGAAAATTGTTATCAGGACCCTGAAACCCGACTCAGCGGCCGGAATTCAACATCCCCAGCTTGCTTCCAATTTCACATAATTGCTGCACGCCATTGCTTGCCTCGCAACAATTGAGCGCTTCCATGCTCACTGGCATGTATGAGATACAGATAGAGTACATACACCATGCGCCCGCCACCGCGAAAAAACCCCGCGGAGGGCTTAGCTGAAAAATATTCTTCTCTCGCCGTAGAAGTGGCTTCATGCTGGACCCGCGCCACGGCACCCAAAGCCGGCTCCAGCGGGTTAAGCCCTACAAGGCCTAGCGCTTCAATGTGGTTGAGGAAGCCAGAGGACGCCAGAGCCACCTGCAGCAAACGCGTGGCGTGAGAGACCCGATGTAACTGCCTTGTACCCAAGTACCGCAGCCGTATTTCCCCCCAATCTTTTTTTCTTCGTCGTCCACTGGCGGTGGGTCGTGGATTCAACAATCGAGGCTCGCTTCCTTCTATCCGTCCAACCATCGAAGGGGGAATTGGAATAGGTTGTGCTTCGCATTGCCCTTGGTCAAATCCAGCTTTTCTCGCACTTCAGTCGGCGGGGAAGTCTCTGAGTCCGCTTCTAATCATAATCATACCCATCCCGCTTTCTTCCCGTCTCACTATCCTCCTTGCTCTTTGCAAAGCCCTTCTCTCCTCCCTGTTGCCCCTCCAAGGTACGGAGAGTCGGTTTAGAACACCAAGCCTTGGTCGACAAGCCCAAGCAACAAAAAATATCATAAACGTCACCCGGGAAGACGTTTGAGAACCGCAATCCACATTACCTGCGGCCTGATTCTCGACTCCGACTAAACCTCCTCCCTCCTTCTAATTAATACGCCCTCACGACGCACCACCGCCACCATGCGTCCTGAAGTTGAGCAAGAGCTCGCTCACACGCTCCTCGTTGAGCTTCTAGCATACCAGTTCGCCTCTCCCGTCAGGTGGATTGAGACTCAGGATGTGTTCCTGGCAGAGAAGACGGCCGAGCGCATCGTCGAAGTCGGCCCCGCAGATACCCTCGGAGTGATGGCCAAGCGCACATTGGCGTCCAAATACGAAGCGTACGACGCGGCCAAGTCTGTTCAGCGACAGATCCTCTGCTACAACAAGGATGCCAAGGAGATTTACTACGATGTTGACCCCGTTGAAGAAGAGCCCGAGCCTGCTGCGGCCAGCTCATCAGATGCCCCCAGCCAGCCTGCTGCGGGCGCTCCCGCGGCTGCAGCTGCGCCGGTTGCTGCTGCTCCGGCTCCCTCCTCAGGGCCTGCAGCTCAGGTTCCTGATCAGCCAGTGCAGGCTGTCGACATCGTACATACCATCGTTGCGCAAAAACTCAAGAAGTCTCTTAGTGATGTGCCGTTGAGCAAGGCCATCAAGGATCTGGTTGGAGGTTAGTCAACCCCTCTTTTACTCCCCATTTTTGTAACACAATGGCAGTCTTTCTCAGTAACCAATTCTAACAACGTATAGGCAAATCTACTCTTCAAAATGAGATTCTTGGTGATCTTGGAAAGGAATTCGGCTCAACGCCTGAGAAGCCTGAAGATACGCCTCTCGACGAGCTCAGCGCTTCCATGCAGGCCACCTTCGACGGCAACCTGGGCAAGCACACACAGTCACTCATCGCCAGATTGATCTCCTCGAAGATGCCTGGCGGCTTCAATATCACAGTAGCAAGAAAATACCTGGAAACAAGATGGGGCCTTGGTTCTGGTAGACAAGACGGAGCACTGCTGCTGGCTTTGACCATGGAGCCTGCTGCTCGTCTAGGAAATGAAGGCGATGCCAAGGGATTCCTTGATGGGGTTGTCCAGAAGTATGCCGCAAACGCCGGTATCAGCCTGACGTCTGCGGCTGCCTCTGGTGGCTCCGAAGGTGGCTCTGGAGGCATGATGATGGATCCCGCTGCCATTGACGCCCTCACCAAGGACCAGCGAGCTCTGTTCAAGCAACAACTGGAGCTCTTTGCCCGATACCTCAAGATTGATCTCAGGTCTGGCGACAAGGCGCATATTGAGTCTCAAAAATCAGAAAAGATCCTGCAGGCCCAGCTCGACCTGTGGACCGCAGAGCACGGCGACTTCTATGCCTCTGGTATTGAGCCCGTCTTCAGCCCATTGAAGGCGAGATCTTACGACTCATCCTGGAACTGGGCTCGTCAAGATGCACTCACTATGTACTATGACATTATTTTTGGTAGACTCAAGACTGTCGACCGTGAAATTGTCAGCCAGTGCATCCGTATCATGAACAAATCTAACCCCAAGCTTCTCGAGTTCATGCAGTATCACATCGATAACTGCCCTACTGAGCGCGGTGAGACCTACCAGCTCGCCAAAGAACTTGGTCAGCAGCTCATTGAGAACTGCAAAGAAGTTTTGGAGCTGTCTCCTGTCTATAAGGACGTTGCTGTCCCCACTGGTCCTCGCACCACCGTGGATGCGCGTGGCAACCTCAACTACGAGGAAGTTCCTCGCGCCAGCTGCAGAAAACTCGAGCACTACGTCCAACAGATGGCCGAGGGTGGAAAGATTTCCGAGTATGGCAACCGCACCAAGGTGCAAAACGACCTGCAGCGTATCTACAAGTTGATTAAGCAGCAGCACAAGATGTCCAAGACTTCTCAGCTCGAAATCAAGAGCTTGTACGGTGATGTTTTGCGCTCTCTGGCCATGAACGAGAGCCAGATCATTCCCAAGGAGAACGGCAAGGGCCGAAAGTCCGGCCTGAAGGGCACCAGCCTGAACAAGGGCAGGGTTGAGACCATCCCATTCCTTCATCTCAAGAGAAAGACCCTGCACGGCTGGGACTACAGCAAGAAGCTCACTGCTGTCTACCTCAACTCTCTTGAGCAGGCTGCCAAGGATGGTGTCACTTTCCAGGACAAGTATGTCTTGATGACTGGTGCTGGTGCCGGATCCATTGGTGCTGAGGTTCTGCAGGGCCTCGTCAGTGGAGGTGCCAAGGTTGTGGTCACTACCAGTCGATTCTCCCGAGAGGTCACTGAGTACTACCAGGCCATGTACACCCGTTTTGGCTCTCGCGGATCTCAGATCGTTGTCGTCCCCTTCAACCAGGGAAGCAAGCAAGACGTCGAGGCCCTCGTTGACTACATCTACGACACTAAGGCGGGTCTTGGCTGGGATCTCGACTACATTGTTCCTTTCGCTGCCATTCCTGAGAATGGCCGACAGATTGATAACATCGACTCCAAGTCGGAGCTGGCCCACCGTATTATGCTGACCAACTTGATCCGCATGCTCGGTTACGTCAAGTCTCAAAAGGCTGAGCGAGGCTTCGAAACTCGTCCCGCTCAAGTCGTCCTTCCCCTGTCTCCTAACCACGGTACCTTTGGTAACGACGGTCTCTACTCCGAGTCTAAGCTCGCTCTCGAGACTCTCTTCAACCGATGGCACTCTGAGGACTGGGGCCACTACCTCACAATTTGCGGTGCTGTTATTGGATGGACTCGCGGTACTGGTCTCATGTCTGGCAACAACATTGTTGCCGAGGGTGTTGAGGCTTTTGGCGTCCGAACATTCTCTCAGCAAGAGATGGCTTTCAACCTCTTGGGTCTGATGTCCGCTACCATTGTCGACCTCTGCCAGTCAGAGCCCGTCTTTGCCGACTTGAACGGTGGCTTGCAATTCATCCCCAACCTGAACGAGGCCATGACCAAGCTTCGCAAGGATATTATGGAGACTAGTGAAATCCGCAGAATCGTTTCTAAGGAGAGCGCTATCGAGAACACTATTGTCAACGGAGCCGACTCCGAGGTCCTTTACAAGAAGAAGACCATCGAGCCCCGTGCCAACATCAAGTTTGACTTCCCTCATCTGCCCGACTGGAAGACCGAGGTCGCTCCTCTTAACGACCAGCTCAAGGGCATGGTCGACCTGGAGAAGGTAGTTGTCGTCACTGGTTTCGCGGAAGTCGGCCCTTGGGGTAACTCTCGAACTCGATGGGAGATGGAGGCCCATGGCGAATTCTCGCTCGAAGGCTGCATTGAAATGGCCTGGATCATGGGTCTCATCAAGAACCACAATGGTCCTCTCAAGGGCAAGCCTTACGCTGGCTGGGTTGATGCTAAGACCGGCGAACCTGTTGATGACAAGGACGTCAAGCAGAAGTACGAGAAGTTCATTCTGGAACACGCCGGTATTCGTTTGATTGAGCCTGAGCTGTTCGATGGATACGACCCCAACAAGAAGCAGCTGCTTCACGAGGTTGTCATTGAAGAGGACCTTGAGCCATTCGAGGCTTCCAAGGAGACTGCCGAAGAGTTCCGACGAGAACATGGTGATAAGGTGGAGATTTTCGAGATCCCCGAGTCTGGAGAGTACACTGTCCGAGTGAAGAAGGGCGCCTCGCTCTGGATCCCCAAGGCTCTGCGCTTCGACAGACTCGTCGCTGGCCAGATTCCAACTGGCTGGGACCCCAAGCGATATGGTATCCCTGACGATATTGTCAGTCAAGTAGATCCTGTCACCCTGTTCCTTCTCGTGTCGGTTGCTGAGGCCCTCCTGTCCTCTGGTATTACCGACCCCTACGAGTTTTACAAGTATGTCCACGTCTCTGAAGTTGGTAACATTGTTGGCTCTGGTATGGGTGGTGCTTCAGCCCTGCGTGGCATGCACAAGGCCAGATTCCTCGACAAGCCCCTTCAGAACGATATCTTGCAGGAATCCTTCATCAACACTATGCCTGCTTGGGTTAATATGTTGCTGCTCTCTTCGTCTGGACCTATCAAGACCCCTGTTGGTGCTTGTGCCACTGCTATTGAGTCTGTTGACATTGGTGTGGAGACCATTTTGGAAGGCAAGGCTCGCATCTGTCTTGTCGGTGGTCTCGACGACTTTGGTGAGGAAGGCTCTTACGAGTTCGCCAACATGAAGGCCACCAGCAACTCATTGGATGAGTTTGCCCATGGCCGTACTCCCGGTGAAATGTCACGTCCTACGACTACTACCCGAAACGGCTTCATGGAGTCTCAGGGATGTGGTGTCCAGGTCATCATGACAGCCAAGCTTGCTCTGGATATGGGAGTCCCTATCCACGGTATCCTTGCTTACACCACCACTGCCTCTGACAAGATCGGACGTTCCGTCCCTGCTCCTGGCAAGGGTGTTCTTACGTCTGCGCGTGAGCACGCTGGCAAGTTCCCCTCGCCACTGCTTGACATCAACTACCGTCGCCGACAGATTGAGCGCCGCAAGAAACAGATTAAGCAGTGGGAAGAGTCTGAGCTGGAGTTCTTGCACGATGAAATCGATGCTATGAAGGCTCAGGGCGGTGCCTTTGACGAGAAGGAGTACGCCCAGGATCGTGTCGCACACATCCAGAGGGAGGCTGAGAGACAAGAAAAGGAGCTCCTCCGAAGCATGGGCAACAACTTCTGGAAGAGCGATCCATCCATCGCTCCCCTCCGTGGTGCTCTTGCAACATGGGGCCTTACCATTGACGACCTAAAGGTTGCCTCTTTCCACGGTACATCTACCGGTGCCAACGACAAGAACGAGTCCTCTGCCGTTTGCCAGCAGCTGCGTCACCTTGGCAGAAGCAAGGGTAACGCCGTCCTGGGTGTCTTCCAGAAGTTCCTTACTGGTCACCCCAAGGGTGCTGCCGGTGCTTGGATGTTGAACGGTGGTCTACAGATTCTGAACACTGGTCTGGTCCCTGGTAACAGAAATGCCGACAACATCGACCCCATCATGGAAGACTACGACCTGATTGTTTACCCTAGCCGTAGCATTCAGACTGATGGCGTCAAGGCTTTCTCCCTCACTTCGTTCGGTTTCGGACAGAAGGGAGCCCAGGCAGTCGGTGTCCACCCCAGATACCTGTTTGCAACTCTCGACGAAAAGACTTACCAGGAGTACTGCGCCAAGGTCGAGGCCCGACAGAAGAAGGCTTACCGTTTCTTCCACAACGGCATGATTAGCAACACTCTGTTCGTCCCCAAGGCTCACGCTCCTTACACTGATGAGCAGCTCAGCGAGGTTCTGATGAACCCTGATGCTCGTGTCACCGAAGACAAGAAGACAAAGGAGCTCAAGTATGCGGAAAATTTCATGAAGGCGTCTGAAAAGGTTGTCCCTGCAGTCACTGTCAAGGAGACACAGCAGGTCATTGAGGCGCTCGCTCACAAGGTTACAAGCAAGAACAGCAATGTGGGTGTAGATGTCGAGGATATCTCTGCCATCAACATTGAGAATGATACTTTCATCGAGCGTAACTTTACTAGCCAGGAGATTGCTTACTGCAAGAGCTCTGCTAGCCCCCAGAGCTCATTCGCTGGCCGATGGAGCGCCAAGGAGGCAGTTTTTAAGTCTCTTGGCGTCGCCAGCAAGGGTGCCGGCGCTGCTCTGAAGGATATTGAGATCCTCAGGGATGATTCTGGCGCGCCTACTGTTACTGTAAGTTGATATCACCCATTAAATATATTAAGCGGAATCATCATATGGAGACAGATTGCTAACATATTTTGAAATAGCTTCATGGCGATGCGGCTGCTGCTGCTAAACAGGCTGGTGTGAAGGAGGTTTCCGTCTCCATCTCTCATGCTGATAAGCAAGCTGTTGCCGTGGCAGTTGCTCACTTCTAAGGGGCACCCATGGAGGATGGCTTGGTTGTGTATCATGTTTAGAATGGGCGATGAATCAGCTTAAAATGAGAATGGCGTTGTTGCAAAGCAGGGGGCTTAATGGCTTGGGATTTCAATGTGTATCATGGGACTGATGACATATGACGTGAAGGACAAATTCACTAGATCTTTTAAAGAACGATTTTTATTAAGATGTTTGAGTTAGATGGCCCTAATAGAAGGCCAATCAAGATTTTTATCTTTTTTTTTATTGATTTTGATGTCGCGTTAATCCTGTATATGCCAATGCATATTGTGATTAATCATGCCAGAGGCAAGTATATGACGCCAAGTCTCTCTAATTCCCTCCAAAGTTGATAGCTTGCCACCAAAGCTTTAATATCCAAAGCTAAAGCAAAAACTTCCAGTGGGTATCGAATGATTTCGTAGATGGACGGTAGCCGCACAGGATAGGTGTCTTTGTCTTGGGAGGAGCTCTCCTCGTCCTAGTCGCCACCAACCCCATTAGTTGGAGAGAGCTCATCCTTATTCTCTCCTATCTTGTCCAAGTGACATCCGTTCATAGTACCATCGTCACGATTGTAGCCTTCTCTTCCCTTGAAACCCCTCCTTCTTCAATATTCTATGCATATCGTCGTGGTCGTTTGTTCATTCATCATCGCCGCACTACACCCCCTTCTTACTGCCCACGTCCCCTTCCGCGACCTCTGCCTCCACGGCCTCGCCCTCGGTCGCCGCCTCCGCGGCCACCGTGACCACCATGATCACCTCTTGACTGGTGGCCGCCGCGACCGCCACGGAAGCCGCTGCCTTGCTGGTTCTTTTGCTGCTCGGTGACTTGGTCGATGATCTCGTCGGGAACACGGAGGTATTTAATCTGGTGCAAACGGCGTTAGTTAAGCTGGCTGGTGTTTTTAGGCAAGTGAGACTGGAGGTTATCGGCGTACGTTATTTCCCTTGACGTAGACTTCTGGGAGGCGCATGAATTTATCCCCTTCCTGTTACTGTTCGTTAGGAGAAGGCGCCTCATTTCATCGTTTGACGGGGGAGGGTGTTTGTGAGCGTACAGGGCTTGTCTGCACGACTTCTTTGAGGGTGAGGTTCATCCATGTATCGCACATGACCAAGTGTCCGTTTAAGGTCTCTCCATTCTTCAGCTCGACCAGCATGGGGTGGCCCTGAGCAGCATTGAGCAATCCGAGGGGAAGCTGTCATGACGCGCGCAACGGTGGTCAGTTTCGGCCGGTCGCAGCAAGAGAAGTGGCCTGAGGGGAGGAAACAGAGCATACCATGGTGGTGGATTGCGCCTCTAATAGGCGCAGCTGAACGGACTTTTATTGCTTTCTTGGTTGTAAGAGTTGCAGTCGCGTCGACGAAGGGGGAAAGCAGCTTGGCCTGGGTTTTTTGGCTGGCGTTGCGAATTGGAGGTTGAGGTGTAGTCAGAAAGCTGCTAGAAGAAACCCCGCCATGTGCATGACCCCGGCTAGCAAAGTACTGCGGCAGGCTATCCACGCCGACTAGGTACTTGCACACCCGGAAAGCTTTCCGCGCCAAAATATCTCTTTCGATATCTCTTTTGATGTCTCAACATTGACCTCACACAGCGTTGCTGGGACGGCCAGGAGAGGGGAGGTTTTAAAGACTGGATTATAAGAAGCGAGTCAAATATGCAGCGCAAATTGCTTAGTGACGGGCTATGGCGCTGTCTATGTCCGTCTTTCGACCAGTTGGTCCTGCGCACAGCCATTCGACAGAGCTTGCCTCGCACACGACCAGCAGTGTCGCAGCCATGTGCCGCCAGATCGGGGCCAATTCACATTAGATTTTATGAAACAACTGCTGGCTTTGTGTCGACAGATCAAACGACAGGGCATGATTCTTCCCGGATAAGTCCTCGGGCAGGCGAAGTGCAACCAGGAGAAGATGGTCGTCCTAAGCCGCGATCTTGGAAGGAAAGGCTTCTTGCCCCCACAGCACCATCAGAGGAGATGCTGAAAGCCAGCACCGTTGAAGAAATTTTTGCGGCCTTGAATTCCCTTCGAGAGACAAGGGATCGGACATCCGCCAACGATCCAGAAATCGACCAGCATCTAAGAATAGTGCAGCTAGTACAGCATCTTTTACAGGTCGAGAACCAACCCATTACGCCTTTTATTTACGAGTGTCTAATGGACGCCATGGCTCATCGACGAGGCTCCGTCGATGGTGTCCGCCGATTGCTTGTCGACATGGCTGAGCAGGGGATAAAGCCAACGGCGGAATTATGCAACAGCGCCCTGAGAGCGCTGATGAATCATCCGGATTACATGTTGCGCCAAGATATTTTAAATATCATGCAGGAGTACTGGTTTACAATTGATACGCCATTGAAGCAGACGGTTATAGTGGGAATGCTCAGAGATGAGCAATACGAGCTGGCGTATGCAAGGTTAACGGAGCTGATTGAGCAAGGGGCCAGAATCGACCCCTGGGTCTACGACATATTCATTCTAGTGTTTGGGAAGCTTAGATTTCTGGATGAAATGTTGCAGCTTTTGTATAGGCGCAAGAACATTGGCGGCAGCACTGATCCAACGGTCATCACCTTGACGTACTACGCATTGGACATGTGCAGCCAGGCATATCACCATGCGGGGACGTTGTTTGGCTGGCTCTCGGTGGTGCAAAATCACCTCGTACAACCCTCAGACGGCATTATAGAAAATGTGCTGGGAACTGCGGCTAGAAATGCAGACGCGCAGTTGGCGACCGAGGCGCTGGATCTGATATCTCAGCGAACAAGGGCTCAATCTCACCACTACGAGGCCGTCGTGGAGGCTTTTATTGGTAGTGGAGACCTCGCAGCGGCGATTCGAACTCTCTGCATTATGAGAGATAGCGGTATACGAATATCACGCGCCAATACCAGACCTATTTACAAAACGCTGATGAGCCGTCCAGAGCTCTTGGAGGGAGCCGAGGAGGTGGTCCGAGAGGCAGCCCGTGCTCGCCCAGTTCACAGAGCGATTGTAGCTGTTGTGATTGATTCAATAGCGCAGATTCACGGCAGCGAAAAAGCTTTACCCTTATACCGAGATCTGCCAACGCTCTGTGGCGCGGAATCGCTCAATGCAACCATGGCACAGGATCTCATCATCTACAGCGCCGAGGAGGCCACCGCTGAACTCCTCACAAAGGAGTACAAGGATCACGTTGCAGAAAACCAAGACCCAATTCGGAACGTTTCGACATACAACCTCTTGATTACGAAGTGTGCAGAAGCAGGTGAGATGGACCTAGCGTTTCGGTTTACGAAACAAGCCATGGCCGCCGGCATCACAAAGAGCCGATCCTCTAGATGGATCAGTGCCTTAGTCGAGCAGGCAATTACGAGAGAAGACAGTCGGATTTGGCCTGTAGTTGATTCACTCCTTAGCTCAGGCGAAGAGGATACGAGGAAGATGGTGCGCAGGATTCTACAACAGAAGCGAATTTCGAAGCTAGCCTCACAGTGGAAGGCAAAAAGCCTACAACCGCAGCGCCCTGCCCTGAACTGATATAGGTTTTAATAATCAAAGATTAGTTGGATGAAGATAGGGGTCTACACAGACGGCCCAAGTTAATGACATTAACAGAAAAACTCGGGCAAACCCTAGTACCACCTACGGGCATTTATAACGTGACAGCAAAAATTTACCGACATAACTTGAGTCTTTGATTTTTCACGGGGATTCATTAGCAAGCACAGCTCATATAATTCCGACCGGAGAAAGGAGAAGCATTTATAAGAAACATTTACGGCAGTGAGAGACTAGATATGCCGGGAACTCACTAGCATCTCCGAAAGCCTCCCGCTGAGTCAAAAACGTGCTCTAGTTCACGGCATACTAGGCTAAGCAGCTTTATATTCGCACCACTCCTGAGCTATACTCTAGCTCTAAATCCACACGGCGCAATTACGACAGTCGCAGCCTTCCAAATAGGCGACGTCGTCGTTGGGGTACTTGTGCCCCGCCGAGAAGGCTGATAGACCGGACGTCGGGTAACAAGAAACGAGCCCGCCAATCCAGAGCCGCTGGCACGTTTGTTTGCCGGGTACGGAGGTATATCGGGCGGAAGCGGTACCAGTACCCTGGACCCAGGACCCAGGATTAGACTCAACAAAGCTACGATGCATGAAGTGCGAAAGACGACCTCACTAGGCAGCGGATGACAAAAGGACGGCCTATAGTCAGTCCGAGTTGAGTCACGAATGACCTAGCGCTGCAACGTCAAGAACGTGGCTTGGCTTCCTTGAGTCTAGAGAATAATAATCAATTGCTTCCATGCTAGCTACTACTCCTTGCGCCAGCTAGCTACAGGATTGCGCACGAACAGGACTGAAGCGCAAAGATATGGCAGTGGCGTTGACAAATTGTGGGCAATGGCTGGGAGCAATTATTAATGAGTCGGTGGCTGCTGACTGGGCTTGACAGCAGCCATCCCGATTGGACAGAAATAAGGGATTGACCGTGCTAGCTGGATCTGATCGAGCCGCCATTGGCTGCACGCGGCAGGATGGAGAGAAACGCTTTAATGTTCTTATTCCACATGCTGGGGATTTGACTTTCGCTGCGCGCGGCGTTTGCTCGCGCCTCGGCGACGCGCAGCCTGCGAGGAGAGGAGAGCGGCGGAAAAGAAGAAAAGAAGGCTTCTTGGATAAGACATGACGCCTGCGTCACGTCCAGCATACTCCTATTCGGGCAAATTAACAGCCTGAGCTTGGACGGCGAAATACGACAATACGACCAACAGAGTTTCAACGGTGCTGTGGAGAGCCGTTTTCGAAGCCTGGCGCTTGTGAACGGAAATAAGACAGCTGAATTTCTGCTGACCTGGAATTAGGGAGCAAACGCCGCCGGGAGGCCCATTTGTAAGTGAGACAAGCAACAATCAATCTCGCGAATCTCAGGCCTAATCTCGACGTAACCCTAGCTGTGCTCCGTTCCAGACCACATACCACGTCATCGTGCATCTCGTCGTGCCCAGCACAATCTGGTTCCCAAAAATCTTTGACGGCACTTGCGGGGCCACACTTGGAGGAGCAGTAAGGCTAAGTGAATCCTTCGAGCCAAGCCTTTTTAGCATGGCCGAGGAGTAATCAGAGGCTAAACAGAAGAAAGCTACAGAGTGTTGATTCCTCAGTCTGCGAAAGACTAAAGAGCAGGCTAAACTGGATAATGCGGGCAGCACATCACTTAGCCCGCCTCATGTTTCGGCAGACGGTCTACTAGCTGATATCTCTGGGGAAAAAAGATCTTTGGTTGGTAAGCCCTTCTTGCTCATCAAAAAAAAAAAAAAAAAAGGAACTTCCTTCTTTGCTAGGGATCAAATTCCTATTCACGTGCTAGTACTCTGCTATCTTCACTTTAGCTGAAGCCGGTAGTTGTTAGTCTCTGCACTCGGCCAATCACCAATCTCTGTGGGCTCCTTAGGATTTTTTTTTTTTTTTTTTTTTATTATTTTATTTTCCTTTTCCCAAACACCTCTGACGCTAGAAGCAGCACCTAATAAGTCCGAAGGCCGCATGGACATAATTCATAGCCTAGTAGCTGCTACTAGCCTCCGTGCACCCTCAAGCCGTGTCCTAAGCAAATTCTGCACGCATTGGGTGCAGCCTCAGCTCTCGATGGATACCCGCAGTCTGAATGAGTACCGGCTTTTACTAAGCTTAATCGCTAAAATCCGCGTTCCAACAGCAGCGAAGGGGAGTGTGTTTGTAACAACATAGGCCCCATCAATCCGGCCGAGACGCTAGTTCGCCTTCAGCGATGCTAGTATGAGTTGCTTTGTAACTCCCACATGCCAGACCAGGGTGTCTTTTTTTATTCTGGTTTCACCCCCAAAAAAAAACAAGGGAAACAGGGGTGGGACATAAGGATTAAAAATAAAAAGCGGATATGTATGTCATATAGGAAAGTGCAAAAGGTCCCGTTTTCACCTGGGCTCTATGGCTGACGGAGCAGGATGGAGCAGATGTGACTTGATGGAAGCTATACGAATCCATCTAGATCTCGCCAGTAGCGTTCGCCAAGGTGTGTGGTTGATTGGATTACCGATCAACAACAGCTAGAGTGGAGCCGTTCACCTTTACTTTGACTCCGAGGTGGGATACATACTGAGCATGGAGTTAAGAGTTGACAGCGAGGGGGGCTATAAGTTGAACCTTGTGGCCCTTTACTCCCGAGGATCTGGAAATTATACGACTATATCACAAACTTTGTTTTCCATTCCGCGGAGTAATAAAGTTGATATTCGATCATAACCCCATTGTTCACTGTCTTGCCTCATATTACACAGGAGGTGAAAGTTCTCAGTGCAAGGCTCATATATACCCACATCAGAATCAGCAACAAGACGCCCTAAACACCGTTGGGTCTTTTCTTTGGGATATATCGACAACTTGAAGAAATACATTACTTCACCAAGTCGACTTATACATTTAGCACCGAAGAGATACATATAAGCCCTCTCGACTCTAGTCATACCCAAGACACTCAAGACACTCAAGCCACCACAGACCATGGCGGACATCATCCGTGACGCCGCCATCGGGCAAGTCATCCGCTGGGTTACTGGCAACCGCTACCTTCAATACCCCGAAGAAAAGGAAGACTTCACATTACCCGAGCCTTGGATTCAGCTGATGAACGGTGTCCCCATCACATCAGCAAACACTTCTACATCAGATGCTTCTACCGCCGCCGAAGAAAAAGAGACGGGCGGCATCCTGCGGACTCCATCCAATGGGTCCAACGGGAGCACTGCCCGAGATCGATCCCCACAACCGTCACGGGCACCGAAGCTGGACGAGGAACAGGGTGCCGAGTCAGGAAGACGGCACTCTTCATCGCAGCAGTCAGTTTCACATGAGCACGCTCAACACTCAGAATGGGGAGACATGACACGCCAGAGACACGATGATGATGTGGAGCACGATCTAGAGAAGGTCAAGAGTCTGCCCATCGTGCCTCAGACAACAAAGGACGGTGCGATCCTCGTCGATTGGTACTACACAGACGATCCTGAAAACCCATACAACTGGTCTAGAAACAAGCGTCTCCTCGTCAACGTTATCATCTGTCTCTACACTTTTGTTGTGTACACAACCTCAGCCATCTACACCACCTCCGAAGGCGGCATCATTGAGCGCTTTGGTGTCAGTGAGATCAAGGCCACTCTCGGCCTGTCCATCTACGTGCTGGGCTATGGCATTGGCCCGCTGATCTTTTCTCCCCTGTCTGAGATCCCCTTGATCGGACGAAACCCCGTGTACATTGCCACCATGTTCCTATTCGTCATCATCTCGATCCCGACAGCCTTTGCGCCCAACTACCCCGGCCTGATGGTTCTGCGTTTCCTGCAGGGCTTCTTTGGATCCCCGTGTTTGGCGTCTGGAGGTGCTTCTCTTGGTGACATGTACAGCCTGATGGCTTTGCCTTTTGCCATGATGTCCTGGGTCGCTGCCGCATACTGTGGACGTAAGTCAACTGATTCCCCCCATTTGACAATCAATTTCACGTAGCTAACTTTCCAATCTCAGCCGCCCTGGGCCCTCTTCTCAGCGGTTTCGCCGTCCCCGTCAAAGGCTGGCGATGGTCCCTCTTCATCTCCATCTGGGCCTCTGCTCCCGTCTTCATTGCCATGTTCCTGCTCCTCCCCGAAACCAGCAGTGCCAACATCCTTCTCCGCCGCGCCCGCCGTCTCCGCAAGCTCACCGGCAACAAGCGCTTCATGTCCCAGAGCGAGATTGACCAGCACAACCTCCGTTACCGAGACATCTTCTGGGACGCTTTGATCAAGCCTCTTGAGATTACTCTGAAGGATCCTGCCGTTTTGTTCGTCCAGGTTTACACTGCCATCATTTACGGCATCTACTATTCATGTAAGTTACAATTTCTTCTCCTCAAACACAGTCTTTTACAATCGCAGAATGACTAAGTCTCATCAAAATAGTCTTCGAGGTCTTCCCCCTCGTCTACCCCGTCTTCTACGGCATGAACCTCGGCCAAGTCGGCCTTGTCTTCCTCTGTATCCTCGTTTCCTGTATCATTGGTATCGCGGTCTACTCCGCCTACCTCTACTTTTGGATGAACCCTCGTATCGAAAAGTACGGCTGGCCTGTCCAGGAAGAGCGTCTCATTCCCGCCCTGCCCGCCTCCGTCGGCCCAACCATTGGCCTCTTCCTCTTCGCCTGGACCGCCCGCGCTTCCATCCACTGGATCGTGCCCACCATCGGCATCACCATCTACGGTGCCACTGTCTTCGTCGTCATGCAGGCCGTCTTCATCTACGTGCCTCTTAGTTACCCGCGGTACGCCGCCAGTCTCTTCGCCGCGAACGACTTCTTCCGCAGTGCTCTTGCCTGCGGTAGTGTCTTGTTCGCGCACCCGCTGTTCCACAACCTTGGCGTCGCTAAGGGCACCAGTCTCTTGGGAGGTCTGAGTGTCATTGGCATCATTGGTATTTGGCTGTTGTACTTTTATGGTGGCAAGCTCCGAACGCTTAGCAAGTTTGCTGAGTCGGATGAGCCGAAAGCTGAGAGCACTACTCTTGAGGAAGAGAAGAATTAAAAAATCTCGAGTATCGAGAACAAATTCTATACAAAAAAAAAAAAAAAGCAAGAATTTACACAAAGCAAGGGGGGGCTAGAGGAATTCACGAGTTTCAACACGATTAATTTCAATTAATGCAGAGTTACATTTCCTTTGTTTGGTAGCGCACCCAAAGTGCATTGGGAAACGGCACGATTCCCCATTTCATTTTTTTTATGAGTCGGATGGAAATGACTTGCAAGCATCGGATCAAAAGAGAGGGGTTAATTACATATATATGTATATTCTGGGGGGAAAGGAATGTACAATTAATTAGACCTGGGGGAGGGGGGGGGGGGTACGGGAGAGCAAGCAAACAGTATACCCTGTTGCATTATAATAGAAATCACATCTCTCTTAAAAACTACTTGTTGGAAGTTCTTCTCTTTTATCTGGCTGAATAGATGTGTTTTATCTAGATTTCTATGGCCCACGGGCGTTGATCTAGCTAAATAATTTGGACATGTTTAGACATTACAAGCAATTTGCATTAGTAAAGGCGTCATGAATAAATCCAATGAAATACTATATATAACATTGGCTACAGGTTCCAAAATTCAGCAAAAACATATTGTACACGTATTGCGTGTGTATATATTGTTTTCTCAAATAATTGAGTTCACTTAAAATGCATCCGTCCGCTACACAAGACAGCTCCAATTCTTTCTTTGCTGATCAGCCAAAATGGCCGTCAATAAATGTGTATAAAAAGTCTAGAAAGATCAAGTCATCCGTAACAAAGCGCAAGCTTGCAATTGGACGAGTGTTTTCTCTCTCCCAGACATCGCTTGTTCATTAGAAGGTCACATATACCGAATACGCCGAGCTATATAAAGACGTTGAAGCAAAGGTGTAGCTTGAAAAGAAAAACGTCTACTTTGGCGCCGTGTGATGTGTATCTGCCCAGATTGACGCGTAGTCTTTGAGATATGTATGCCATTTACGCATATGCTCTCCTGCTTCTTTCTATTCACCACCTTCATCATGCTCATAATTTCTACCGAGCAAGTGTGGCCCATGATATCAAGAAATATCCTTATTTATAAAAAGGATTTCTTTTCTTTTCTTTTCTTTTCTTTTCTTTTCTTTTCTTTTCTTTTNTTTCTTTTCTTTTCTTTTCTTTTCTTTTCTTTTCTTTTCTTTTCTTTTTTCTTTTTACTTTTTTTTCCTCTTCGTAGTAATCTGCAGCTATTGCTACTCAATTTACGAATCACCTGGTAGGTTCCAGCTGTAACCTGATCCATGCCCTCCAGCGGCAGATGCATAAGAGGTACTCGGATGGTTGTTGAAGTTGTACCATGTCTGGTGCTGATTCGATTGCTGCGCGTGTTGTGCGTGTTGCGCGTGCTGCTCGTGCTGCTGGGGGGCACGCTGGTGTGACGTTTGCTGCTGTTGCTGAATATGTGACGGATATGTCATATAATTTTGGTCTTGCTTCATCCCACTCTGGCCAAGTCGCGATGTCGCAGATTGTGAGCGCATATGAAAGACCTGCCGGGAATCTTGTGACGAGTCTAGGTTGCTGTTAAAATCTTGAGCTTGTGCATTTGCCCTTATGCCCAGATACGATGCCGAGTGATGATGCGAAGGATTTCGTGGCGCAGAATTCGTATAGGGGCCATATGTTTGTGCTCCTGGGCGGTCTGCAGCCGGTATTTCAGTATTAGCTGGCTGCGAAGGCATAGAAGCGGCAGATGTCGTTGCAAGTGGACCGTGTCCATAGCCCGAGTACGGAGTAGTGCCCACTGCGTCTCTCTGATACGAATACGGTTCGTATGAAATTCTATCGGTTGGGGCTGTTTCTGTTGCACGGGTGCTAGAATAACGGTCGTAACTGTTATATGCCGACGAGCCAGCAATACCAACCTGTGTCTGTAGTCCTGACCCGTGGGCGTTGGGTTGTTGATCGGCGGTAGGTGAATTGTGAACAGCTCCTCGCTTCGAGTGCTGCTTACCCTTCAGCGAGTTGGTTCGTGGAGCATCATTTATTGGTGATGCGGCCCCTGAACGCTGTAGTGCGGCTGCTGATACGCCTTGTTTCTGGGACACTCCCATAGACGGCTGCTGGGCGTTTGCGGAACGCCAAGCACTGCCCCTATTACCAGATGATTCTGACAGCCCATAGACGGACTCATGAGAGTTCTGGTCTTGCATAGAGGTCACCACTGCTGCTACAACTGCTGCTGCCTGCGTAACCGGGCTGTCGTCGCCGGACCATTCTGAAACTGATGTAGGGTTCACTGAGCTGTGGTGGTCTTCGTCTTGGGCTGGCCTCGCCGTCATGTTGCGGCCAGGTCCACGCTGTGCCGATGACTGGGTTGGACTTTTCCTTTGGCGTGCCAACGTCTGTTCTGGCATATCCGTTGCTGGCATGTTCGAATAATACGGACGCCCCGAAGGCATGATGAGATTGACAAGATCAGAAATAGGCACGCCTGCCGTGTGTGACGGTTGTGAAGTGCCTGTCTCGGAGGCCCCCATAGTTGTCGACGGAAAATAAGTTGCCGGATGGTGGTTGGCTTCCCAGTCGGCAACATTAAGATTGTTTGGTAACACACCCTCAATAGGCAATTGAGTGTGCACATGCTCATCTTCTATGTCGGGAAAGCCCTCTGCATCATCATCATCATCTAGCTGTTGGTGGTCTTCTAACTGAGGCTCATCATCCTGTACTTCGCCGAGTGGCTCGTCTACTTTATTTCGCTCTGCTTCATCTTCTGCAGTGATCAGAGCACTCGATCTTGGTTTTCTTCGCTTAGGAGCCGGGAATTCGCATATCAGGCCCGCCTCACGGCATTCATTACATATTGGTGTTTCTTTTGGACACTATAGATACAGTCCGTCGTTAGCAAGAAACAAGAACCTAGCGGTGGGCAGCTGGATCAACGGTTCATCAACTCACCTTAACCTTACGCTGTTTACACGGAACGCAGGAATTCCTTGACTTGGCCGGCCCCCGACGCCTCGTTTTCTTCGTCTCTCCAGTAGTCGTTGCTTCTTCGGCCACTCCATTATCGCCGGTACTCGCAGTCTGATTTTTCTTTCGCCCCTTCTTAGTATTTGTGGAAGTTGCTGTGTGCAAAACCAGCCCACTGGTAGTAACTGGACCAGATGGATCTTGTTGCACGTTACTCTGAACCGCAGGCGTAGATGACGAGGCTGGAGATTGTGGCTGGGCAGAGCCTTCCTTGCTGCCGGGGTGCACAATACGGAGACGCTCTGCACCATACCTAACCAGCATGTTGAGTGACTCCTTTTGCAAATCTGGAGATTGATTTGCGAAGATGTTGAATTGCTCTGGGGAAAGCGACTCTGGGTCAACGGCTGCCTGTTGGAGCATAGCCACGGCAACATTTCGACGCCTCTCTGCCTCTTCCGGCGTCACATTGATGACAACCTGTCCTGCTGCGGAGATTTGAGCCGACTGGTCAGCCTGAGGCGGCTGTTGCTGCTGCTGCTGTTGTTGTTGGCCAGCCAAGCTGCTATCCTCTTCTCCTCCAACCTGGCCGGTGAAGGTTTGAATCTCTGTGGGTAGAGAAGCATCAATCTCCGTTACGCCTTGTTCCTCGGAAACAACCGCGTCATCTCCTTTCCTCTTCCGTTTTCTCGACTTGTTGCCCTCGCCATTGGTTGCTTTGTCGGCAGCTCGTTTCTTCTTCTGGGCGCCTGGCTGTCTGGGCGCTTTAGATTTCTTTTCTGCTGTAGGAAGAGGGTGTCGTGGTATTAAAGGTTTATATAAAGTTGAAAGCTCCGCTACTGTCCGGTGGAGTGGTGTATGGTCATATTCGATCGATACAGTTCTAGATTTTCGAGAAAAGGAAATTGTAATGGAACCTCGACAGTCAAAGGCAGGTCGGCCTAAATTTTGCGGCGTTAGCAGAGGCACGTCGTATTCGCAAAAGCAAGTTGAGATAGCAAAACGGCAAAAAGGCGTGAAATTCCCTCCAGCACTATATGATGCCATGTGGTGGGCTCAGCGCTTACTTCCTAGCAGGGGATCAAGTTCCCTGTGTGAATAGTCTGCAACCAAAGTCTTCAGCTGGCTCTTGTTTTGTCGCTGCCAGTGCTGCATGGAACCTTTGCAGATAAAGGTAAAGACCCAGCCGTTTGCGCCTCGCGACGAGTCTCGCAACGTCCACTCGCTTCCATCGACCTGGCTAATTGCATCGGCAATGTGATTTGCGACGGACGTCTGCAGCACTGGTTCGTCGGACGACTGGTTCATCACGGCATCGTCCACGAGCACCACGCGGGCGACACTGCCTTCCTCAGTGTCCGTAGATATGCCCGTCGACAGAGCGCCTCCCAGCGACGGGTCCAGCGCGCTCAAGCCCTCCAGCACATTGTTCTCGCCCGCCGACACTCCAAGCGTCAACTCGGCCGAGGCTGCGAGGTCCAGCCTGATCGCAACCCGTTCGGCTCGGGTGTCTGTGACTTTGCCGTCGAAAACATCGCGAAACTGCAGTTGCAGCTCTTCGACACCGGTGCAGGGCCGGCCGTCGAGCCCGGATTCCTCTTCTCGGAAATTGAAGCTGGCGAGAAAATCCGCCATTGACTGTTCGGTCCAAGGCTGGAGTGGCGATTGCGCGCAGCAGCTGAGATTATCAGGGCGTCGGGCTGAGTCCGCCTTCTGCTGTTGCGCGGAACTGGGCTGGCAGTGTTTCGTAGGCAGTGGCGGCGGATTCGCCTGTAACCATGGCGGAATCGGTGATGGTGATGTCGAACTGCAATGTTGCAGGCAAGAGGCGCTGATAGCGGCGTTCCAACCCCCGGGGGGTGTGAGCAAGCCAGCACGCGTCAAGTACAGCCCCACGGACTCGGCCCGCGTATCTGCGCTTAGTGCAGCCTCGTCCATCATGAAGAAATCATCCATTTCTATTGGCAGTAGCAATAGCTGCTGATATAGCATTAGTGTTGGCACTATCCGCAAACATTGCATGCAGTCTTGGAAAGGAGCCAGTCTGCACCTTCGCAAACTGGGCGCATCTTTCAATTTAAATGCGATACCGTACAAGATTCACCCTCGTGGCACACGTCAGAAGCAAAAATCCTTCAGCTCCTTCACCCAGCTGGATCAAGCATGAACCAAGCGATATGTGTGATGGACAATGTAACATTTCCCTTGCCATAATCAAAAGTGGCTAGCCATTGTGCATTCCATGAATACATTTCATGATTGTGCCTACTGTAAAATCCACTTGACGCCCCTGCACAAGCACTAACACCACTGCCGTGCGGCATCTCACCACTTACTAGCTGTTTTCCTCTACCCACTGCTCGATCCTCTCCACAAGATCGGCCTTTCTACCGCTCGTGCTGAGTCCCTTGGCACCTGCGACGTCCTTTAGTTGCGCCACTGTCATTTTTGATAGGCCTTCGCTCTCAACCGCAGCTTTCAATTGCGCCATACTAAACGTTGATCCGCTGGGCCGATCTGCAGCCGCCTTTCTCTGCTTTGCTGGGCGCTCTGAGATCTCGTCATCTTCCACTTCTCGTTTCAATGACCGGGACCTTGCGGCTCTGTCGGCTTCATCCTTGAGTGTCTCAGCCCAGTCCTCCAAATAGCCACCCGCACGCTTGTTTATGGCTTTGTTTTTGGGCTCGGTCAAGTCTTCAGGCTTGTCCGGCACCTCTTCATCTAGAGCGAGCGTCTGAAGAATTTTATAATGCCACTGTAAAGCTGGATTCGGGTATTTCAGCGGGTTATACACGCCCTTGGGAAGATTGAGCTGCTGTACAATTACCCTCATTTTTGTCTTTAGATCCTCAGAGCAGTCAAGCCCCCGCTCAGCACTAATGTCTCGTAAATCATCAGCAGCAGGGAGCGGAGAAATCCAAAGTCCGGCTGACAGATATGGAGTGCCAGAGGCCTCGTCAGATTGTTCTCTCGATGGAATAACGGCGGCAAGTACTGGTTGTGAGTTTGACCGCAGCACGCACCAGGCGATGCCTATCTTGTCACTGTCCAGCAACTTCTGCCAGAGGGCCGAAAATACGCGTGATGATCCGATATAGTCTTCTTCACTTGGGAAGATGAAGGTGGATTTCTTAACGCTTGCCCAGGCGGGAATCATGTTGCGATTCTTGAATCCGATAATTCGAATGACTGGGGGGCCATAATCTCTGATCTGTTTTTGTTCCTCGGGCGTAAAGTATACATATTCGCCACCAAATTTATAGGCTTTCTTAATCTCTTGTTTCTCGACGGTTCGCGCACTGTCTTCTGCGACCCGTGTTGTCTCGCCTGTTGCAATCTGGGCTTTTTCTCCGTCGAGCCATATATAACACGTTCTCGCCGGCGCCTGGCGACTTACAACATTGTATCCTTTGACAGTTATCCGCAGGCCAGGAGCAATCTCAAAGGGGATATGGAATAGCGCCCTCTTCGGCGACTGCTTGGAGTTGATGTTAGAAATCAAGGAATTTAAGAGAGACAATCCATCGCCAGACTTGGAAGTTCGAACTTCGGTCCCGTTGGCTTCGGCATTTACATCGCGATAAACGATATCCTTGATATTTTGTTAGCTTGGTGTTAAGATTGTGGGAAAGGATACAAAAAAAAAAAAAAAAACTTACGTCATAAAACTTGCCAAGGTCAAAGTTTGACTCTCCTCTAGCAATTGGGAATAGATCAATGGTAATACCCAAATCGTATAAATCTTTTGCTCGGACGGCGGCAGCAGATCTCGCCGCCTTGTCTGATGCGTGAGGGTCGTCGTTATCAGTTACGATGAACAGTCGCCGGCTACCAAAGTTGGCTGCCTTTGTCGTGAATATCTGATTGGCGCAAAAGAGCACATTTGACATTGAAACCACATCAGTAGCTGGCTTCAGCACTTCTTCTTCGTCTTCTTCGTCTTCTACCAGCGCTCTCAGGGCCTTGACATCATCGGCAGCAGGAACATCAAGATCTGTAAAGAGGTAACAATTCGGGTACCCAAGGCCGCCGCGGCCGTCTTTGTCATCTCGAAATTTGGTCTTTTCCGTTCCAAATAGAAGAATTCCCATCATGTCCTTTGGATTGGAAATGATGCGCTGTTCCATCAGATGATGTGCACATTTCAAGGCAGCTTGAAGTGGGCTGTCTCGATCAACTTTCTTAGAGCTGGAAGCCGGAGGAGGCTCAAGCATTGATGGGCTGACTTCAATGGCTAGCAATACGGCATCTTTCTGTGCCTTGAAGCTCTGGGCAGGCAACGTCAGTAAGACGGGCTCCTAGTCAGGTAGATGCGACTTACAGATTCATCAAGCTCCTGCTCGCCTTCATCGTCCTCATCGTTCTCTTCCCTTCTCCAGTCTCTTTGTTTGTCTGCCATTGTGAATTGTAGTTGTGATTGAACAATGAAAGATTCCAGATCACTTGTCCAAATTCACAAAGTGCCTTTTTACATCGCTCAGAGGCCCAACTTAGCGAGCGAGAGCCAGGCAGCCACTCGACTCAGTCTCAAATGTGGATTCACCTACGCGACCAACAGCTCCTAGGCAAACGCGACAGGCCGCGGCAGAATGGCCCTTGGATCCGCGAGATCACGTGATGGCTCATCCGAAATACCCACAGCCTAATTGGCCGGCGCTTGGGTGGGACTTGCTAGAAAAGTACCTGTTCCCGAGCGTAGCCCGAGTAGATCATCTGCATGCGGCGCAAGTAGCGCCCTAGCAGAGCGTCAGAGTGATGCTCGATTGCCACTCTCGGAGCTTGCATCTGTGATCTCGGCGCATCGGTGTCCTGGGTCCTGGCTGTCACGGGTATTCAATTGGGCTCAATTCCTTCCACAGTCGAGGATTTTTCCCTCGTCAACCATCCCAGAACCACAATCTCACCATGGCATCAAGGATTTCCACGAAACACCTCGCCCGGGGACTGTCCCGAGGCTCGCCGTCTCGTCTTGTCTCGTCACAGCTATCGAACCATGCCAGATATTTGGCTACCCCAGCGCATCCTGTGACGCAAGATGCGACGGGCTCCAAGGGACCAACGGCCATGGTCTTTCTCAACATGGGTGGGCCTTCTACGCTCCCCGAGGTCGGAAGCTTTTTAAGTAGACTTTTTGTACGCATCTTTTGATCATTTACTTGGTGCCCTCTTCGGTGACGTCGTGCTAATCATGAGTTGAAAAGGCCGATGGCGACCTCATTCCATTGGGCAGACTCCAGTCATATATCGGGCCACTGATCTCGGCGCGAAGGACACCAAAGATCGTGAAGCAGTATGACGCTATCGGGGGCGGCTCTCCCATTCGAAAGTGGTCCGAGTATCAAAACGAAGAAATGTGCAAAATCCTGGACAAGATCTCCCCAGAGACTGCGCCGCATAAGCCATATGTCGCCTTCCGCTACGCAGACCCATTGACCGAGGAGATGTATAACAAACTGTTGGCGGATGGCTTTGGAAACGGAAAGGGTGGTAGAGCTGTCGCATTCACCCAATACCCTCAATACTCTTGTTCCACGACCGGTAGTAGTCTCAACGAGCTGTGGAAATGGCGCCAGAGACTGGAAGGCAAGACGGCTTCGGAAACTGGCAATGGTACCATCAACTGGAGTGTCATTGACCGATGGCCTACCCATCCTGGCCTTGTGGAGGCGGTCGCTCAAAACATTGAAGCAAAGCTGCTTGAGTACCCTGAGGAGCGGAGGAGCAAGGCCATTCTCCTCTTTTCAGCGCACAGCTTGCCTATGACCGTAGTCAACAGAGGTGCGGCATTCTCTTATATCCCCCTTTCCCCTGTTTCCTTTCCTCCAACTGACCGGTCGAGTAGGTGACCCATATCCCGGCGAAGTTGCCGCCACTGTTCAAGCAGTGATGGAGCGACTGAAATTCTCTAACCCTTACAGACTATGCTGGCAATCGCAGGTCGGCCCGCAGCCTTGGCTGGGGCCCCAGACGTCTCACACTGTGGAAAACTACATTGAGAAGGGCCAAAAAGACCTGCTTCTCATTCCAATTGCATTCACCTCTGATCACATTGAAACGCTCTATGAACTTGACATTGAAGTCATTGGCGAGAGCGGCCACACTGATACCGTCAAGCGAGTGGAGAGCTTGAACGGCAGCCCAGTGTTTATTCAAGGGCTTGCCGACCTCGCAAAGGCACACCTTGATTCCGGGGAGGCCTGCTCGCTGCAAATGGGCCTCCGATGCCCTGCATGCAAGAGCGAGAGATGTGCAGAATCCAAAAAGTTTTTTGCTAGCCAACAAGCTGCGATTTCGTCTGCCTAGGCTTACTTGTAGCAGCTCGACAGGAAAATAAGTCTTGGTGGGGGTCTGAGAAGAATAGTATCTGTAATATATATCACCAGTCCAGCTCCTTATGGTATGATGGCCAATCTCGTACATTTCTTGTACATCTTTTCAGAAGCTAGGTAGGGGCTGGGTGGCAGAAAAAGGCGTTGTATGTATAAACTCGGTATATGCTTAGACTCGATAGACTTAATTGGCACAAATACGCGTGAAGTAGACCCATAAAAGCCATCTTATCGAGGCGTCGCCATGTCATCACGGCGAAGATGGCTCGGAGAACGCGGGACGGGGCGTGCGGAAGGACAAGGCTT